GGGTTGGAAATGACTAATGAGTGTGGGTCATGACGCACGAGGACAGTGTCTTGTGCGCATATCAATGCAAGAAGTCACCAGAGGGCTTAATAAAAAAAATCACTAAATAAATATCGGAAAAAGATAAATCGATTCCTCAACGGGGTTGATATGAATCGAATAATCAGTCAAGTCAAAAAAAAAAAAAAACTAGTTTCAATTTTTAAAATGTTCTTGCAATAGTTTATATTAAAAGATGTAAACAAGGACGATTTACATTTTGGTTTTTGGGTCGGTAACTAGTATGGCTAGTTCAGCTTGTTCTCGTACTGATTGGAATACATGTGTTATATCATGTTCCAATTTAAAACTAAAAAGATTAAAAAAACTATTTTATATGATTTATACAAGATTATGAAGATAAGTAATATGATGAATGATATAGTATGAGTATGAGTGATACGTATAAGAAAAATACGATTCTATTTTGGTATTGAAGACGACGATACAAATGTAACCGAAACTACAAGCGTGAACACGCATAAGATTAGATTTGGATCTAAGCACAGCTTCTGGGATTATGGCCCACGTGTTGTAACGTGCCATCTCTCAGATCTCTCTTTAATTTCAAAACCGAACCAGATCCCAGCTCTGCAAAAGACAAAGCTAAAAAGCAAACACCAAACCATTTTGAACCGTCCGACCTCAATCACAACGAATTATGAATATCCTTTTTTCTAACCGGAATTTATTTTAATTATCTGGGAATTGTAAATTCCATAAATAAGAAAAACCTTCGACTTTAGTTTAGAGTGTATTATATTCTACTAACTATGAAATTAGTAAATTAACTATTGTGTTCCATAAAATGGAATGAGTAATAATTATTCGCTGAATCAATTATGACAGTTAAGACAGATGAGTCGCAACAGGTAGATATTAATTCGCGACATGTGACGTGTTTAAAGTTAATTAATTAAACTACTAATGAATCTTCAAAAATCATAGTACTGTATTAATTTTTTTTTCTCAACGACACACATCATGCCAATTTCCTGCCTAATGTAGCTTAGACTAGTAATTTAATCTGTTTCCTCACTTATAGATAATAATATCCCAGTAATTTCAGTTGCTTCGATATTCATTGATCTCGGCAAAAGACAAAATTCTTATTAAGTCAAGACTAATTGTCTTACGTCCGGTTCTCTTGAGTACGGTATATCGAGTCCGGTTAAAATCCCCGAAAAATACGTTTTGGAAACCCCACACTGATGTCGAGTCAACAATTTTGTCTTACCTCGAACTACGTTTATACAAGAATCTAGGTACTCGTGACCCTCTTCTGTTTGTATCCACAACAATACATTATACTCTCATGTCCGCATTATATACATCAAAATGTCTTTTATGTACACATTTTATTCAGAACCAACTCCTTTATGTGAATACTTTGACATCATAATCTATGTCACGCTCCGTGCCATTAAATGCTTCGCTTTTGTTTTGTTCATCAAGTTGTTTACTTCAGATTTCAATGTTGTTGCGTACACATTTAGCGATTACGTACATAATTCTTCATATTTTAGGAACCTATTGTTCACCATTTTTCATAGACTTATTATAGCTCTTCATTTCGAAAACCTTTTAGAAAAAAAAAAAACAAACGACACAGTTATTACTCATGAGAAGGTACATAACGAACTGATTTTCATAGATCTTTATGGGTATCGTCCAAGACATCAACTAACCAATGCTCTCCACGGTTGGGTGGGATCCAAATAATGTGAGTGGCAATTAGACACTTTGATTCGTATGGGTTCACATGCATTAACGTGTCTTTTTACATATATCAGACCTAACTTAAGTCCACTCCACATAATTAACCATGCATTAACGTGTCTTTTTACATATATCAGACCTAACTTTAAGTCCACTCCACATAATTAACCATTACAGTGATACATTTTTCTTATTACATTATATTTATTTTGTAAAACGAAGAAATTATAGCAATAGCAGAAGCTGGCAGGTTGGTCCATTTTATTGGACTCTTAGTGATAATGCCACGATGAGTATTTGACTCTTGTCCACGTCCCTGTTTTTTTTTATATATTAAAAGTTGGAAAAGAATAGTAGTGTATATATCAGGTTTTTAATTGGACCACGCTTTTTCTTGTTTTGGAAATTGATTAAATCGAACTGTGTGCCAACCAGAATTTATTTTAGGAACTATTTTTGTAGTATTAAAAAGACTCACGCAATCTCTATCAGAAAAGTTAATAAATAATTAATGTTTTTTTGCCTTTTAACAGTAAAAGATAAATGTTGAATATGACTCATGCCTTTTGCCTTTTAACAGTAAAAGTTAAATGGGCTGTCAATCAAAGATTTTACATGCTATAATTGGGCCAATTACAGGCCCATGGGCTGTCAATCAAATATTTTACATCCTAAAATTGGGCCAATTACAGGCCCATGTACCTACTTGAAAAGAACCAAAGAGACTATCGTAGTTTCCGTCTTTCTCTGGTTTTGTTCCTTTGACATCTCCGAGTTGCGATTTAGCACAAAAATTCAATAATCCATATGTATAACTCGGCGGTATTTAGTGATGATTTAGGCTTTGCTAGGCCATTTTAAAACAAAACTACATAGTGTGTGAGTGTGTTCTTAAACTATATTGATATTTGACAGCTACTATTTAACAAGATCTTCCCATTTGCAGTATTGACCACCGGCTAATGCACGGTAGTAACGGTCTCTGCAATAGACAGGTCTTCCGTCAGCAGCCTCAGCCGCTGCAGCTGCCATGTCATCGTCGGTCACAACATCTACGGGCAACCGAAGCAATTGTTCTTTTCTGCAAAATTTGTATAATGAAAAGATGTGAGATTGCTTTCAACGAAACAAAAGCCAGAAGATTCTCTGATAGGTGACTTTGATTGATCTCCTTATATAACCTCATATTGAACTTGCTGTTGTTGGTTCTCGAAATGGAAACTTCTGGTTGATTATCCTTAGATCTTAAGGTGGTTTTAAAGAAATCCTCGACTGGTGTAGCAAAAACGAACAGCACGAATGCTGAAACGAGTAGAGCTCCTGTTCCAACTAATGTTTGTTTCAGCATTTTGATTACTGGCTTCACCTGAATATTCACAAAAAGCTACCTGATTTTCTTTTCCCCGTTCAGCATTTATATGAGAAACATTGCCTTAAAAACATTGTTCGTATATTGTTTACCTTGTAAGAACCTAACAACCTGTCACGAGCCAATACCTGAAAACACAAGTGCAACCGTCACAGTAATGAATCATCAGTCTTTTGGTTTTTATACTCTGCAGCTATATTCACTTCTTCTTGTGTTACTATCACATGTGCATAAAATATCATAACAGGTGTGTTACATTGCTAGTGCTTAGATTGATACACTATAAAGTGGATTTTGTTTTGCATACCATTTATGGGAAACTATAAAGATCAGAACTTTCTATTCCAAGCTACCACCACCACAAGTGACTACAACTATGAAAAACTGGTGATAGCTGATAACTTTGTAGTGATTAGACATATATAATTAAAGCTTTTAGGTTTCTTTAATTTGTAGCAAAGGAAAGGACTTGAAAATGCAAACCTCAGGTGGCTTCACCCACATTTGTCCATCATACCACCCGCTCTCTTCGTATGGCACAACTGCAGAAAGCAGTCTGTCTCCAACATAGCTCCATCCCTGGGAAAAAAGAAGAAAAACAGAGTCAAGAACAAAACAATCTATTTCAAGCAGAGAGAAGCAGGGCAAGTTTAATACCAGGTAAATCCTCAAGACAATCAATGAAACCAGGAATAAGGTTCCAGTCCCTGCAGCTAGAACAAACCGCAAAGGTTCCTGCAACAATTTTCACATAACATGTTATATAAATTCATCTGTAACCAGTCTAAAACACACGTTCTTTGGATTCGAAGCTCACTCTGGAAGGATTGAAGCTAGCAGCTGCAATGGGAACCCCGAGAACAGTAAAGGTCACCAACCAAAGGCCACCGAGACGAAGAAAGAATTGGGTTGGGCCCAATTCTCCCCATGAATACAACATCCCTTCCTTCAAAGACGAATACTCATTCACCTGTAAACAAAAAAAAACCCAAAGGTATGATTTTTTTTTTACACACTCAAAAAAGCTCATCGTTACTTAAAAGGGATAGTCAGAAACATTTACTAACGGGTCTTTGGTCAGAAGGAACTTCAATCTCAGAGCTTGGATCCCAGCTTTGTCCAGAGAAACTCATGCTTCCACTGCCATTACCTTCGTCCTCCATTGCTTTCACCGAAACGCTTAGAACCACCTGCTGCTGCTTCTTCTCGCCAATTCCGCCATTTTTAACGATCGTCGAAGAATCATAGTAGTTCCCGAGCTTTCTGTTACAAACCCGGTGAGATCTCTTCGGGATCAAAGGGTAATTAGCGTTTAGTCTGAGCATTGCTCAAATCTGATCTCCGAATGGTTCTTCCTCGTTGATTGAAATTTGAAGATTAAAGGTAAGTGGAGCAGAGCACCTGAACGACGGCAAACACTGCACAGCCAGAATAATTAAATAATCTGTTTAGTTTAGTTTTTGTTTCTTCTGGACCTGTTGCGTCTCCCTCTCGCCACGTGGCGTATGCTCCCTTGCACGCAGTTTTCGTGGGCATCTCCTCTTGTTTCCACGAGCCTGAATATATACTAACCATCATTGGGCCACTCAGCCCAGTTTGATTTATTTGGTTTTCAATAAAATAGGCCCATTGAATAGGCCCAATACCACTTTTGAAAATGCATTTTTTAGTTGAAAGTTGAAACCATTATTATTACCAAAAACATTGAGGATGTAAAACAATCCGAGCGTTAAACAACAATTAAGAAGCAAATTGAGGGTAGAACAATATATGTGTATGGACAAATCTCCGTCTGACAAAGCGAAACACATATCACCACTTGCTTGAAGAAAAGATTAACACATCACCCATTTGAGACAGATCTCTCTGAATTTCATTGACCTCTCATTCTGCTGGTTTCTGCTGCCCTAACTTGAGCGAAGTAAGCGTGTGCCTGTCATCAAATTAACAAAGAATTATTAACTTCAAATGTGATTCAAAATTCATATGAAAAAGTCGGCCTTCTCTTTTTCTGCCTACCATAGCTTCTCTTGCAGTTAATCTGTCTTGATGATCATACCGGAGTAGCTTGTCGAGGAAATCAATGGCCTACATGTTTTAAAGATACAAACAACTTGTTAAAAAACCTAACTGAACCATTTTCTAGAGAAAGCAATTAAAGGACAATATTTAAACCTCGGGTGAGATCAAATGCTGATTGTCTGCGTTGATGAATTTGGACCAAGGTTTCCTGCTATGCCTGTGTTCCATTGAAGCGAAATGATTCAGCAAACTATTCATTTAGCTCATTACGTGGGAAAACAGAAGCTCAGAGATTACAAAAGATTCACATACCGCCCAACGAGTGCTTCGAGTTGTGGTTCAAGTTCTAACTGATACTTATTTAGATACGCATTTAACTCATCTGTCCCAAGTACCTAGCAATAACAAACAAGTAGAGACATGTTCATGTCAACGACAATGGAAACGGGAGACTCTGACCAGATTCTAAAACCGAGTTTACAAATTTTACCTTGGCGATCTTCACTAGCTGATCCTGATTGTCGTGGCCGTAGAAGAAAGGTTCCTTACGGAATATCTATACGAGGGGTGAGGAATATTTGGTCAAATCAGATAGCCACATAACAATTCAGAAACATTCTTAATAAATATACGTGATGCACTCACCATCCCAGCAAACATACAGCCAAGGCTCCACATATCCAACGAATAGTCATAGTCTTGTAAGTCCACAAGAAGTTCGGGTCCCTTAAAGTATCTGATACGTAATGGGAGATAACATGAGAGTGAAGCTTGGCTACAGCGAAAAGGGAAATAGAGGATGTAAAGCAAAAAACCATACCTTGAGGCAACACGGACATTGTACTCTTTCCCAGGGTGGTAAAACTCAGCGAGACCCCAATCTATCAGGCGAAGCTTACGAAGCTCATGGTCAATCATTACATTGTGAGGCTTGACGTCTCTGTGCATTATTCCTTGTGAATGGCAGTAGTCCAACGCCTGCAACAAATTGTCCACAGAAAATATGAGTATGAAGCCAAATTTAGTATATATTTATAAATCCAACCGATAAAGAAAGTTTTACCTTCAGCAGCTCATAGATGTAGTAACGAATGTCGTAATCAGTCAAAGTGGGATACAGAACTTTAAAGTCTGTGCTGTTAACATATTCAAATATCAAGCTCGGAGTTTTTGAATGCTGATCTCTAACAACATCAAACAGCTTGACAATATTCGGCCCGCCACAGAGGTTCTGCAGTATTTTAATCTCTCTTCTTATCTGCGAAAGAAGAATCACAGCAATTCAAGAAACCACCGTATAAAAAAAATCCAAAAACTAATCAAATCCAAAACATCGTGAGACAATTCACACCTTCTTCTTCTTCACAGGTTTGAGGATCTTGATTATGCACTTCTCCTTGCTGTTCACATTCACGCCCTCGAAAACTTCACTATACTTTCCGCGCCCGACCTTCCTTACTACCTCATAATCATCCTGCTCCCTGAGTGAGCAGAGCAAAGAACAAGATCAAAACTTTCACTAAAGCATCACTGCTTTACCATAATAGAAGAACGAAAAGCAAGATGTAGAAAATTAAAAAACAAATTTTTAATCTAAATCTTCACAAATTTTATCAAGCAGTTAATATAAGCTCAGTTTATACTATAACTGCATCGTTTTCATTAGATGAGCTTTATCTTTTAGTAAATCAAAAATCACTACAAATCCAGAGGAAACATCGATTTTCATCCTTATTAAACAAATTCAGCTGATCTAAAAAATGAGCACTAAACTAATCTCATGCGACGGCTACAGTGACAATAAAAAAGGGGGAAGTTTCAAGGGTTTAGCAATCTTACCCCCACTGAACAATGAGCGACTCATAATCCCAATAATCCTTGGGTCGAACCACGTTAACTTCGGTGTAAACACGAGCTTTCGACATCGCCCGCGTCTGGCCAAAAACAGGGATCTCGACGGCAGAATCTGGATCGATGCGATCGATCGTAGTATTGCCGCAGACGACGGACGCAGATGTCTCCGTGGGAGTGACGACGGATGAGCGTAAGATAGGGGAGTGCGCCAAAGGCGCACGTGAGGTCAAGACGGCGCACACTAACAAGAATCGTCGAAGATGATGAGTAGTTTCGAAGAGGAGGAGGAAGCAGGTGAAGAATAGCGCGTATATCATTCACTACACTCTTCCGCAGCAGATTCTGATTTCTTTTTCCCCAGTATGCGTAGTTTGTGCGCAACATAATGGGCCTGAAAAAAGTAATGTGGGTTATAAGGGCCCAATATTTATAATTGGACTTCTTATTTTTGACCGGTAAATAAATGAAATTTCAGAATTTCTGATTTCGTAGGGCTTGAGGGTATTCAATAGTTTGGTGGTTTGGTGCTATTCCTCGCGAAATTCTGCAGGAATGGGAAAGAAGAAGGTTGTAGACAAGAAAAAGGTGGAAACTTTCTATTTGTGTCCCCACCGATTCGTCTGAGCAAAAGATTCAGGGGCTCGCAGGGAAGCGACAAAGTCATTTAAAGGTCGATCAGAATCCTCTCACTATCAGTGGGTTCTCCGACAAATGCGACAGCTCATTGTTCGTAAGAGTAGACACGCTCGAAGATTATTCTAGAGCCACGGTTATAATTTAGATGGTGGAGATATCCAAAACCCATTATCGAGAGAAGGAGGTTCCTGATTAGAGTAAGTACTTGAGAGATATTGAGGCATGTGATGGATGAAGAAGCTAAATGAGAGAGATCAAATCTATTGTGTGGTCCAGTCTATGACTTGCAAAAAGCTATTGATCTCATCTTCAAGTTGTTGAGTTAGTTGAGAAGAGCTAATTCATACGAAAGTGAGTCCAATGTTGAAGAAGACTTGGAGGAAGATTTTGTCACTTTACTCATCAGGGGAAGTTTTTGTTTGTAATCCCTGAGGCAAATAATGGAGGAAGTGATTGGATTTAAGTGGCCAAGCCATGAAAACAACTACATAGAGGTAGAATTAAAAAGCTCAGATTCATGTAGCATTTTCTGTTTTCTTATCGTCACTATTTCAAAATTTTAAAGTTTTCGTTGCGGACGTCTTATATTATTCAAAGACATCATTTATTGCAAGATTGAGTTGAGTCTCAATCAAAATGTTGGGGGCATATAGTGACTTCAATTATCGCAAAAAAAGGAAGAATTTAAAGATGATTAGACTACTTGTAGGGCACAAAGATCCACCATTCATGTTCTGTTACAAAATCAAGATTCTCTAGCTTACTTATACTCCTTCCCTGTCTTCTCCTTACCATAAAACCCATTATATAGAAAACATTATATTATATTTGCTACAAGAGATATATATATATATATTTGTGGAGAGAGATCAAAACTCCTTTTTCTATTATAATTTGGAATTATTTGTTTTGGTCCAAAGATGTGTCTGATCCACTTGGAGCCTTCTCAAAATCTTTAAACCAAACCATTACCACACACACACAGTCCTTAGTTAGCCTCTCTATCTTGTACTCTCCATTGAAAAATTACTTAACTATCCTTCATTCCTCTTGCTCTGTCCTGTTCTTTGCTCTTGGCGTTGAAGGGTAGTTGGTGGTTTTCTTCGTTTGGGGAATTTCGGTTCTCTTTTTTCTGTTTAGTCGCAATTATTAGAAGAAAAGAGAGAAAGAAACTCTTTTTGTTGATCCTATTCTCTCTTTGTATTACGTTACGGCACACCTTCTTTATGAAAACACTGAGAATGACTTGAAATAGTGTTCCATGGTGGATTTCTTGTGTGAGAAGAAACTGCGAGCTTAGTGTTCGTAATATGTCCGTAAAGAAGAAAGATCTTTTGTCGTCAGCCATGAAGAGAACCAGTGAATGGTTCTTAATTCTCTCACTTTTAGATTATTTACCTTCTCAATCCATTTTTCTTCCCAGTTTCGAAATAAAAATCCTTTCTTTCTCTTTATAAAGACCACAAAGATTCAATATTTTTTACATTTTGTTTCAGGATTTCTTCTCAGGAAGTCTCTAGTGATGTCACCGTTCATGTAGGAGAAGCTTCGTTTTCACTGCACAAGGTAAAATCTAGATCTCAATTTACCGATCAGTCTCTAGGATGCAAAAAAACCAATGACATGATCACCATTCTTGCCGAATCATTTCTTTCTCTCTCTCTCTGAATCTTGCAGTTTCCACTCGTGTCAAAATGTGGGTTTATAAAAAAACTTGTGTCTGAACCAAAAAACGATTCAGATGCTACTGTTATCAAAATCCCAGATATCCCTGGAGGCTCTGAAGCGTTCGAGCTAACGACTAAGTTCTGCTACGGTATTAACTTTGATATGAGCACAGAGAACATCGCCATGCTGCGATGCGCAGCAGAGTATCTAGAGATGACAGAGGAACACTCTGTGGAGAATCTCGTCGTAAGAGCGGAAGCTTACCTGAACGAAGTAGCTCTCAAGAGCTTGTCGAGCTCGATCACAGTGTTGCACAAAACAGAGGAACTGTTGCCCATTGCCGAAAGAGTGAAACTTGTGAGCCGTTGCATCGACGCGATTGCTTACATGACTTGTCAGGAGAGCCAGTTTTGCAGTCCTTCTTCGTCGAGTAATAACAGCAACAGTGAGGTTGTGGTTCAGCAGCAGAGCAAGCAGCCTGTGGTTGACTGGTGGGCTGAGGACTTAACCATTCTTAGGATTGATTCGTTTCAGCGTGTTCTGATCGCAATGATGGCTAGAGGGTTTAAGCAGTACGGACTTGGTCCAGTGCTTATGCTCTATGCTCAGAAATCTCTTCGGGGGTTGGTGAGTTTCCTTCAAACACACACATATACCATTTGTGAAAGATCCAAAATCTAACTTTATGCAAATGCAGGAGATTTTTGGGAAAGGAACGAAGAAGATTGAGCCGAAACAAGAACACGAGAAGAGAGTGATTCTGGAAACAATCGTAAGCCTTCTTCCTCGAGAGAAGAACGCAATGTCAGTTAGTTTTCTGTCGATGCTTCTACGGGCAGCGATATACCTCGAAACAACGGTTGCTTGTAGGCTTGACTTGGAGAAGAGGATGGGGTTACAACTTGCACAAGCCGTGCTTGACGATCTCTTGATTCCTTCTTATTCCTTCACTGGAGAGCACTCGTTGTTTGATACCGACACTGTTCAACGCATTCTCATGAATTATCTCGAGTTTGAAGTGGAAGGAGTCCGGTTAAGCAACAATGGTGTTGTTGATCTTGCTGGTGATATGGAACGTGTTGGCAAACTCATGGAGAATTATTTGGCTGAAATTGCTTCTGATAGGAATGTGAGCTTGCAGAAATTCATCACTTTAGCTGAACTTATTCCTGAACAGTCTAGAGTTACTGAGGATGGCATGTATCGAGCCGTCGACATCTACTTGAAGGTAAATATTAAGTTAGTTAAACATTTACATTCATTTGCACCATATTGATCAAATATATTAAATCCTTTTTGATGCCAAAAAAGTTGATAAATATTTGACATGTGCAGAAAAGTGGGTGACAAACCCATTTCCTGAAATTGGATAATGACTAGTCACTTTCAAAAACCTGAAACTGATCTTGTGTCTTTACAGGAAATGATGAAAGCCCATTTCCTGAAATTGATAAATCTTGAGTCTTTACAGAAAGTGATGAAGAAAAGTGATAAAATCTTGAGTCTTTACTATATTAATCAAATACAAAATCCTTTTTTTAGTGACTGATCATTTGCAAAAACTGATCGCAAATGCTGAGACTGATAAATCTCGAGTCTTTACTAGAAATGATTATAACCCTTTACTTGGAAATTCCATAAATCTTGAGTCTTTACAGAAAATGATAAAAACCTTTTTTATTTAGAAACCTGAAAATCTTGTGTTGATGAAATCATCAAGTTCCCATTATTTGGAAGATTTGGAAGTTTTTTTAAAAAGATTTTCACAATGATCTCTGGTGAACTATGTTCTTGCTGCAGGCGCATCCGAATATGAGTGATGTAGAGAGGAAGAAAGTATGCAGCTTAATGGATTGCCAGAAACTATCACGAGAAGCCTGCGCTCACGCAGCTCAGAACGATCGTCTTCCCGTTCAGACCATTGTCCAAGTCCTTTACTACGAGCAACAACGTCTTCGAGGAGAAGTCACCAACGATTCAGAATCTATAGCCCCACCACCACCACCTGCAGCAACTGTTCTTCCTCCCAAACTCGGTTCCTACAACGACGAACTCTCCAAGCTGAAACGCGAGAACCAGGACTTGAAACTCGAGCTTCTCAAGATGAAGATGAAGCTTAAAGAGTTTGAGAAAGAGAGTGATAAGAAATCAACAACAACCATGAGCAGCAATCCCAGTTCTCCAGTCTCAACTGCTTCCACGGATAAGCCTCCATTGCCGAGAAAGACATTCATAAACTCTGTTTCAAGAAAACTCGGAAAGCTAAACCCTTTTAGCATCACACCATACAACGCTAGAGGCAGAACCAAACCACCCAAAGATCGGAGGCACTCTATTTCTTGAAAAACCATATATATAATTTTAAAAAAAAACATGAATATATGTTTAATTTTTGTCGGGACTTCTAAGTTCTGATTCAAAGATTTTTTTTTGGTTTTCAATTTATAAACATTTGATTATTTTGTGTGTGTTTATGATGTTTGTTTGTACATGAAGCTGGTAATACTTTTTTCGAATGAAAACTATCTTGTTCATCAAATATTCCAAAAACACCATTTACAATTACAGGCATAGATAGAGAATTTAGATATCTATTAGATACAGTATGTGGAGCTTCTGAGGATAGATCATAGATTCAGAGAACTTGGGATTCTAAAGCTGATAATGATCATACAAGATCGTGGGGCCATGTATCAGAAATTAACTACTGATAACTTAAGCATTTCTTATTTATTTGGGAATTATAAAAGAAAAAAAATATAAATCAGAATTAAATCAGGGGAAGTAGGTGATGCTTGAAGCCTGAAGGGAACATGCCAGCAGATAGTGCATGTTCTTGTCCCATAACTAATTCATCATTGGCCCCTTTTATAACTTCTCCTCTATTATTCATTTATTATTACTATTAAAAATAGTAGTCCAATTTGTTTTCCTTTTTTTTTCTCCTTTGATTTGATATACAATGTAAAGATCGTACCTTGTGTAGAATACTAAATATGATAAATTCTGGCAATGCAAGTATACGTTGAACTCGAAAACAAAGTAATACATTAATATTGATTTTATTTACAGGAAACCTAAAAAGAACTAGTAAAGCAAAAAAAAAAATTACTGATAAGCATTTAAAAGAAAAGAAAAAGATCACCTGATAAGCGGCATGAGATAAAGCACTAAAAAAGGTACTAAATTGAAGAGAGAAAAAAAAGAAATGCAAATCTATTTCAGATTATAGTTAATATGAATATTAATTATTATCAAATGACATTGAGGGTCAATGCTTGAAGCCATGGCTGCTTCTGCTTCTGATGTTTCATCAATCTCTCTTGTCTCACTTGCTCTTCAAGATTGTTGTGATTATTATTGCTTGACCCTGTTGAAGACGATGAGAAACTCCGGCGACCGGAGTTTAAATTTCCATCCATCATCTCCTGCGAAGAGTTCTTCTTCTTCTTCTTGTTCATTCTCATCAGATCACCACCGTAACACGACGGTCCAAGCGTTAGCTCGATCTCACTCTCGTCCATAATCTCTATATTATTACCACCGGATTCTCCTCCGCCGGGAAAATTCGCCGGACGGTCAGACTCAAGGTCAACTCTTCTGATGAAAGTCCCTAGTCCTGAATTTACATCATTTCCCTTGTTGATCTGCATGTTCTTCATCAATATCTTCTGGACTTGATATAACCTATGAAGTTCATATACCTGAAAATGCATATAAAACCTTATCTTAGACTTGGTTATATAAATATATGACGTAAGATGAAATAGATGAGAATCTACTAATTAGTAAATTACCTGTTGCTTGAAAGTTTCTTCGTGTTTAAGCATAGCCATTTTCATGTACTGCTTTTCGTACGGCTTAAGAAGCTTCTCCATGTTCCAAGGAAATTAAGACTTTTATTTCATCAAGATCTCAAGAAGATTTGATATGACGAACTTGGAACTTCGCTTTGTAATAACCTGTGACTAAAAAAAGAAAAAAAAATTGAATTTTGTCTGCTAGTACTCGATTTAGATTCTGCAGTTTTTAGCCACTAATGTTATAAATCTGAGCACACATGCACACAACAAATATCTTCATATATCGATACATACAAAATCTCACACATATTTATATCGTACTTTCAAAATCAATTTGGTGGTTCATGTTCTTTCCCTTACACGCATGTCAATCTTGTCTTTTCATTAATAAGATTCTTTTACATTCTTATAGACTTTTCTGGTTTTTACAGTATAAATTGATGTCAAGTTTGGTGGGAATAATAATAGAGGTGTTCTCAATCGAAATGAAACTGAACCAAATTATATTTTACTTTGACTTAAAAATGCAAAAACCTGAAAATTCAAGACCAAAACCCACACATTCAAGATTCAACGACCCTATATATTAGTTTATAACTAACTCTTCCGTATTTTTTTGTTCATAGCTCAACGTTTTTCATTGGAGGATATAAAAATTTCACAAAAACAATATGATCAACGGATTTTTTAACCATATGTTGATTTATATATAACAACAAGCTGATGAAGAAATGACAAACAAACAAAATCATATTAAGAAAAGATAATTAGGAGGATTGATTATGATTACTCACCTGAAGCAATTAGGTTTACAAGCTGATTCGATGATTGAAAAAGATTAAAAGCGATATAATGAAGAGAATAATGAGCTCGAGATCAAGCAGATGATTATGAGCTTAGAGAGAAGAGATATGGATTGGTGCGTCACATTCTTCGTAGTTATATATACTGCAGATAAATTATTTTAAAAGAAGTTCACTAGTTTAATGATTATAAAAAAAGGGTTTAAGTAATCATTTGTTTTAAAAACATTAGTTAATCTCTTTCTCACATATCACAAAAACCAATGTGATTGTTACAAACTCATGCCCAAACAAACAACAGTGTCTTTAGCCAATAGCCTTCAAAGGTTCTTCTAAGAAATATGCCATTTGCCACCTCCGCAGACAGTTCCAGCAAAGCCTTACTCACAATAAATAATTTTTTTATATGTATGTATGTATGTAACTATATATGTATGTCGACATAATCGAATACATGGATCCATGCTTGACAGATGAGACAATACTAGATTCAATTTCGGATCCATCACATATCCACATAAACTATATTCCATCGATCCATATATAGATAAGTAATTTTCATGGCTTGGGGTTTATATATGACTCATGCTTTTTTTATATATATATACTGGTGGTCTGAAATTATATATTTTATAATCATCTTCATATATGTCACGAATACCGTAAGTGTTTTGGAATATTAATAGTAGAGTTATTTTTGTAAAATCAAATGTGTGTGTGTCAAATAAATGTGAATTTAGTGGTTGTTGGAGACTTTATATCTAATAAACCTTATAATAATAATGATACATAAAATATGATTCGATAATAATTATGATTAAGAAATAACGGGGAACATCTTATATCTTGCTGAGCTTGAATCACATGCAGCCCAGACTAACAAATCAACAAACCCAGTTGTCTTATTAAATTTATAATTATGCATTATACAAAAGAAGTTTGATTATTAACACTTTAGTAACAATATCTAGATATGCTAAAATAAGTAGAACAGACTTTTGGGGGAATAATTTGGTATTTAGGGAGAGAGCGAATCAGAATCTGAAAATAGGTGGCATGTCGTGGGTCCCATAAGTATGGGAGGAGAAATCTTAGCCGTTGGATTTTGTTGAGGATGTCCTTTCGAACTGTTCAAAAGACTTAAAACTGACCCAACAGGATCTGATCTCCACCGTATCTACGAAACACACACAAAAGTGACCAAATAATTCTTCTGTAAGTAATAATCACAAGTATTATTTTTATCAAAAGGTTTTGTGATTAAATGTTCCTGGACCGACTTTTTCTTTTTCTAAACTGAAAATTTTATTATCCCGTTGAGTTTGCATGTTATGTCAAATTATAAATTAATACAAGACATGGCTTTAGAGTTGGCCGTTTTGTGTTAATTTTATCTTCTACATAAAAGTCAAATTTTTATGTATTGTGTAACGGGAACAATGTCAAATCCTTTACAACTCACTGATCATAATTAAATGTTGCCATGAGAGATATTTATAAAATAGATTTTAAAAAAATGTACTATATAGAAGCAAATACATATGTGGGAATTGGCTTAATCCAAGATGGTACCGTTGGTTTACTAAGAGATAAGGAACTGAACGTGGAAAATCCAATTCTATGTTACGGAACTTTCCTACAAGCATTAATACAATTGAGCAGGTGATGGAAAATAAAACGGAGAGATATTTAGGTTAATACAATATGTTAAAAGATCAGTTTAATTAAAAACATAGCCGCTAACTCTCTCTTTCTTTTCAATTTGTCAACCTAACCACTAACTCCATATAATAATCTTCTCGCTATTTCACGGATGAAACTACATCATACTATGTGTTAACATATAACATGTGACAAGTAGCTACTAATTTGATTTCTATAACCAAAGTACAGAAACAAACGTGCATAGAAATGTGGGTTTAAATCATGCAATTGGAGAGAGAGGCACGCGTTGCCTTAGAGAGGAGGGGCAGTAGCATGGAGCCGTGGGTCCGATCGACGCCCGCGTTTGTGGAGTGCTCTCACTCTTTCCTCGGAAATTGTTGTTTACAAATTATTTAAACTCGATCCAACAAAATTAGTCTAAAACGAAGAACGGTCGAGAGTTGTGAAGGGGATGAAGAGTGTCTTTCTTCGTAGGCTCTCGAAGCAATCGAGACACTGACTCCTGCAGTCATGTCTTGTCCCTCCTAGGCTACGATCATGCGCTTTCGATTACTCCCTTTTATTTGTTTAAATTTCCCATTTTATATTGTTAAACCAGCGCGCGACTAAGACTAAGATATTTAAAAAGAAAAAGACTCTATGATGTTGTAGTTTACTGTTTATACTCAAGAATTTGTGTGTGTTTACATGCGTGTCTCTGTGTGCTTTTAGACTATTAATTTTCTAACAATGAAAGGCCCATTAACAAACAAAACAAAAACAAAATAATCCAAAATTCAAACATCAATGCATGCATGTAATGTATACAGCAATGCATATACACTGTAAGTTTTTTTTATTTATTAAAGGGTTTACATTGTATGTTTGTAACGTTTGCTAGCATATTATTTGAATTTTGAAATAAACAAAGATCAGCTGAATAAAGTTCTTAAAAGAAAATGTGTGACCTTTGATAAGTATTAAAAGAAAATATAAATCATGGACAAATTGATAGCATATACATTGTAAGTTTGTAACGTTTTATATTTACCTATAATTAAAAGAAAATGTGTGCATAGTAGTAGTACTATTTTGTTCTTCGAGACTATTCTCGAAAGTTGGGATTTGAAACATAAAAATTGAAGTGCAGTGAAAAAGTTAAAGCTACTATTCGCATTTTCTTAGTACTAGTATTTGATACTAAAAGCATGCATTTTATTATATTAACGGTTTATTACTCTACTGAGGAAATGGAATTTCATTCCGAGACATGTTGGGAAAATCAAGGATCACGGCCTTCTGAATTTCTGAACCTCGGGTTTCCCATTTCATAATCACGAGCTTGATTATTAGAATTAGAAAGTAGTATAAGCTGATTAAACAAATAACTTTTCAGTTACTTGTCACTAAGGGCAATTATGATGACTTTTATAAAAAAAAAAAAAGGGCAATTATGATGACCAATGGGCAATGGGGGTAACTTCTCTATTTTATAAAACGTTGCTTATTTTGCCAAAATGAAACAGTTAAAGTACATGAACGCCAATTTTATCTTATAAGATGTGTAACCTAACAAACTGCACAAATTACCTTAAAAATTGACATAAATGAGAACTTTTTTTATCCATATAGTTACAATACTTTTTGGTCACCGAGTCCTATATGTTCCTACAAAAATCGTTGCAAACTTTTGCTATGCACGAAGGTCACGTTTGAGTATCTTATCCTTTCTAAAAAAATGTTCAAGTGTCAGATGTCATGTTTCTTGCTGCTAAAGGGGTCTTTCAGATTCCCTGAGATGGTCCCATCTAAAAGGTAAATTAATTTTCTTTTCCATTGGAAATTGTCTAATATTATTATTACCCTTATGAAAATTCTAAATGTTAATGGGCCTAAGGACACACAAACCCATTGAGTTAAAAAATCAAAGTAGGCCCGAAGCAGAAAGAAGCTGGAAGAAGTAAATATACGTGTATACATTATACAAAGTCAACGATTAAAAATGTCATTCTTTTACTAATTCAAATCCTTAAGTATTGGAGAAACAACTCGTCGGCCATGACCAGGATCGTGGCTCCAAGTAATATATATATTCTTCGGCGCAATTTGAAAGTTTCTTCAAAACATGTATTATAAAAATAGAAATTATGATAAAGTCGATTTCACGATTCCTATAAATACAATTCTATAGTTTCCCCATTTCATCAACTCAGACCATCTCTCGGCTTCAACACAACAACTTGTAAACTGTAAATCCCGACGAAATGGCGCGGTTTGGTCTAGTTCTCGCCATGGCTCTTTGCGTCACCATCTCTGTGTTTCCGGACACAGCCACTGCTCAGCTCAAACCCAATTTCTACGCTAGCTCATGTCCAAATGTTGAAAAAATCGTGACGAAAGTTGTCGAAAAGAAAGTCAGTGAGACCTTCGTCACAATCCCAGCTACTCTCCGTCTATTCTTCCACGATTGCTTCGTCAACGTAAACCTCAAAACTTTTGCTCGTACGTTTTTCTATATCTGAAACCTATGTTATGATCTTACTTAAATTTTGCTTGTTTTTTTGTTAGGGATGTGATGCGTCGGTCATGATTCAGTCAACGCCTAACAACAAAGCCGAGAAGGATCATCCAGACAACATTTCTTTGGCGGGAGATGGATTTGATGTTGTGATCAAAGCCAAGGAAGCTCTTGACAAAATCCCAAGTTGCAAAAACAAAGTTTCTTGTGCTGATATTCTTGCCTTAGCCACCCGAGATGTTGTTGTTGCGGTGAGTTATATATAAATATTTATCAATCTTATAGAAACTATAGTTCATGGTTATAACCAAAATAAAATGTATATCTTGGATGTGTGTTTAGGCAAAGGGACCGTGGTACCAAGTGGAACTCGGTAGGCGTGACGGTTTGGTGTCGACAGCAGCTAGCGTCAACGGAAACTTGCCAGGACCAAACGACAAAGTTACCCAACTCAACAATCTCTTTGCCAAAAACAAACTTACGCAAGAGGATATGATTGCTCTCTCAGGTAATAACAATAATCACTTGGTAAAAAAATTAATGTATTTTTTGATGTAATACTTGTAAGTTGTACTACTTCATGTGAGATTCATGCAAAAGCTACTACTCTACTAGTTGTACTTTAACTCTCTATAACGATATGCAGCGGCTCACACCCTCGGATTCGCTCATTGTAGCAAAGTATTCAACAGAATCTACAACTTCAACCGCACACACTCCGTTGATCCAACTCTAAACAAAGAGTACGCTCTACATCTTCAAAGGTCTTGTCCCAAGAAAGTCGACCCAAGAATCGCCATTGACATGGACCCAGTCACTCCACGAAAGTTCGACAACGTTTACTTCAAGAATCTGCAAAACGGCAAAGGACTCTTCACTTCCGATCAAGTTCTCTTCACCGATCGCCGCTCTAGGCCCACCGTTGACGCTTGGGCCAAGAACTCACCTGCTTTCAACGCTGCTTTCATAAAAGCTATGACCAAACTCGGCCGCGTTGGCGTTAAGGTTGGAAGCAACGGTAACATCCGTCGCGACTGTGGAGCGTTTAACTAATAGAGAAAAAAATAAATGATTTTCCCATTTTTTTGGTTTGTTTTTCGAGATTTTTCTTGAAGAATTATGAATTTCTTTTCGGTGTTTTCTGTATGTTTCTTCTGCTTCTTGTGTTTCTGAAAAACATTTTAACAATTTTTATATCGTTGTTTTATTTATTCTGGCTATAACCTTTATTACCTTGTTTCTATTAAAACTTGTCTAACAAATCAAACCTAAGCATACAAAATCAGCAGAGATAACTAAAAACACCAAGACATATATTCACACAAAACCTAAAGATGTTGTTCGACACACTCTGTAATTGAAGAATCGGGATCCATCTAGTTATAGTAGAGTTAGCTTGTCCGAAAATCAGCAGGCAAATCCGCTGTCGCTAACCGGATCTTCTCAAGCTTTGTAGACCTATCTTCCCCAAGTATCAACGGGTTTAACTCCATAGCTACTTGAAAATCTACCATAGATGCTGAAGAAGAACTTACTTCTCCTCGGATACAAGACCTTAAAGCCGCTAGTTCTAGACACGGTTTGATTAGCCTTTTCAGGAAGACATCGAGTCCTGCGTTCAACGTGTTAGCAAACTCAACCGAAACCTCCTCTAATCCCAAATCTTGTTCGAGTTTCTTCTTCAAAGAAATCGACTCAGGAAGCTCGCCGGAAGAGTAACATGTCCCTATATGATGTCTTCTCTTTATCACATCTCCAAGATTAACACCAAAGGGTGCTTCGATGGGTTGACTTCTCCAGCATCGAAGCAATTGGTCAACTTCTTCACCATCTTCCATTGACCACTGTTGTTTACAACTAGAGGAGACGACCTCAGTGATTTGACTCTTTCCTTTGCTTCCATTACAATCCTTAAACCTCCGTTGAGTCCTTCCTTTACGAGGCGATTTAGGAAGGTCTTGGCATAAAGATTTGAAACTAAGACTTGTCTGAGAAACACCATTCAATTGCTTCTTCTTCTTCTTCTTCTCTAAATCTTCTTCTGTAGCACTCTTTATCAATGGGGAAGTCTTTGAGAGACATGCATTCTTAACTATCCCTCTCAGCAGAGCGTTGTGTAGACCGATGTTCTCCTTCTTCACCGTAGCGATGATAAGCTTATCGAAATCAGATTTGCTGATTTTCAAGCTCAGGAATTTTGATAAGAGGTTAAGGTAGCTCTCAGTTTTGGCCCGACCAATCTTCTTCTCAATCTGGGATTTTAACTCCAAAGTATCTGTTCTAACGACATGATGCTGACCCGTTGGCATTTGGGTCCCTCGATTTTCCCTTGAGAATAACAAAAAGAAAAAACATTTTACACTAGACCCCAATTGTTTGTAAAAATATGAATCTGGGATCCGTATAAGTCAAATCACGAATGAAAAAGGTCAACTCAAGTAGAGAAACACAGAAATTGTCGGAATTGAGATCTGAATTACGAAACCCAGATTGGGAATTGTTGAAATAAGTAACTTTTTAACTTCATTGACATGATTCGATACTTTTTTATAAAAAAATCCATGTAAACTCACAAATGAACACTGAACAGTAACCTACCAAACTAAAAATCCAGGCTTTTTACCAGTTTCGAGTCCCGTGATGAACAGCAAACGACAGAGATTATACTCTCAATTGTGAATAATGAAACACGAATTTCTTACCAGATTCGGCAAAATCTACGGAGAACCAAAACAAAAAGTAAAATTAAAAGTACTGCCAAGTTTTAACTAACCTTGAGAAGAAGACCAGAGAGGAAAAACGAAGAATCGAACCGAGCTTGAATTGAACAGTAATGGCTCGATTTTAATCGCGACTTGGACTGTGGAAAAATAAAAGAAAAGAGGGATTTTGGGAAAATTTAGACGGATAGATCGCATATTCTAATTTCTTTTGGTTTTTTTTTTTTTTAGAAGCTTCTGCTTTGAGAGAGTCAACGTTTAGTCAACGTGGCACGTGCAAAAAAATAACACAGCTGGAGATTTAGCTAACGGACCAATCATGCTACTTGATTTGCTAAAGAAAAAAAAATTGAAAGTCAGAAGATTCAGACACAACGGGTCGGGTCGGGTTATAATCCCCTACCGTTTAGTAATTAAGTACTCATTATCCTTCATCATTATCCAGTTTAAGCTTCTATATAAGATTCATCAACCCCATTGATTGGTACCCAAGCCGAGGCAAACACAACACTATGTCCCTTCCACGTCAGCACAAAACGGTCCACGTCATCATCATCATCAACATCTCTCTTCATTCCCCACCCGGCGGCGTGTTCCTCTAGCATCGTTTTAGCCTCTGTTGCTGCCGTCTCGCCGAACCCAACTCCGCCGAACTTGGCTTCTCTCATCCGCTCGAACCACCGGCTCTTTCGCTCCAATCTCTCAACTCTTTCCACACCTTCCTTGGCAATCACGTTATCTATCTTCCAACCTATATCAGCCTCGTACCACCGCCTTTGTTCGCTGCCACGTGTCAAAAACGTATCGGCAGTGTCGTAAGGAATCCACATGTAGTTGAAGAGAGACCTTAACCTGAACATTTGATCAAACATTTTAGTAATATTTTTACATGTTTTCCTCATATATATATAGATATCAGTATATCACTTTCATTGTCAACCTCAGTGTAAGTACTTTTCGTCAAGATTTCACTACTTTTTTGTAATCCGAACATAAGTCAAAATTTCGTCCTTAGATTTTAAACTTTTTGTTGCAGTAGAATGAAACCATTAGTTAACCAAAACACAAACCTGGAGATAAAGTTAGTCGAGGTGAAATCTGCGTCTTCTTCGACTAAAGTTACCATCGTTGGGTTTAGATCTCTGAGCTCTTTCAAGAAAACTGATCGAGGACTGGGATGACCCGAAGAAGTTAGAGTTTCGTCGGGGATGTAATGGAGCATCATGTGGCAGTTAACAATGAGAGCTTCGTTGAAGACGAAAGGGTCTAATCGTAGCTGTTCGATAAGAGAAGACAGGCCGTCCGAGTAAGAAGAAGAGATGATTCTAAACTCCATTGCTACGTTACGTGTGGTTGCGAAGTTTACTAGTTTCGACCCAAGCTCTTCGTAGGAGATTCCGAGCAATGGAGGCGGGGGAGATTCGGCGACTACGACGGTGAGTTTGAGAAGCGGAGGAGGTTGTTCTTTGTAGAGTTTGGTTGCCATGGAGTCTATAAGAGTAGGGATTTGCATGCAATGAGTCAAACTCAAGTCAACGATGTGAACTGAGGAAGAACCTTCGACGGCGTCGAGGATCGCTGCGTTCGCGGCGATGAATCCGAAACGGTGCCACGGAGTGAGGTCCACGAACGACGCGAGCTCGATGACGGAGAAGCGGTGAAGCGTTTTCTGGGAGGCAGAAGCGACGGACAGAAATGCCAACGCGGGGCTTTTGGTGGCGGCGCGTGAAATCAACGCGCGGAGGAAGGAGGAAGCGAGTCTTTGGGTTGAGTCACCGTCGGGAGAAGCGAGGTTGTTGAGGACCCAAATGATCTGTTGAGCCAACGTGGCGTCGTTTGATTCGATGGCGTTTGCGCAGTGGAGGAGAAGCTGCTCCATGCTGTTGGCATCGCTGCAAAGTGTTTTGGAAGAAGAGAAAGCGGGCCAAACGGGTCGGGTCGGGTTTAGAAACATGGCTTTGTTCATGATGAGTGGATGTTAGAGAAGGGAACAGAAAGAACATAAGGAGAATTAAGAAGATGAAGGCAAACGATGGGAATAATATTAAATGCAAATTTGTAATGTTTTGAGAAAATAACAAAAGAAAACAAAAGAAGAAGGACGATAGAGTGTTGAAGGCAAGAAGGAAGAAAGAGACGAGACATATTGAGTAGTACCTTATCAATACGAGACGCACCGTTTTGATCCTCAAAACGAGACAAAACGTAGGTATGCAGCTTTTTTTTCTGGTCATGTGCTTTCGTTTTCGTTTCTCTGGGTCTTAATTTATATAGGCCTTATTATGTCTGAAATAGCTATATAGGTATAGCATTTATGGTTGCCATAGGTATATGGACAAAATATCTCTCATTTTGTAAAAGTTTTACCATTTTATGACGTCGCCTTTCCCTCCAAATTCTCGTACGTTCCACATATAGGTACTTGATTATAATTGAAATAACTACTGGAGAAAATTAAAGATTTGATTGTACATATTATTTTGTAAACGAAATTAGTTTTCCCGATTTTGCCACATTTTACAACGTGTATTTCTGTAAGGAACCAAAAATCATGGTTTTTGTCTATGGATTTTTCATATGATTCTTGGAATATGTTAGATGCTATTTTCATACCGTATATACATGATGTAAACAGCAAAAACACCGTATATATATATATATATATTAGCATGTATATCATTAAATGGGAACATCAAATCCAAGATATACATACACACACACGCACGCTCCTCAGAGAGGTTTGGAATCTCCGTGGAGGATTCCTTACCTTGAGATAACAGGGACTAGAGGACATGGTAAGGTTTGGTTTCATTACCCGATGTTGAATTAGACACCACGACAAATACTACATTGTCGACCATAAGAGTTAACTAATTTGTCATTTTGGTCAGCTAAATTAGTTGGGTAGAGTCTATAATTAAATCACATTCATCTCCATTACTCCCATTTTGAATCCTAAACTCAATATCATTAATCAGTATCCCAGCATCGTTGGCTTTTGATTTTAAAAATATAGTGGCCAAGAACAAATTATTTGTTAAATCAAATCGATAAGTCTTTTGGTGGAACTTGTTTTTGAGTGTGAACTCTCACATGGGGTTAGCTTTAAAATCGTCAGACAAATTACGGCATATAAAGAATCTTCTTATTTTCTTAAATATGTGGATCATTGCTAGAGAGATGGTGATGGTATATATTTCTGAGGTGATGGTGACGTCACAAGCCAGTGATCAAATTTGGTTGGTAAAATCTTTATCTGTGAGCTATATTTAATACTCCCATTTATCTTTTTTCTTGATTTCAATAGGTATAAATCATATGAACATTATTTATTAAAATGAGTTTGATGATAAAAGTTCTCTGAGGGACATAATTTTTTGTCATAATAGGTCGTATAGTTCAAACCTTTCGAGCACGATAAAAAAAAAAAATCCGTAAACATATTGGGCTTTCGGCAAAAAAAAAGGGCTTCATATAGCGTATGATCAATGGGCCAAGACAATCTATTGGGCCTAAATTATATCTGTCAGTGAAACAGTAATTATAGGGTCTAAATGGTATTGGGCTTCAGTGCGAAACCCAGCAGAAAGAGGAACTAATACCCACTTTTAAAACAGATGTACAAAAAAGAATTTTGGAAAGTTACCCCACCAAGACATATATCTAATTGCTTTGGTTCCACGGGAAAAATATTATATTTCGTAACATTAAATAGAGGGTTCTTGTATAACAATTATCCGGTTTGCTATAAATTATTTGTTTTTGTACTTACGTGCATATGTAGTTGATTAAGTTACATACGTAATTAATAGATAGGATGTGAGAAGATTAGTCAAAGTTGCCAATACCTTTGAAGGGTCAAACTCAAAGAAGGCTAAGATTGGATATAATAAGTTCCGGCGATGCGGGAGACAGTCACGTGGGTTTCACGTGTTCAGACAGCGTTCGGTCGTTGTCTTCAATGGCTCCTAAATCTCCGCTGGTCCCAAGTCCTCAAGATTCTATACGCCTCCTCTGTCCTTATTTACTAAATTACCCCCACAGAACATTCGCGATCCGCTTGTTAGCTAACGACGTTTTGACTTTTGATACACCAGCTAGCTATTATGCACGGGTTTATTTTTACTTAGTATAGATATTTTTTATTTTTTATTTTTTTTTGCTAAAGAACATGTAGTATAGATTATGGCCTGTAAATCTGTAATCTACAAAATACGATTTTTTTCGATTTTATTTTATTTTTTATGCTACACACTACTACACAATCATAATCATAATCAGTCAAGTTTTATCACTTTACCGAAGGACTTTTGTAAATTAATTCTGTTATTTTTTGTCGATAATTCCGTTATTTTCGTTTACATAGTTTAAACTACTTTTATGTCATCGATATGAACGATAATTGATGTATTACGCCCAAAGCTCACTATAATTAAAGAAAAAAAAACTTTGAAGTCCAAACCTTAAAAACGTATAATGACATTAAATAAGATCCGATATGTGTGGAAGGAATCAATAAACAATCGAGTATATTAGGTATCAATTTAATTTCTATTGGTCAAAAATATATGTAGTGGATAACGTTATAATCTAACCAAATACAAAGTGCGTGGGTTAGGAGATGGAAACTCGTTAAAAAGAGTTTAGGGTACGACCAATAAAATCGTTGAAGGGGCATATGTCTCTTGGACTCTCCCACGACGAAGGATCGTTTTATATAAAAACACTGGTTTTTGCCTGTTCATTAGTTGCAAAAACAACACTAGTGACATGGCTGTTGTCTTTTAAATCATCTTACGTCATACCTTATAAAATCTTTAAACGATTAAATTCCAAAACAAACAAAATGAACACGTCATCAAAGATAAACGAAAACAGTTGTCTCGCTCTATGAATGTCTAAGACTCTAAGTACAGAGTTTTATTGACATTCTGATAATTTGTGAGAGTGATTCAAAATTATTTCTTTCATTATCAGGCAGAATAAAATGTTCTCCTCACTTTGATAAGCTGATTACATTTGTAATATAAAAAAAATATATATATTTTCTTGCATATCATCATTATTGATAAGATGGGATAAAAGCAGCCAAGTATTATTAAGTCAGCAAGTGGGCTCGGAGACGTAAGGTGAAGGAAAAAGACTTATTAGGGCCTACCAGGGTCCAATTACAGCTACGGCTTTTTACATCCAGCATGAGTCGTTCTAATCCTTATTGATTTGACTTCAATATGTATCTTGAGACATGTCGTTGCTGATATCATCTTGAATATGAGTCAGGTAAACCTGTTTTCCATCATTTATCTTCATTATCTTTATCATTTTTCAAAGTTATTTTCGAATTAGACGTTAAACAAATATATGGTCGTACAGTGGTTAAATGATTCTCTATATTAATTGATAGATTAAGATTTTAAGTATTTCCACTGCTTTCAACCATTGATCGTTGTGCACTGCTTAGATGAAAAAAAGGGAAATAAATACATTTTTTAACAAGCATCATTGTTTAGTAAGCACATGATGTTTTAGTTCTTACACAAATTTTAAGATATTTTTTTCATTATTTTTTTATTTTCTAATACAACTACACCAATAGAATAAAAGTAAAAATAATATTCAATCCAAATATATTAATTAAAAACTAAAACATTATTTTGAAAATAAATAGAAATTCTAAAACATCATATATTTAAAAATAGAAGGAGTATGTATTTCTTCTATATGAGATCCCAAAATAGGACAAAAACGTTAAACATTATGTTTAGAGAAAATGATTAACATTGTTTTTATTATGATAAAAAAAAATCGTCCACATATGCAAAATACAGTAATCTCATTATAGATCAAATCTCATTTTAGTTACCGTTGTTATAGATATATATTATTTACAAGTGGAACTAATTATTATGAGTGGAAGGGACGGAGCAGATTGAACGCTAGAGGATGACGTGGGACCAATTAGACGTTCCCAAGATCGGTGGAGATCAATCCAAAGATGAGGGAATTAGAGTAGACGAGACAGAGACAATTTATCGTTTTCTTGTACCATGTAATGTCAAATAAATTATACTCATAACAGAAGTAAATGAAAAAGGATTAACAAAGTCAAAGCATATCGATTCCTTTAAATTCCGACCAAGTTGAAATATGGATTTTATTTTCTCTTGTTTATTACTCCCTCTTTTCACATAAATTAAGAAAATTAACAAAAAGTATTTTTTATTCTTAATAAATACACTAAATAACTTTCTTTTTATAATTAATACACTAAAATAACAAGGTTAAAACTGGATATTTTATCATAAATTTGCATTGGAAACCTAAAATAATATTTTTTGTAAAACAAAAACAAAACTCTAAAACAACACTCTTTATGAAATGGAAGGAGTAGTAATTTAAAAAAATTTAATACATAAATTCCGATGACGTGGACTATTGCCTTTTGCTTGCCATTGGATAGGTGGAAGAATAAAATGTGGGCCTACTACTATCATAATACATCCTTTTATGATAATCATAAAACGCCAAACATCTCATTAGAGCCGAGTACATTTACATTTTAAATAACGATTTTGGCTTTTGGAGAAATAATAATATCAACTGCGTTATTACTACTACTTTTTTTTTTGTCAAAAACGTTTTTTTTTTTCAAAAACGCTGGCATGAATAAGGTTATCGGGGTTTTATTTTACTTTTTCCCATAATCCCATTAAGAACCAAGTATAAAAAACACATTTTCTTATCAAAAAAAGGATTGAAAAATTGATGGACAAATGTCCTGAGAAATAATTCATAACAACAAATACGAAAACTTACAAAAGCGACGATAAAGAAAAAACTTGAGGATGTGGCTGAAAATTGTTTAAAAAAATAGAAAAGAATTAGTTGTGCTTTTATTATACTACTGTATTTATAAAGATAAAACGTCATGTTATACGAATAATTGTCTCATATACGTGTGATCTTAGATAGTTTGTTATATAAAGATAAAACGTTATGTTATACGTATAATTATCTCATATACATGTGATCAAATAGTGAAAGAAGTAACGATCAAATAGCACTCGTCCGAATAAATTGGAGAGTCGATCCAAAACCAGCTGATTAAATATATAAAAATATAATAGCTTTATCCAAACTCGAATATTATTAATAAAACGAAGAAGAAAAGGAGAGTGTGTTTTAGGGTTGTCCATGGGTGAAAAATGGCTCTTTGCGTCGTCCAAAAGCCGCCTCTAAACCAAAGGGCTCTCTGTGTCATGTGTGCCTCCTCTCCTGCTCTCCAGCCATTTGGTCCAACCACATGTTTAGATATATTGTATATCCACTTTTTCACACATTTAAATATATGATATGTACGGCGAAACATTTTTGTGATATTTTTTCTCCATTATTTTAGCTTATTTAATGTGGTAGGAGCCCATTATACTGGTTGGGAAATTTCTTGTGGGGGAAATTTTACTTGCTAAAATATACACACATTCATTTTCTATATGCAAAAAAAAGTTTATTGACGTTGGTTATCCAACAAAATAGGCTCAGAATCTGCTATAAGAAAAAAACTGAACACAATATATATAAGACTTGGTGAATCGTTTGGTGTTAGCAATTATTTCGAGTTTATATTCTCATATCAACTCTAAACAAATAAATAAAAATATCTTCGTCATAGGAATTAGGACACACTGGAAAATAGATAATGAAAAAGTAATATAGTCGAAATTTATAATGTTCACTCAATCAAGTTTTACATTGGTTAATGACTCTAAACCGAGAGAACAAAATCACGTGGTTAACTCGCCGGTCACAATTCCCAAAGGCATCCACGAAAGCGGGAAGAAAATGTGTAAAATTACATTTTAACCCTATCTAAATCAGAGCAAAACGACAACGTTCCTTAAACGAAAAGGGTAAGCAGCTTGCTTGTCTCTCCTCCGTTTCCGTACAGATCACCACCAGTTGCGGTGTTATCCCAAAACGACGTCGTCGTTGTCGTAGTCACTGATTCCTCTGAGTTCATCGACGGTGATCCCACTCGCCGCCGTGTTGAAGAAGGTGTTGTTTTAATGGGGAAATTAGGGATCAGTGATAGATCGAGCTCCGAAGATGGTTGTTGTTCTGATGCCAAACGCTTACGTTTCGTTGGAGAAGAATCCGTCGTAGATCTGGATCTAGAGCTTGAAAATCGGGAATGATGGTAGATGTTACGATCGCTGGAATTATTCTGCTGGAGATTCAACATTTCCGTGCAGATCTCAGATGCTTCTTCGGATGTAGCCGATGGAAACCCGGCGAATCCGCCGCCGTGATTGAGAAGCTCAGGGATTGGTCTCAAAGAACCTCCGCGAAGCACCGTCTCAACCGCCGCTTGGCAGATATTCCAATTTCCAGTCCACAACATTCCGATTGCTCCGTTTACCGGATTCACAGTTCTTCCACAGGCTTCGTAGAGCAAAGACTGAAACAGAGCTGCACAAAAATCGAAAAACCCCGAGATCAGAGACCGACGACGAAATTCAAAATCAAATTCAAACCGGTTGAGATTTGGTTTGGTTAGGTTAAATACCGGGACGTTGAGGTTCCGGTACAGCAGAGATAAAGGACATCAGACCGGCGCGGCCAAAGAATTTAGCGACGAAGACGGTGGCGTGGCCTTGAGCATCGGCGGTTTCTATCCATTGAATACATGGCCGGAGGATGCAATTCTCGCTGCAACCTTTCCGGAGCACACGGCAGCCATTGCAACTCATTTTTTTTCCAGATTAAGACTATTATTTGTGATCGCTAAGCGTTTTAATTCTTTACTGCTGATGTCTGGCAGAATCGTCGAAGAAGAAGAAGTAGAAGAATTCCTTTGGGAGCAAGAAAGTGATCTTCGCAAAGAAAGAAAGGGAGAGAGAGAGAGATTAAATGTTTTACGAAGATAGAGAAGAGAACATATATATATACACCTAAATACATATATATTTAAATCCAATTTGGGTTTTTAGTATAACTATATATATTTGAATAATAAAATAATTAGGAGACATAGTAACTTAGGAAAGCAAGCGTATTGGTGCGTGAGGCTCGCCGCCGTAGAAGTTTCTTCCAAAGAAAAATAAATGGATTGCATTTTTAATAATTTGTGTATATGCATATTTATGAAGTGACCTTAGAGAGGGAGTAGTCAAGATTCCAAGATGATGGGTGTGAGCGGCTCCGTGTCTCCGCGAAAAGTTGTGTCTTCTCTCAGCCGTTCATTTTAAAATTTTATTTTTACTTCTAATAGTTATACCCTTTTTTTTTTTTTTTTTTTTTATGATGCGTCGACAACATTATCCGCAGCTTCTTGTTGGAGCTGACAACTGTGAAGTGAAATTGGAGCTTCTTATTCTCCAATAATTATATAAACATATATGTATGTATTTATAAAAATATTTACATGTTTGCTATATTTTTATTATGTATATATATATAGACTAGAGTTACCGGTCCGTTTCTCAACGGATTCTGAATCCCTCATTCAACTTTATATGGTAGAGAGGATAACTGAAATAAAGATAGTAATCAATGGAGTCTGCAAAATAGCGTCAATAATTGCTTCCATGGTTACTAAGTGGGCGAAATAATATCTAATTATGGGTTAGGCTTTTTAAGAATCTTATCTTTTTCATGGAATGATAATCATAACAACTAATTTTGGTATATGATATGAGATCACATGGAGCACAATATAAGAGAGAGATAGAGAGTTAAATATGCGTCTTTGCCCCCTAATTTCTCCAACATTTTTTTTTTTACCTTTAGATAAATAAGAACATATTAACAAGATCTAAAAAAAAGACAGAATAATAGGATAAAATATATATAATAATTTAGGGGACTAACCTCTAGGTCGACCCCTGAAAGAAAGAAAGAAGCGATTGACCCTATAACATCCTTAAGAGACCTAGCAGCTAATGAATGATTGAATATTAGTTTTGCAATATAAGTCTTCTTCTATTGTCACTCTCCACACAGCTAAAGCGAGGCTTTGCATGCAATTATGTCATGGGTGACGTAATGAACGTTTTCTTTTTCCCACATACCAACTAATAATAATTGGGATAAAACTAAAACGTCGTCGTGTTTGCGTTCTGAGATTTACGTGGTATCTTCTATCCGTAGCCATTGGCCCATGACACTGCTACTGCTATTACTGATTTCTTTGCACTATTACGTCCACTAATTAGTGAGCTGAAATTTTAATGGGCCGGCCCATGAAATTCTGCATTCATCTAAAGCACCTATGACTTCGTTTGTCGCGAATCGTTGTAGTTTACTTTGTTTTTTTGTAATCAATAAATATGTGGGTCTCGACTCTCGAATTTGGGTAACGAAGATAACAAGATTTCACGAAAAACTTATCATCAGTACATAAATAAGTTTGTGAGGGTTAAATATATACCATGGGCCGTGATTTCATCCGCACTAATCTAATAGTCAGTGATATACTTTTATTTTTTGTTGGGTTTAATTAACCTACAGAGGACAAGTTCCAAAGATAGCTTATCTTAGATATCATAGATTTTCTTGTAAGGATTTATAAACGTAAAACGGTAAAAGTAAATAACAATTATATGGCAGATTTTTTTTAAAAAAACGAATTACGTTATCTAGTTGACAAAAAACTAATTACTTTATTTTATTTTATTTTATCTAAAGATTAATTTATTAATAAACATTATCACAATCATCGTTTACAAGAGACGCAGTGAAAAGACAAACAAATATGAAACAAACTACATGAATAAGTTGAATTAGCTCCACATGACAAATCTGTTAAATGGTTTTCAGAAAAATATAGCTGTTAGACCCATGTTAAATTTTATTTAAATTTGTTTACAAAATTATTTTTGGAGGGGGGTCTCCAGGGGTCTCAAACTCTTATAAACCATACCTTTTTTTGTTGTTGTATAAACCATACTTTTAAACAAGAAAAAAAAATAAAGTACAGATAATATTATATATACGTTTAAATCCTGAATTTCCACATGCCCTTTTTTCAAAGTTGGACAATAAACTAAACAATACGCAGATACATGCATTTATGTGAAGTTTATTCTACAAAAAAAACTGATCATATTGATGTATACGTGGTTCGGACCGGGTTTATTAACTTCTATGTTATATTATTAGACTGCTTGACCCCTAAATTAAGGAAGAAATAAAATTTAAAGAATTAATTGAGAAGTGAGGTCACAAAGTCTAATACATCAGCAGACATTTTATGTCTTTTAGCAACGGCATACCTACGTAGCGTGATGTACAATTTTGGCATTTGAACTTTTTTATATTTCAATAAAAGGAAATACCCTAGAGGTTTACAACTAATCATGTCCATTTGATTATTATTATCTCTAATTCGTCATTGCTTAATCAACTTTCAACTCTTTTATGTGGACAACAAACAAGATTTCAATTAAACTCGTGAATATTCCCAAGTAAAGTTCCAAGCAGTCTCTCGACACCCACAATTTTTTTTACATGATTTACAATTGTTTTAAGTAATATTTAATCAAAACAATAGCACAAAATATTATCAGTCACTTACTTGTTTCTATGTTATCATCTAGTATCTTTTTTGTTGTTAAATTTTGTTTTTTATTACAAATCCAACCAACTCAAATCTCCTTAAAATATTAAAAGCCTTTTAACAAAAACAAAAATCGTTAAATATGATAGTTTAATATTAATTATAATTAATGACATTATAGTGGTGAAAATACAATATGTATATATATATAAATAAATACCTGAATGGAATAGATTTATTATAATATAATATGATGCATGACTTTTTCAATTTACAATTTGAAAATTGAATAAACGTCTTCAATCATTATTGCTATCATTCTGTAATCAAAATTTTCAAATATTTATTGTTCTCTAATTTTTTTTGTTTTTTAAAAAAAACTTGATATCATAAAATACTGATATATCGATTTGTTAGAAAAAAAACTTCATCAAGAAAATAATGGACAAGTAAAAAGGACCTAAAAGGTAAGTCAATAAATAAGTTATAGCATCAAATATATGTAAATATTTTAACAGAAAATATACTTAATTAATATTAACAAATTGATTGGAAGTGAGACATTGCGAAGAGATAGAGAAGAAACTTGAGATACGAATCCAATCCAAAGAATATGAGAAAAAGCAAAACAAAGTGAGAGAACATTGTGGAAAAAGCAAGCCGTCTGATCACGTTCGATATATTATGATTAGCGCAGAAAGATGATATTCCACCGTAAGTTAAAGATTGCGAAGCACCTTTGCACTTCTCTAAAATATGAATTTGATAAAATATTTAAAAGCCAGAAAGGTAATCTCTTTTATTCTAAATGGGCCTACGTCTAGAAAAATCGACGGCCTATGTTTCAGGAGAAATTTTCAGGACCACCTCTCTCTTTGTGCCACGTTGCAGATTCTCCCTTCCCTTTGTTCATCGGACCGAACCGAACACATCTCTTTTTTTTTTTAATTTTTATTAACAAGATCTATTACAATTACAAATTACATTTGTTTTTGTTAACTAAGATCTATACAATCTATTACTCCCTACGTTTCTAAATGTATGTTTTAGTTTTTGTTTTTATTCTATAAAATATGTTGTTTTAGAGTATTAAATATTCCCTCCACAAATTTCAAGAAAAATAATTAAAATTATTTAAATTTTTAATTTTTTATTGGTTAACAATTATTAAAAAGTAATTATTGATAAAAAGTAATGCATTGAAAACTAAAACATAATTGTTTCTTAATTTATGTGAACATGCCAAAATATCATACATTTTAGAATAAATCTTTTGTTTTTTAATCAATATCATAGCTTATATTGTTGAAGAAATGTATGATTATTATAATATTATTTATATTGTTCCTAGACTTCAATTTTTCTTATGATAGTGGAAACTCGTTGTGAATGTATTTGTACACAGTTATTAATGTGTTCTAGATAAATTAAAGGTAATGTTTCCAAGTGGTAAAACTTTTTTATTCCACTCTATTATTATTATTTTTGCTAGGGTCACATTCTAGTTGGTTATTTCTTATCTGGGTAGGGCTGTGCATGAGAACATTTATCTGTTACATTTACACTAAAGGAAGAAACTATTCTCATATTTGAGTTTGTTTTGGCCATGAGACACATCTCATGGAGTTGCATAAAAGATAACGAATCAAAGATATTGAATCAAACTGAGTATGACTGTAAATGAAGATTAAAAAGATTTTGAAAGGGAAAGGGATATCGAAGTGATGACAGTGATGATAATGTGGAATCATTATGACATCAATTAAAAAAATATAATAAATAATCTAACGTTTCTAATTGAGCTCTATATATAAAAATTCAGCAAATGATAATTATGATATAGGCATATAGCTGACTATATTTATATCTTAAAACAAAAGCAATTGATCAAATGGATCGTAGCTAATCCTAAACCCACCACGTATCTCCGCCGCCATTTCAGCTTTTTTTGTGCTTCGATAGACTTTTTCTTACAGATTGTTAATTGATATGTGGTCGTATTATCTATGATACTTTAAATTCCCAATCGCCTTTTTCCCCCTGTGTGTGTGTTTTCATCTGTTATAGATTTCGTTCTAAATAATAAGCAGCGTTATTCAGCAAAAAAATATATTAAGCAGCGTCATTTAAAGTTTGGGACGTAGCATTTATAATTTTATAGATGTGATGAAAATCAGTACACAGTATACTTATATGTATGTAACGGAGTCGCAGTGCCATGTAATTGGAAGAACTATAAAATATGATATAAGTTAGAATCGTCGAAACGGAATTAACATATGAGACGTGATATTCCCGGAAAATATTGCTAAACACGAATCATAACCGGATCATCAACATAAAATATAACCAGATATGCGAATTAAAAAAACACACGGAAATGAAGAATAATCGACAGAGCTCCAAAGAAAGAGCACTAACAACAACATTTAAATTATAAAAAGAGAGAGAGAGATAGTGATATAATTAAGTAAACCGCTAATCATATACTAATTAACTAGCTAGGAGAACAAAGCAAAATACTAACTATAAATAGACTAATGACAATACCCACTTTGTGAAAGAAACACTCTGAAATATTTGTGAGAAGTAAACTTTTTTCTTTTAGATTTCCCGTACGGTTTTATAATACTTAAAGTTTAATTAGCTGATAAGTTGGTTTAAAAATCATGGCGAAAGGATTTCATGTAGTGGTGGTGAGAGATTATGATCCAAACAGAGACTTAACGAGAGTGGAAGAGCTTGAGAAAAGCTGTGAAGTCGGGTCTTTATTAGTGGATCTCATGGGTGACCCGCTTGCCCGGATCCGACAGTCTCCTTCTTTCCACATGCTGGTACGTATACATACATATACGTTATGTTCTTTGATTTTTGATTTGCTATTTTGCTCTATTGCTTGTACTCGATTTCATTTGGGCAATGCATGCGACAGGTGGCAGAGATCGGTAATGAGATAGTTGGAATGATCAGAGGAACGATCAAGATGGTGACACGTGCTGGAAATGCATTACTTGATCAACGTTGTAAAGACGCCGGCGTTTTGCCGGAAGTTAGCACCACCAAACTCGCCTTCGTCTCCGGCCTACGAGTCTCTCCGTTTTACAGGTTCAAGTTCTTAATAGTGTTTTTCTTTAATTAATTCATTATCACGAAAGCAAATATACACGTACGTTTCTTACAATCATTTCTATATTACAAAAAAAAAACTATATGATGCTTTCTAGTTAAATTATAATATTTTGATGATACATAACGCCTAACGGAAAAGGAAGTTAGCAATTTTTTATTAACGACTTTATAGATATTTAAAACTAATGAAATTAAAATATTGTAGGAGGATGGGAATTGGACTGAAATTGGTGCAAAGACTAGAAGAGTGGTTTCGACTAAACGACGCTGTTTACGCGTACGTGCAAACCGAAAGCGACAACGCAGCTTCGGTCAAACTCTTCACCGAGAAAAGCGGTTACTCCAAATACCGAACACCTACTTTCCTGGTCAACCCGGTCTTTAACCACCGAGTCACAGTCTCACGCCGAGTCAAAATCATCAAACTCGATTCCTCCGATGCCGAGTCACTCTACCGCAACCGATTCTCCTCCACCGAGTTTTTCCCTTCGGACATCAACTCGATCCTCACCAACAAACTTTCCCTCGGCACTTTCCTCGCTTTGCCACGTGGGAGTGACTACGTGTCCGGATCTTTACCCGACCCCACCAAATCATGGGCAGTTATAAGTATCTGGAACAGTAAAGACGTTTACAGGCTTCAGGTCCAAGGAACTTCGCGTCTCAAACGCACGTTAGCGAAAACAACGCGTGTCTTCGACAGTGCGTTTCCGTTTTTAAAGATCCCGTCGTTTCCTAATCTTTTCAAACCGTTCGCAATGCATTTTTTGTATGGTATCGGTGGAGAAGGCCCACGTGCGGCGGAGATGGTGGAAGCCCTTTGCTCACACGCTCATAATATAGCTAGAAAAAGCGGTTGCACCGTCGTGGCGGCTGAGGTGGCGAGCTGTGAGCCACTCAGAATTGGTATCCCTCATTGGAAGGTCCTCTCGCCGGAGGATTTGTGGTGCTTGAAACGTCTCCAAGATGATGACAATGTAGATTGGACTAAATCAACTCCTGGATTGTCTGTTTTCGTTGATCCTAGAGAAATATAATCATTTACTTTGTATATAACACATCTTAGGGGAGTCTAACCACCAAACAAAAAAACAAAAATTACAAAACCCAATACTAAATCTCAGTGTTATTATACCTATGCTTTTTTGTTTTGTTTTATCTGTAATTTCATACTGAATAAATTGTATTTAAACTGGATTACAAGCATATATATAAGCATGTATAACATATATACATGCCAATGTTTCTACTTACTCGAATTATGTATCGTTATTTTTTTTTATGGATCGTTGTTTCAAGACTATATTGTTATAGGCTCGGATGACCGGCCGTATGATTTGTTAGCTGAAAAGTTAGTGATTTCACTATTTAAGTCAAATATATAGAGCAAATTGTAATTTTGTATGGTATTATTTTAGCTAGAAAAACCAGTTACAGAAGCTAATTATTTGATTAATATCTCTCCACTTGTAGAATGTAAATCTATCCCCATATCCCCCCGTAGTAAAGGAAGTCAAAATCAAAGTCTTCGGTTATTGTTATATGTAAGATCGAACTTTTTTAAAGGAAAAAAAAGTTTATTCTTGGTCAACGAGGAAAAGGTTGATGAATCCAAACTAAAATAGATAATAAAAGCAGATAAATTGACAAAATGAAACAAACGTAAACTTTTGAAAGTATATAATAAATTGGAGATGACGTAGAACAAAGAAGCTCATGGAACACTCACCAACTTTTATTTATTTATATAACCTAATTATTTTCTTTCTTTAGCAGAAATACCAACTTTTCTTTATAGTTTTCATGGTCAAATCTGGCTGGCTAAACCCCTTTTTTATTTATTTTCTTGCAAATTGCTGGTATTAATGTTATTAACAAATGAAGAAAGAACAGGTTCGATCAATAATAATAGATACGAAGTTTGCAAGTAATCTTCAAAAGATTTCTTCCACACTCTCTCGGCTACCTTTTTTTAAAGAAGGAGAAAAGGAACTAAAGGCACTATTAGAATTTGGATTTCTGAAAATTATAACGGTTAACATAACCAAAAACTTTGGGTTATATGTCACCACAACAAAACTTTATCTAAACAAACCCTATTAGATCTAAAGCATGTTAGCTTAAAAGAAAGCCTTAACTAAGAAAAACAAAAAAAAAAGAAAATAGTCTAAAGTCAAGACGATGATCTTCTCCGGCGAGTCGACGGTGTCGATTTATCATCGACGGTGGTGGCTGAGCCAGGACTTTCAGATGTATCTGAGCTACTAACATCTCCGACACCGTCTCTGTCTTTACCTGTCCAAAGCTTGGAAAAGAGCCGAGACATCACAACTCCTTTAGCCTTCGTCTTCTCAGAGCTACTCGTCTTGTCCCTCGTCGTTGTCGTTGTCGTTGTCGTCGTCGTCTCCTCCGTGGCCGTGACTGAGTCACACTCTTCTTCCGTCGTCGTCGTCCTTGAGCTCCCGTGAGAGCCACTCGGTGGAAGAGAAGGTCTCGGGGTGGGACACGTGGCACGGACTTGCTCGAAGAAGAGGATCTGCACAACGACTCGTAAAGGTAACCGCTCGTTTTGCACGGCGTGAGTACATGCCTCCGGCGATAATTTCCGGCAATCCATTAATCGGCATATTGATTTCTTCTCGCTCTTTGTGATTCCTGGATGTTGCTGTAGATTCATAGATAGAATTGAGTTTACAAATTGACAGAAAAAAATGATCCAAAAGTTTTAGAAATTAAGAAAAGTTTGAGAGCAGAAATGACCTTTAAGAACATATCAATGGCACGATAAATCCCATCGTGTGACGTTCTTGGGAAAGTCGAAACCTTTTCTTCAATTTTGATGAACTTCAAAGGAGACAAGTTGGGTTCTATCCTCGCGATTTCAGCCAAGTATCCGTCGATTAGCTTGGCGACAATTGCTTTCGAGCTGTCTGAAACAAACACGTTTCCATCGTTGGTGTCTGAACAATCAACCTCGTCGTCTCTTTTCTGTGTCTGTGCAACAAACTCATCGATCAAGGTCTCAACAATGTCAATGTCATACACTGTTTCACATCCTTGTGAAGCTCTGATCAAAAGATCAGCCACGTTTGCTTCCTCAAGCTTCTCTCCTATTCTTCTACTTAACTCTTTCCTCTCCTCTTCTCCACATTCCAAAGAAACCGATGATTTCAACAGCTTGATCAAGAACCCACAAGAAACACTCTGTTTCCCACTAGGCAACAACGAAACCAACGTCTCCAACAAAGATCTGCTTTCCTCCACATCATAATCATCATCGGTTTGGATCATGAAACCAGGGATTCTCTTCCCTGCATATACCTCGAGAGCTTCTCCTACAACCTCAAGCGAAACAGATGGTTTTCTTCTGACGGTCGAAATCACTCTTTTGTATAAATCAATGCTAAGCTCGGCGAGATCTTCGACCCACCAATCTCTCGGCACACCGTTGTTGTTAATCTCAGGTGGAAGAAGCTTCCTTCGGTTATATGTATAAGACCAATCTACTCTTGCCGGATCCATCGCAGCTTTCGAAGCGATAGATTCCAAACACCTCACATCGATTTTAACATCTTCGGACCACGGATAAAACGATCTTGTCGTCTGGAGAACAATGATGGAGTCTTTCCAGCTCCTCAAAACGCTCGAGTTCAAGAAAACCTCGATCTTGTAAACAAGATTCCCGCTTTCGATCGATTCATACATCTCCAGATACTCAGCAGCGCAGCGAACAGCCACGACATTGTATGCGTTGAGAGTCACAGTCATTCCGTAACAGAACTTGGCGCATATCTCAAACGCTTGAGGTCCTCCCGGGATATCAGGAATGCGTATCTCATCATCTGCTTGTTCATCGATTGTTGCAGCTATCAGTTTCTGAAGACGAGCGCTTTTGGACAGAAGAGGAAACTGTTTTTAAAAACCCACAAAGAAACAAGAAGTTGTTTCACATTAAGAATGGTTTGGTTCCAACGAGTTTTCTTATATCTGAAAAGAATTGAGAGATTTAGATTTAGTTTACCTTGTGAAGATAGAATTTTACATCTCCAACATTTACAACTACATCGGTCGCTAAATCCGATGCTACATACCTGTAAGCAGCAAGAAACGTAAGATTCATATGAAGGAAAGACAAAAATGGATATATATACTAAAGTCTTCAAGACATTTTACCTTATGCAATCTTCGTCAGACTGAAACGAATCCGGTTTGGATCCAAGTTTCATAAACTTCATTTTTCTCCTTAAACACACAAACAGAGATTGTTCAGCTCTCTCTTTCTTCTCTCAAATCGAACCTGCGAAATAGTAGTTGTCACAAACAAGAGCATTAAGGTTTCAAAAACTGAGATCCTTATTGGATGCAAAAGTATAAACAAGCAGAGTGTTGTTGAAGCATAAGCTGTGACACTTTATAAATTAGACTTTCAAGACTTAAACTATAAGAGAAGAAACCTATTTTTTTCTTATTTTGTTGGTAACGAAGATTGATTAAAGGGGAAACACTGAAAGAGAAAAAACCAAAAGAGAGAGATGTTCCACTTGCTTACAAATCCGACACGTTGCATTCTTTATTATCAAATTCTCTGTTTTTGGTTTTGTTTTCAATGTTCTGTTTTTTATTTTTGTGCCGAATCTTTTCAGGTTCAGAGAGCATCAAAGGAAGAAGAAAACAAAAACCCAGAACCCTAGAAGAAAGTGCGAATATCCGATTAAGAATAAAGCAGTTCTTGATATGTGTTGAGGAACATTTGAACAAAAAAAAAAAAAAAGATATGTGTTGAGGAATAAACGCATTAAAGAGAGACTAAAATAAAAGCAGTGAAGATCGATGGAGAGTAGCTAAAGTAGCGAAATCAAAAAGATTATGTTATGTTGGTGAGATAAATCAATTATCCAAAACCTGTGATTTTTCTAATTAAATAAATCAAATCAAATCGACCCATTTATAGACATTCAACCAAAGTTTTGGTCTTTAGAAACCAAACCATGTGTTTCTAGTTTAAAATCTACAGAATTAAGAGCTTAAAATGTGTAGACCAACAGAAGTTTCTCAAACCTTAGAAAACAACAGAAAAATATGATTTTTAAGCTTTTATTTCGATTTTAAGAAGACTAAAGATGCCCACAAGCAACAAGATGAAACTGCAAAAAAAAATTAAGAAAAAATGAATTGGAATCAACAAAAACTCATACCTCTGGTGGAAAAAGAAACCTCCTTTAGGATCAATTGGATGAAATTATGGAGAGAAAAACAAAGAAAGGGGGAGAAAACTGTTTGGCTATATTGCTGCTGTTTGTAGACAATCCAAGAGAAATCCGACAAAACACAAAACAGCAATCCAACAAAAGAAAAACCCTAAAAAGTAAAAAAAAAAAACAGAGAGAATCAAAGAAGATGAGGTGTTTCTTCTTCCTTCTCGCCTTAGTGCAAATCTGAAACCCTCAGAATGTTCTGTCCCCTTGCTCTCTCTCTCTCTATCTCTCTCTTCCCAGTGTCCCACTCTCTGAATCAGCACCACCGCCTCCACTACTCTAATTTTTTTTTGAAAAAACTTTATATAAATTCGATTAAAGAAAAAGCTGTTTTTGATAATTACCCAGGATTTGTCTCACTGTTTTCAATCGGATTCAGTGATGTGTTACTTTTTCTTTTCTCTAATGGACAAGAACTCGAAGCAATGGTTTAGCTTTAAAAGTAGTGGCAAGTAGCAACGATTTAATGTGTGTATTTATAAATTCAGTTCAGTCACGCTAAATCTGACAAGTAAAAGTAAAACTGTGTGCTCTGCTTCCACATTCTGACTCGCTCTCTTTTTTTTTTTTTTTTTCCTTTTGTGAAAATGAGTATTCTCACTAGAAATGAAGATGAGAGTATTTTTGTGTGAATACGTGAATTCATAAAATATTATTTTTGCAAATTGCGAGTCATTTCGGAATATGCTAATTCATGGGTTTATGACAATAGTTGGACTTTGGTGTGATGAGTTGGCCAACGGAACCAATGTTTTTCCGTCAAAGTAAACATGCATTTATGAGGAAAATAATTACAATCTTTTATTTTTGACCACCAATAAAATAATAATGTTTGGTGTTTCTTATAAATTCCGTTGCTATCCTGGGTAAGTGTGTATCCTTTGTTCTACTTCAAAATGTCTCGTTATTTGCACTAATATTTTTACCAGATTAGCTCAATGGATGAGGAAACCATATAACAGATTATCTTCATTTTTTATTTTATTACCAGAGAAACAGACTATTTTACCTTTAAAAAATATTGAAAAATAGATCTATATTTGATTTCTTTAAACGATAAACCGATAAAACAAGTGAACCCGTCTTTTGCCCTTGTGGACGGAGGGGGACCGCACGCAACGTTTCTTTTTTTATTATTAACATTTAAGTAAAAAATATGTATATCAAATCAAATAAAAAAAACTATTTAAATATTTAACCTGTTTATCTTCTCTGCCTTTTAATTCTTTCAACAGACCCCCAACACTGAAATCCAAAAGGATCCAATGTCAATAAAAAAAACTATCTTTCTAGTGAAATATCATAAATATAATCCATTCTAATATTTTAACATAGGATTATACCCCCACGTCACCCTCCGGCGCATCCTGTAAGGATGAATGTGCTTCATGAACTATTAAAGATATCAACAATAATAAAACGAAATAGTTTAATTTTGAAAGGAATCTGAATAGTGAATAGCACCCATCACCCTAAGGCAACGTAATTATATTAATTAAACCTGTAGATGTTTATAAATGCGACTAGAGAAATGTTTAATTTCTTATGAATTGTTTTGTCAAGTTCTTATTTATTTACGTTAGCGGGTAGCTCTTGAAGAATTCTGTTTTTTTTTTGTTTTATAATATAAATGTAAAAACTATTAACATGAAGAACTTGAATTTCAAAAGGAAAAGAAGGCATAATAAATAAAAGGCAGAGCGCATCAAAATGAGGGTCACATGATTATGGAGAGAAAGATAAGGCATCGTTAAGAGTTTGGTCGGTTAGGGGAAAACTGATGATTACTTCCAACGGTTTTGGTCAATGGACTTTAAAGATTGAACATTAGTGTACCTATCACACGTGCTTTGTGGATTATTTTCAACGTCCCTATCTCAATTTCTACTAAGTCATAGTTTCTTTTCTCAATATGCTGAACTTAATTTGCCAAATCATCCTCAATAGAATAAAGACAATATAGGTACTTAGTATAGCGTTGATTGTAATTAGTTGGCCAAAATGTAAACCATCAGTGTCCCATAGTCCATAGACATGAGTTTCTTAGTTACAAAATTAGTATAACACGGATTAATTAGTAAAACAGAGATTAAATAGATATCAGAAAGCACATGGGAGACGCAGATTCTCATAGACAAACAAGATCATATGCATGCATATTTGCTGATTAACCTCCGTGTGTGGGTAACATGTTCGAATCATTACGGTCAAAGCTCTTGTAGTTTTCAATTTTACTCCCCTATAATAACTTTACTTTATTATATTTCTCGTCATCATTGAAATAATATATTCAAAACTTTGGAACAATATTATTCTCGACCATCTTGACCGAGTGACATGCCTTATTAGGATCGAAATATATATATGTACATTTATCCTTTTAGATAGTGGGCCATTTAAGAAAATGGATCAGTATACAATCATATGGGCTTATCAAGCAGGCAGCTTTCTTTCTTATGTCACTAGATGGGTTTATAATTGGATATTGAGTTGGTGGAGGACCCGTTTCGTGACAAAGATGACGGCCCATAACATATGGGTTTTTACCATTTTGTACCTTAATGAATCTTGTATAACTCTGTTGAATGGCATTTTGAGTTTGGGTTGGTTTTGTTATAAACAATTTTTTCGATTAATATGTGAGGATATTACATTTTGGAAAAAACGAAAATTGAGATGGGAATACGTTAAATAAACAAAATTTCCTGTTGCATACTGGACAAGTCAGAGAGTGTTTCTAATCTCTAATGGTTCCAGGCTTAATCCGTGTTATGAAACGTTGCAAATCATATTATAACAGGTATTTATTGACGATTAGTTAAATAGTTAATGTGAAGGAACAGATCACTAGGAGCTGTGAGTAACAGAATTCAAGTGGCTTTCCTTTGCTTGCGGAAGTAAATGAAGTATAGATTACGAAAAATAAATTAAAAATAAATAAGAATTTCAGTTTTACAGAACGGTCCACTATATAATAACGTGTACGATCCAATCATCCATCTCTGTATTATTATTTTCTTTAGGAAAATAAATATTTCAATATCCCAATTGTTTCCTCTAATCTATAAACAAATCCAACAACAAATGAACATTTCTTATAAAAAATAATAATAATAATGCAACTGCAATTGCAAGTCCACTCCAATCATTTTCATTACAGACTCAGTCAAGCCGAAGCAACTGGAAAGAAACGACCGTTAATCTTCACCGTCCACTAACCCATTCCTCGCTTGAATGTTGACTTTTTTTTTTTTATAACCGAGTCAACGTTACGAAATCACCACCGAGACTTGATCAGCCGGTAAATTTAAGTCAAATCCTCGGTGGCCGCCGTTCGCGCTTTGTTCCGACGATCTCTCATCATCCACGTCGCTGACGTCACTACCAGCAACGACTTCTACGCTGTTGCTGGTACTGCTGTTACCGTTACCGTTATTACCACCGTCATAGTGACACCGTTTGTGTCCACCTAATGCTTGACCAGACGAAAACGACTTGGAACAGATTGAACAAGTATGAGTCTTTCCGCTTTGACTAACAACACCCCCGTTACTATTGATACCGTTACCGTTAATGACAACGGAGCCACCGTTACTGTTACTGAGACTGTTATTAGACGGCTCTTGGTTACTGGGACCGTTAACGTTATTCACCGGTTTCCTGTGACTCGTCTTGTGTCCGCCTAATGCTTGGTAAGACGAAAACGACTTTCCACAGACCGAACACTTGTAGCCACGGATATCGAACGACGGAGGACGTGACGGCGGAGACGGAGTGGGTTGTACGGTGGAGCCACGAGCGAGCATGAGGAGACAAAGAGCGAGATACTCTTCTTCAGAAGGAGTGGTTTCTTGATTGTGATGATTCTGATCAAAACGCTGTCGTTTGGTGCGTTTCCTTTTAGCCCATTGCTCGAGATTCTCCGGCTCCATTTCTTCACGATACCGGATAAGAGGCCGAGCGGTGGCGGTAGCTGAAGTCGGAGAATTGAGCGTCTCGAGAGCCATGTATATATATATATATATATGTATTTTGAATTTTGAGATGTGATCTGTGATGAGGTATTTAAGAAGAAGGAAGAAGAAAGAGTGAAGTGTGTGTGATGTATTGTGAGCACGTCTTGTGTTTGTGTTGTGTGTGTCTTAGGAGTTGGTTTGATTTATATATATATATTTTTGTAAGAAATCTTTAGAATTGGGATTGAGAGTGGGAACGTGGGCTATGAGTGATCAAGTGGTGCTGCTCTTGCTTTCTTCTATCCATTAAATTCCTTTATTTTATGTTAATATGTTGTCATTAATTTTGGAATATTATAGGGATTTTATTTTACCAAGTCAATGCATTGTTTTTAGTTAGAAATTGCCAAACTTATTGAGAAGAACTCTTACAAAGATTATTATGCTGCATTGTAAAAGATTACTGCTCGACAATCTATATACATTGACTTCTTAATCACTTTCGAGTTTATCTACCAAGCTGATAATGTGAGTTTTGACCCAACCTTGTTTTCATGCTGGTTCAATAGCTTGTTTTATCCACTTGCATTTCCTTAAATGTCCCTCTCAACTCGTATTTGATTACTCTCATACGTAGAATACGAAGATTTCAAATTGTTTTAATTAAATATCGAAGAATTTTATGACTTTCAAGTTGATTCACACTTTTCGCGGTAGTCACCCAAATATTATACACACTGTACTTGCTTGGATTTAATATAGGAAAAATAACGACGATTAGGAATGTCAAAAAGTAAACTTATAATTAAAATTAAAACTAACATTAGGAAGACAGTTGTTCTTTAAACGGAGTGCCATATCTTCGGAGTTGTATTTAAAATTTTTTAAAAGAAGAAGAAGCTTTTGCCACTCTGGAGTATAATCTCTTTTTTCGTTTTGTGATATGTGGTGGCATTGGGCCATTGCTTATCTGGCATTCTCTCATTGGCTCCAGAAGGCTGGATTGTTCTGGTGGCCCACGTGGCGTAATAGTAATGGTGAAACTTTTCGGTGGATTGGTTAAAGTCGGTACGAGACTTAAGGCTTAGGCTACATGACGGTGACAGTTCGTTGCACCACCGTCAACACCGTTTCATACACTAACTAACTGTGTTTGATTGTTTTTAATTTTTTTCTAAAATTGTTAGATTTTTTTTTTCTTTTTCATATACACACAAGAGGTGCATACATATTACGAATATTTGTTTTTTAGTTTTTGTGTTGTGTGTGTAGTATGTGTGAAACTTGCCCACTAGTTCAGTAGTCACCAACTCGAGCTAACACAATAAAAAGCTAATTTTAATTAAATAATGCGTTAAATAACAATTGGGCTTCGTTGACGAGGATAAAAAGAAAGTGGAGTGGGTCTTAGTCTTCGGGTTGTTTGCATTATGAAGTGGGTCGTCGTTGCTCGTTACAGTTTTGTCTACTTGGTCAATTCAACTTCCAAAAACGCTTCAACGAATCTAAAAGCTGTCGTTTTTGCTGAAGAATATTGCGAAAATTTCTAAGCCATTTCATGTGGACACAGTATGTATTAGAAACAGTCTTTTGAATATTCGCAAAGCTTAAAATTACAAAAAAAAAAAAAAAAAGAGAGAAATGTAATTAATGATGTGATCAAGACCTATATGATGAAACAGAAATGACAAATGGGCAGAAGGGAAGTATGAGTTTAGTTTAGTAAATTCTATATCAATATTATATAGATTGCTGTCAACAGTATCAGAGTGGCGCAGCGGAAGCGTGGTGGGCCCATAACCCACAGGTCCCAGGATCGAAACCTGGCTCTGATAATTGTGTTGTTTTTGCTTTTACCGTAAAACAAAGCCCATTAACAATGACAAGTAGGCTTAGGGATTTTGGGCTTAGGCATAACAATTGTACTAGATGATAAAAGAGTCCACGATTTAGAATTAACAAAACTAGAGATTAACTTTTAACTAATACTAATTAACGAGAAAATCTTCTTTAGCTTCCATGATTATTCCAGATCTTCCATGCCCGACAAGTCTCAGCTCATAACAAACCGGCAATGCTGATAACCTGCGAAAACGAAATTAAAATCCTTAATCTGCAATTTTTTTCTCTATCAAATCTTACTGTTAAAAAAAGAAGAAGTGAATTTTACTTACTTGGATCAGTTGTAATAAGCATGGCGGTGCCACCGAAAGAGCAAGTGCCTCCGTTTCGTTTATTCTTTTGCCAGTAGCTGTTGAAAGCGTAAGAGGCGTGTGCCATGGCTGTGTCTGGGTAGAAACATATCCCGTGAGGTTTAATCTCATCGCAATTCGCTCCTCCTTGTCCGCACGCAAAATCCAGAGATTGCTGCAATGTCTCCGCCGCTACGCTCGGTTTCGCCACGCACCATAGCCCTTCCATGTCCTTCTTCTTCGCCGGAGACGGAGACGGCGCCGGATGAGCATTGCACGGCGGAAGATAGAGACCTGGACTCGAAAGAGGCGATGGCTCCGGCGGAAATCGGGTAGGGGAGTAAATCGGAGTTTGCTCCGGCGAGAGTTGGGGAGGGGAGGAAGTTGGCGGATAAAGGTTTCTGGGTGGAGATGGAAATCCGACTGAGGAGTGAGTTGGTGAGTTTTCCGGTGATGGAGAGGGCAAAGTTGGAAAATTGATTAAAGATCTCAGATTTCTTCTTGCTGCAGCTTCTTCTGGTTCAGGGTTTAAGAAATTCACCTTGTTGAAGCTAAGAGATCCGAACTGTTCCACGGAGTGAAGCAAGTCAAGATGATTATCAGGCGAAGAAAGGAAATTTGGAGGTGGGTTTATGGTGAAAGTGGAGTTTATGGATTTGAGAAAGACGAGAACAGGCTTGAACATTTCAAGATGTTTAATGGTTTCTATGCTGTTTAAGCACTCGTAAGAGAAGCCAGAGGAGACTTTGATGTTCTTCTCGAGACCCCATCTTGTAAGAGAATGGTGCAGGTTCTTCAAAGATGAGAGAACCAGGTCAAAACTGGGTTTGTGTTGTGTGGTTTGGCAAGAATCAGGGGAAAAGATAACAATGGTGGTGATTTTGGTGGAAGGGTAACGAGAGAGGACATGGGTTTTAAGCCAAGTTTCAGCTTTTATGATGCTTGAGGAAATCTCGGTAATGGTTTTGTTGTCTCCCACGGAAACAGCTAGATCAAGATCAGTAGTTTGAGGAAGTTGAAGGACTTTGTGATGGAGATTCAGAGCTTCAATGGGTGTTGATTCTTGGCCAGCTCCTGCATACAGATTACAGATATGAGTTGTAAAAAGAAAACAAAAACTGAAAACAATGTTTAGCGTTTTGTTTATGGATTTTTTTTACCTGCAAAACCGAGAAAGGGGATGAAGAAGAAAATGTAAAGAAGATGTCTCATTTTTGCTTTGGCAGAGTTTCTTTTCTTTACTTGTGTGTTTGGTTTCTTTTCTCAGCATATGAGAAGCTTATAAAAAAGATGGTTTTTTTTAAGAGTACAGAGGAAGAATCAAAATATGGTCATATTTTACTTTTAGTACAAAAGAAAAAGGGAAAATGTTGCATAGTGACAGTTGTTCTTGGGGTGAAATCTGTATAGTATTTTGGTATTTTCAGGATATCTACAAAAGTGGTATGTATCAACACTGACATGAAAAACAATGCCGTTGAGATGTTGAATTGTTCTGTTTTAAGAAACCGTACATTGTGACACGTGTCTTTTGTGGACACATACACGAAAAAAGTTCGTTGCTTTTGTTTGACTGTTGAGAGTGTTTATTAGATAGGTTTGTTTTAATCCATATACATTTGGTTATATTTTGGTTCGATTTTTCAGGGATTTTGATATATGAAGGAAATTATATGCTGAAATGAAAACAACAATATGTGGGATGTAAATCGGTTCACTTTGGTTTTATAATATTTTGGATTTAAGAAAAAAAATTAGAAGTAGAATATGTTTCAGTTTTAAAATTGATTAAATATACAGTACGTTGGATTAACAAAACGGCACTGTAAGTCACGGAAGGCATAATAATCGTGCTCCCTCGTGGAAAAAGAAATTAGCTTCTCATTTTAATGGACTTTTATTACTTTTGATAATAGCTAACACTACGACGTCGCTTACTAGAAGGCCTGAAGTGGTTCAATAGAACGCATAATGGGTTTCACTTAGGCCCTTTAAAAATAGCCTTAAGCATAGGCCGAATCAGACTATTGGTTCTTCACTTTTTATTTTTGGGTTTGAATGTTAAGAACTTAAGAATATTTACCTAGTTTCGAGTTGTTTTATTTAAAAGGCTGTGATTAGACTGATGTTATGGAGTGAAGTGGTGTGGAGTTTTAAAATTGCTTTGAAAGTTTTAAATAATCCCGTCATAATCATTATGACAACACTAGGAATGGATTTGTCTAGTAGCTTTATCATGATTACCACCAATAATTAATATTTAACAACCAGATAATTGAAGAAAGCTAACAAATAAGAAGATGACAGTGATTTTAAAATCCAAGCATTGACCCATTCGACCCATGATCTTCTCGGATCTGTCGGTACCCTTAGTTTATTACATGCTGCTAATTGTTTTATCCAACGTTAATTTCTCTTGACTACATAAAGAAATTCGTTTCTTAAAAAACAAAGAAAAAACAAATAAATAAACTCGATTCTAAAGTACAGTACTGTTGGTGCAACAACCTTCTTCACACAATTTGGATTTTACCTGAAGTTAGTCTTGTAAAATGCCATACTAGCTTTAGTTTTAATTATAGTCTTTAATTAAATCCACGAGACTCTTTTATTATTATTAATTTCTTAACGTAAAAGGGGTAATTATACCATAATTCTGGCTTGTCTCAAAAGAAATATCAAAGAGTGACAATAATGACAGAAAAATGAGTACAAAAGTGTTGAAGAATATTTATTTATCTTGAGCTTTAAGTATTATCTATATATAACACAAGTGTTTGGCAGATTTTATGTTTACGTGGAACAGAAGAAAACCTTTTTTTTTGTCTCCTGAAATATTTTCTTTTTGCCAAGAGGAATATTTGTTTCTTCTTATTGACAATGTATAAGCAAATTCTTACACGAAGCAGCTAAAAGTTATAAGAATAAACTATTTGAAAACAAAAAATACAAATTACTCTTTTGATACTTTGATTGAACCTCTTGTTTGTAGTTGTCACTGACGTCCATGCACATTACTCGTTAGTAAAACAGACAAAATACTAAGGGCGAATTTGTAAATGTAAAAGAAATTGGCATCCCGCAAATGAAAATAAAAATTGGAAAAGGTATAAAGATGAAAGATAGATAATGAGAAAGTTTATTTGCAAAGAAAATAGAGAGAAAAAGCAAAAACAAAAGCAAAACTAGAGCGTGTGCTTGACCCCTTGTCTAAAACTTGCAAATTACCATTAATAAACATAAACAATAGCCTGAGAGTCGGTGGATCTGTAAGCCATTATTATTTTCTTACCCAAAAAAACCAAAAGAGACGAAAATGTGAAAGAATAAAAGCAAAAAAAAAGGAAAAGATGAAAGATAGGGATGTAACGTTGAGCCCGTTTTGTCACTTTATTCCAAAATTACATGTATGGGTCTTCTTTCTTCCTTTTTATTCACATTTTTTTTATATAGACTTTATTTAGTTGATTTGTACCTATTAATCCATTTCATGTAAAAAAGATGTCCCCTAATTCGTTTTAGGAAGGGTTAAGTAAAATTTGTTTAGTACTATTTTTTAAGCTCTGTTTATAAATCTCAACTACAATACAAATACAATGTTACTCATATTCATACGAAAATCCAATGTTTGCGATAAAGCTACCAAGTACCAATAGCTTTACAGTTTAGTCTCAGTAAAAAAAAAATTAAAAGTGTTGAAAAAATGGAAATGTTGACCCATATTTCTGATATACGGTGGACTGGACCACAGACGATTGGCGTGCCGTCTATAGAATCAACCGGCCTTTATAGTTATAACTTATACTAATAAGTAGTATTTGTTTGTAAATGTAATTAAACGCAGTTATAATAATACAAATAAAATCAAAAAGTCGATGATGGAATGGTATGTACGTGTCTTTTTCCTCCGTCTTGGTATATATCAACGAAACAAAATCGGCAATTTCGACGTTGGACGGAAAAGGACAGCAAATAAATACTGACTAAGGGGCACTTTCGTCTTTAAGCAGCAAAGCGGAAATGAGATTGTTGAATCTCACGTGGCGAGGATTTCCAAATGATTTTTTGTTCTGCCGAGTTTCAAAAAATGAAATATCTAATGTAAAGCAACATGACCATGAGAGTCTGTCCATCTATAGTTTAATTACAAAGTTGAATTTTTTTTATATAATCCTCTAGTCAATATCCCTGAAGCTGGATGTGAAATGTGAGGCTGTCTATTCTTCATTTTAGTGTCTTTTACCTCCAAATTGTTCACACTGCGAGTACTGATTTTTTTTTTAACATATGTTTATTATCGTTCACAAATAATGCTGCTACGTTTAATTAAAAACACGTTCGGATAAATAATTAACGGGAAACTAAAGGAGGTAAAAAGCCGCTTAAACGATCCCGGAATGCTGACGTCAGCATCTTAAATCTCAGATCTTGAAACGAAACGAACTTTCGCTTCCTCTCCTCTGCTCTCTCTCACTTTCCCTTTTTTCACCTTTTTTTTTTTCCTTTTGGGTTCCTTTTTCCATTAAGCATTTCTTATTTTTTCTTTCCATTATACGATCTGGCGAAGAAGAAAAACAAAATTAAAAAGTATCGAGAGAGACCCAAAAAAAAAAAAAGCAGTAAGAAGGAAGAAGATGAATTTAGGGAGAGAGGAGAATTGTAAAACGGTTAATCAGAATTCGCCATGAGAGTTCCTCAATCTAGATTCTTCTGCTTCATCTTCTTCTCCCTATTTCTCTCCTCTATTTCCGTTTGTGGCGCGAAGTTGAATCGATTTAGTACTGAGATTCATCGAAGAATTCTCCATCAGCCGCTTTTCCCGGATGCTTCTACTCCACCACCGGATTTCGAATCGACACCGTCTCCTCCTATACCTCCGGACACTCCCGATCAACCATTTTTTCCGGAGAATCCGTCTACGCCTGACCAGAGTCAGTATCCTCCTCCTCCTCCACCTCTTGCTTCCTCTGACGTCAATGGCGGATTGCCGATTCCAACGGCTACTACTCAACCGGCGAAACCTGGGAAAAAAGTTGCGATCGTCATTTCTGTTGGAATTGTCACGCTAGGTATGCTTTCAGCTCTAGCTTTCTTCCTGTATCGGCATAAAGCAAAGCACGCAAGCGATACTCAGAAGCTCGTTACTGGAGGAGGTGATGGCGGTTCCCGAAGATTCCAGGAAGATCCAAGACCACCGACATCGTCTACATTTCTCTATATGGGGACCGTTGAACCGAGCCGTGAATCGGCGAGCGAGTCTAATGGCGGAAGTAGTGTACCGATCAATTCATCTCCGTACCGGAAATTGAATTCGGCTAAGAGATCGGATCGCTACCGGCCGAGTCCGGAGCTACAACCGCTTCCACCGTTAGCTAAGCCGCAACCGTCTGACAACTCTCCGTCGGCTTTGTCTCCTTCTTCATCTTCTTCCGGCGAAGAATGCCGCGACGCAGCGTTTTACACGCCGCACGGATCTGCTATTAGTAGCGATGACGGTTACTACACGACGTTTCCTCGGTCCGCCAACAGCAATGGCCATTCCTCTGGATTAATTCCCCACTCGAAGAGAACTTCTCCGAAGTCGAAGTTTGGTTCATCTGGAACGGCAGCATCTCGATCGCCGGAGATGAAACACGTCATCATTCCGTCGATAAAGCAGAAAATGTCGCCAGTACAACCTCCACCACTGATGGGCTTGGAAAGTGATGACCAAGAGCTTCCTTATTCACAGAACAAGCCCAAGTTCTCCCAGCCTCCTCCGCCACCGAATAGGGCGGCGTTTCAGGCGATTACGCAGGATAAGTCTCCTCTCAGCTCAGGAGTTCCTCCACGGCGGTCTCCTCCTCCACTCCATACGCCACCTCCACCACCTCCACTCCATACGCCACCTCCACCTCCACCTCCTTGTCCTCCTCCCCCTCCTCAGATACGGCCGAGAGATTTTCAGATACCACCACGAAAACTCGGCAATTCCGAAGCAACCAATCCGACTAAGTCAGACGATCCTTCAAGAAAACAAGCAGTGGAGACTCCAAGTCCTAAATCGAAAGCTAAGGAAGAGGTCAATAGTAAATCAGCGGGTTCTCTTGAGAAAACAGGAGACGGGGACACGGATCCAAGCAGGCCAAAGTTAAAGCCACTCCACTGGGACAAAGTACGCGCGAGCTCTGATCGAGCCACCGTTTGGGACCAGCTCAAATCAAGCTCATTCCAGTGCGTATAACTCTTTTTTCACGTTGTTGTCTTACGTACGTTTGAATTTGACGTTTGCAATAACTTTTTAGATCTTATGATATCAAACAGAGTGAACGAGGATAGAATGGAGCATCTGTTCGGTTTCAATTCGGGAAGTTCAGCTCCAAAGGAACCTGTGAGAAGGTCAATGATGCCTCCTGCTGAGAGTGAGAACAGAGTGCTTGATCCAAAGAAAGCGCAGAACATTGCAATCCTCTTAAGAGCACTGAATGTAACGCGTGAAGAGGTGTCAGAAGCTCTTTTGGATGGTAAGTTTTTGTCTCACATTTGATTCATTCCTTGGTGTAAAGTTCCATTACTTGTGATAAGCTAAGTTTGCTATTTACATTTAGATTCCTCTGTTCGTTACATAACCTGTTTCTGAGTATTGATGCCTTAATGGCTAATGGAGATCTTACTGGAAGTAGGAATAGTAGTAGAGATGCTCATCAGAGGTATTAGTGATGAAAAGCTATATAATACCAAATTGACTTAGGCCACAAGTTGTAATCATTGCAAACAACAAAGTCACATGAAATTATTTTCTCTGCTTTTTATTGCTTCTAACGTGATTGCGCAACTTATAGTTCACAATCATTAAAAATGTCAAAAAAGTTTGATTTCATTTTTGCATTCTTCTTCGCTAAATGAGCATTTTGTGGTCCCTATTATTTTGAAATCTAAATCTGTGGCACGGTAACAGGTAATCCAGAGAGCTTAGGTGCAGAGCTTCTAGAGACTTTGGTGAAGATGGCTCCAACAAAAGAGGAAGAGATAAAGCTCCGAGAGTACTCTGGTGACGTCTCGAAACTAGGAACAGCTGAAAGATTCCTCAAAACCATACTCGATATCCCTTTCGCATTCAAAAGAGTTGAAGCAATGTTGTATAGAGCCAACTTTGATGCAGAAGTCAAGTATCTAAGGAACTCTTTCCAGACACTAGAGGTTAGTTAGTCACTCACTCTTAATAGACACTTGATGCCATGATATAATCTCTCAAACGAATTATCCTAATTTTCTGTTATCTCCCTTTGGTTGCTTCGTAGGAAGCAAGCTTAGAACTAAAAGCAAGCAGGCTATTCCTTAAGCTCCTCGAGGCTGTTCTAATGACAGGAAACCGAATGAACGTTGGCACTAATCGCGGAGATGCCAAAGCCTTTAAACTCGATACACTTTTAAAACTTGTAGACATAAAAGGAGTTGATGGCAAAACCACATTGCTTCACTTTGTCGTCCAAGAAATCACAAAATCCGAGGTAACAACAACAACAGTAGATGAAACCATCCTCAAAGACGGCTTCAGAAAGCAAGGACTACAAGTCGTGGCTGGACTCAGTAGAGATCTCTGCAACGTGAAAAAATCAGCCGGAATGGATTCCGATGTACTGAGTGGTTACGTGACAAAGCTCGAAACGGGTCTTGATAAACTCCGTTCTTTTCTCAAGACAGAGACGACAACAACTCCTCAAGGGAAGTTCTTTGATTCAATGAAAACGTTTCTGAAAGAGGCAGAAGAAGATATTCGAAAAATCAAAGGAGGAGAAAGAAAAGCTCTGTCAATGGTTAAAGAAGTAACAGAGTATTTCCATGGAGACGCTGCGAAAGAAGAAGCACATCCTTTGAGAATCTTCATGGTCGTAAGAGATTTTCTCGGAGTTCTCGATAACGTTTGTAAAGAAGTGAAGACGATGCAAGAGCTGTCTTCATCGATGGGTTCGGCTTCAGCTAGATCGTTCAGGATTTCAGCAACGGCTTCGTTACCGGTTCTTCATAGGTATAAAACAAGACAAGGAGATACAAGCTCAGATGATGAACAAAGCAGCAACTCTTCTACGTGAATGAAACAAAAAGCTGTACAGTTTTTTTACACCGAGCCAAAGGATCAAATTGGTCTTTCTCAAACCGGAGGAGATATTGAGTTGGTTAATTCGGAGAATATGGACCGGTTAAACAGTAACAAACACTATAATGATCATAGTTTCGTTAACTAATAAGGAACCCTCGTTTTTTTCTTTCTTAGATTTTTTTTTTTTTTTGTCGGCCTTCGAAATATATATAGACAAATATGATATAAACATGTGTCGTAATTTCTTGGGTGTTAGTGGAAATTTTGTTTCTCTTCGTCTTTATAAGCTTTATTTAATACAACAAGTTCGTCTTCTTCAGTAGAAGTGATGATAAGATAGATTCCAAATCGTCTTTGTTTTTTCTTTTATGGTTCTTGTTGAGAAGGAATAAAAATAATATAGTATATGGTTCTAAATTGAGTATTGGGGTGTGGGATTGTGACAATGGGTGTTTCGAACATTACTTATTTAATGAAATAGAAACATGTGATGTGAGTGAGACCGATTCTATTGTACAACTTGTACCACACGTCACTCTCTTTCCTATTGTTTTTGTCCGGTTTTGCGTCACTCTTTTCCCACCACGATCTTTTCGTTTCTGTTTCCCATTTTTGGAGGTATTAAAAATAACAAAAGCAAGTAGGGTCATATTAAATTTTGTTAGATTCTCCTGTTCGTTTCTCAACAAGATGAACCTTATTATCAATTTTGCCACTGAGATAAAAAGACAAAACCACAAAACTAAAACGAATAACCAAGCTCCAAATCCATTCAACCGGATTTGATTTTCAGAACCAACATATATCTTAGACCCTTACTGTATGTTTCTGTTGTTCCATTTATTAAATTTAATTTGTTACAATTTTTTCGGGAGAAGATCACAAGAAATGCTTAAAACTCGCCTTCTTGGGATTGAGAAAACGACGAACATTTCGAGCTGACGGTTTAAGACACAGATGACGATAAGCTAGTCATTGTTAAAAAGAAAGGAGAGCCTCCGATTTTCTTAGTCCCTAACACATTCTTCACCAGAAGTTTCCATCTAACCTCATCCTTCTTGCTCTGTTTCTCCATCTTCTCCTTAAAGTTCCTGTTCCCAAAAAATTCCACACAAATATCAAACACAAGACCCAATTTTCTGATATGAATGGTACAGTAAACGCATTAAAAGTTGAAAGCTAAAGACACTTTTGTGCTATTTTCATTTTGCGGTTTTTACCTGCATAGTGGGACTCGACATTGATCAGAATCTGCGCAAACACGTGAATGCAATTCAAGGAGTTGCCACATTCTCTTGCAATGCACGCAACCTCCTGGAACTCTAAGCTTACAGCCTGCGAAATGTCGGATCAGTGACTCTAATCCTTTGCAGGCTTCATAGTCACACGTTGCGTGGTTCGGTTTGAAATCTTTATCGTGTGGTCCTATTGTTTTACATCCGTCTCTACATATATGAACAAGAGCTTCCATTGCTTCGTACAGCTGCGAGTATATCCTCTGTTCGTTGCGTTTTCGGATCCTCTCTTTCCGCATCTGCGTTTATGTTTTAAACACAAGAAAATTTGGTAACGAGGCAGAGAAAGAGTTAGAAAAACAAAAAAAGGTGTTTGCGAATGTAATTACTTACATTTTCTTCGATGACCACAGAGTCTCTAAGTTCTTTCTCGAGAAAGGGATGGCTCTTCTTCATAGCTATCCATGCTTCTGTCGCATAAAGCTCCTTGAAGTGTTTCATGATCATACGGTGAGATATGACGCTAAGCCGAGGGAAGTCACACAGCAGCGCAAGCTGGAACACATCAATTACGTTCTCAATGTTAAGTAAACCATGTTCTAGATGCCATTCACAGAGCCGTTTCAGCTGAGGAACCACGTACGCGTGCGACAGAAGCAGCAAATGCATGATAAACTCATTCATTTCTTCTTTCTCATAGCTACAACGGAAAAAAGAAAAGAAAAAAAAGCCAGGTTTAGTCACTACACTGAGATAAAACAATGTTGAAAGAGGCAACAAGATTAGATTTTGTACCAAGAAGAGTAGAGGAAACGGATAAAAACTCGGACAGCATCATGAGGGACACCACGGATCGAGATTGTATGCCACTTGCCATGTCTCTTGCCTTTCTTCAACATGCCTTTGATCACAGTGGAAGCAGTCCCCTGTTCATTCAAAAAAAAAAAACCATGCAAAAAGAGACTTTAAGTCTGTATTCGCTTATCTACACACTCACTGATCAACAGATTCTCAAAGCTTACAATGATGTTGGCATGAGCGTAGATGACGCCGCCATTATCTGTATAGATCACAACGTCAGCTTTGTATCCGTCGTTGAAAAGACGATCACACATATCCCTTGTGGCTGTGGAAACGCAGCTATGCTCGAGTCGTCCTGGAGCTGCGTATCTTTTCAGGCGTCCATCAGATTTTGATGGAACAGGTGGAGGAATCGGCACAGAAGAATCTTCAGCTTTGGAGGATTGATGAAGATGAACACCACAAGTCACCATTTTTCTTATCTTCCTTCCTACAATAATTGAAAAATCAATGTCAAATCGTTATATTTGCTCTAAAGCCAAGACAGATCTTGCTTTCAATCCAAGCATGATCGACAAATTGATTCGTTCTTCTACGAAAAATGTGATTTAGAAAACAGATTCGACGAAATTTTATCAATCGAAAACCATTATTGTTCATCACACACAATCAACGTAAATCAAAACAACTAATGATCGAGCTCGACCCTCAGCAAACTCAAAACAGATCGATTGAAAAATGTTCAACAGGATCAAATCGATGCTCCAATTTCACCGACATACCTTCAAACGACTCAGAATCTCGTAGAGCAACTTAATCAAAATTAACTCAACTACGATAAAACAATCTCCTCCTTCCTCGAACGAGAAGAAGAAGAAGGAACTCTATAGAGAAGCTTCAAAGATCATATAGATCTCTCTCTCCATTATATAAAAAACACACTCTCAATGCAACGGAACACGACAAAGTTTTTTGAAAAAAAAAATCCAGGGAAAAGGATATTTGTTTTTATTTCTCACTTTTTTTCTTTTCGTCAATTATGTAAAGATATTTTCTTCTTCGCCATCACCACCACACAACAACACCTGCGAAAATCACCGAGAGGCGCGTGGAGCCCACGGTTATGAAACGGACGGCTGAGAATCCACGCGCCTTACCGGCTTATTTCCTCCTCCTGATAGTTTCCTTAAAAGCTTCGTCAAGTGGGTTTTATTATCGATTTATCAATTGAAACACGACTCTGCATGTTTTTGTTTTAAAAAGAAAAAGAGAATTTATTAAATTTAAGAGAGCCGTACAAAAACAGATCGCTTTGTCCTTTGTTTTGATCTTGTTCGGCGCTTCACAGCTCATATTTAGCTGTTCATTTTTTTGGATTTTTATCCATATTCTCATCCTTCCTTGTTAAAAGATAAGATTAGTTTTTATTTTTTTTGTTACTATCCACAGGATTTGTGTTTACTATATCTAAGGGTTTAATCTTAAAATACATCACGCTTCGGTGAAATCCTGCTTTGTCTGCTTTTTAAAATAATTTTTATTAAAAATCTTTTCAGAACCCTTTTACTATGTGATTTTACTATGTACAGTAAATAATAGAATATACAGGTAAAATAAAAATTCTACTATTTCTTTCTTGTTTGTTACTATTATTTTATTTCAGAGAATTTCAAAAGGTTAGGTAATAGTGTAATATATATCTGCGGTCCAGAAGATAGCGTTATAAAAATGTATTGGTCTCTTAAACGTGCGATATTTCTTGTGTTCACTTCCATTGCTTGTTGCCCAACCTTTACTCGTCTTGTTAACCACCAAGATGCGCTCTAGGGTTCATTTCTGCTATTTTTTTTTTGCATTTTTCTTTGTAAATGGAGAATAATTCGGAGGTTTTTAACTGTATACTTCAGTTTTTTAAACAGGGTTTATCCGAGTATGATAATGTATATGTTATTTGTCGCAGTTTAATAGAAATGACATCTGCTAATTTTTTTCTAATGAATATACTTCATTACTTTGGTCTATATTGGGTTACTGTACACTCGCAAAACACTTGACTCATCTTTGAGCACAATTAGTTATTAGTTTTGGAAGAGCATAGACTCTTAATGCATTTTCGAACTACAATGATTGATAATTCAGCCGGAATGAAATTCGAGTACAAACGGCGTCAAAAGTTTTGCAGTATAAAAGTTTATGGAAATTAAGTATTCAAATAGTTAAACATTCCCAAGCAAGGTAACACATCGAACCTAGAAGAATCAGAATTCGAAGTTCTCCTCAGTTTTCTTCGGTGTTCTCCATTATTTGCAAATACATAGCATTTCAATCGAATTTGGTTTTCCTATTTCCCCAGAAATATTAAAGAAAATAAACCAACCTAAAGCACTGAGATCCATGTATCGTCTCAGAAATCGGAGCATCGACCACGTTGTTCCCAATCGCCGTACCGAGTTGGCTCGGGACCTTTAGGCCCTCCGATCTCACCGGTATCTTTGTTAACAAACTCACCACCTCCCTCTTCTTCTTCTTCCTCTTCCTTCGGCATCTGTAGATTCTCTTGAAGATTCTGATCTGGCTTCTCAATCCGATCCTGGTTCGGAGACGGAGATGGAGGCTGCGCCGTAGGAGAAGTACCAGAGCTCAAAAACCGCGATACAGGTTCGATGACTCTAGAGGAGGCGGATCGGCTTGGTGCGATCAAACGGACGATTTTATTCGTCGCCATTGTTGATGTGTCGGTGAAATCAGAGATACCGATCCTGGGAGATTTGTGATAAATCAGTATAGGGTACTGATGGTCATTTATTTGGGCCTTAATTTGATGATATAAGCCCACTGGGCTCTAGGATATAAAGTTAGAAAACGAACTACATAACAGAAAATAGAAATTGGCGTTGCGTCGCTTCGAACCTGTGATAACAAAAGCGATTCCATAACTGGGGTCCCATAAAGCGTCATCTTTTGCGTGCCACATCAACGGTTGTGAGTGGTTTGTCACTTTATCTAGTGACAGGCTGTAATCATAGTAAAACGATATTCGTTAGTATTTGTTTCGCCTACACGGAGTATATATATAAAAAAAGAAGCAGAAAATAAAAACAAGTCGTATTTCTTCTATCCTCCTCACCGTTCCTCATCCTCCAAATCTTCGCCGATCCCAACACATCTCCAATCAACCATGAGCAAAGGTCCAGGACTCTTCACTGATATCGGCAAAAAAGCCAAAGGTAACATCATCGTATGGCTCTTCTTCTATTATTATCATTCTCTCGCCGCTTCTGTTCCTGTTGAAATCGCGCAAATATGGCGTGCATTTATGGAATATGTTGCTGCCTGTTTATTGATTAGAAGTGCTGGTGTTTCGAATTTATCTATCCCTTAGGTACAACAGATTGTTAGATTTTGATTGTGTTTGGGTGATTTATGTTGATTTTGTGCTGATTCTGTTAATTTGATGGCTTCCTTCGTGTTAGATCTGTTGACGAGAGACTACACCTCCGATCAGAAATTCAGTATTTCCACTTACAGTGCCTCCGGCGTGGTACGTTTGATGCAACCTTTCCTATTCTCAAATTTTCGTTCGATTTCCGATGCGTGGTTGGATAGATCCACGAGTATTGTTTCGAATTTCTTCTTCTATCATCGTATTTCTGTGATTTCGGTCTGTTTCGTTTGCATGTAGCTGCATTTAGGAGTATATGTGACCGTTCTGATCGATCTTAACCGCTTGTTTAAATTCAATTCAATTATTTCTGGATTAGAGTTCTGCTAACTGTCATGGGACGAGTACAGGATGAATTTCTCCTGTTTAAGAACTAGATATTTGATACGGAGTGAAATTGAGGTCAACGTTGGTGTGGCTTTTTGAATACACAAGGATTCTACTGTATGATTCACTGTACAATTTCTTTGTAGAAGTGAGATATCGTGTGTTAAAGTATCAATTAGCTGATGGCATTTTTGTTGTTAGGCATTTCTAGCTCCAGAAACCTAATGATTGTATGAAATTAATCTAATTTTTTGCTTGTCTGTGCTCTGTTGTTTAGGCCCTTACGTCCACTGCTCTGAAGAAAGGAGGAGTGCATGCTGCTGATGTTGCCACACAATACAAGTACAAGAATGCTTTGTTCGATGTCAAAATCGACACTGATTCCAGTGTAAGTGCTTCAATGGATCCCACTATACACGTTGCCAATGAAAAACTAAACAGGTCTGTCATTAAAGCGTGACTGTATGATTTTGCTCGGCAGGTTTTGACTACTGTCACATTCACCGAGATCCTCCCATCGACAAAAGCTATCGCCTCCTTCAGAGTTCCCGACTCCGGTTCTGCCAAGGTTTAAAACTTCAGAATCAAACCACAGAGTTTTTTTTTGTTTTCAGCTGTTCGAGATTTAACCCCATCAATTTTTGGATTCCATTAACAGCTTGAGGTCCAGTACTTCCACGACCACGCAACAGTGACTGCTGCTGCAGCGTTGAAACAAAACCCACTCATCGACATAACGGCCACTCTCGGTACACCAGTCATCTCATTTGGTGCTGAAGCTGGATACGACACAAGCTCCAAAACTTTCACCAAGTACAACGCTGGGATCAGTGTGACAAAACCAGACGCATGCGCTTCCATAATACTGTAAGACGAGTGTTTCAGTCTCAAGCTAAAGTGATCACTAGCTGTGTCTTGTATGAGGTCTGATCTGGTTTTCGTTTTCAGGGGTGAGAAAGGAGACTCAATCAAAGCAACTTACCTTCATCACCTCGACGACTCGAAGAGAAGCGCAGGAGTTGGTGAGGTCTACAGGAAGTTCTCGACTAATGAAAACACGATAACGGTTGGTGGATTATATGCCATTGATCACTCGACTACAGTGAAAGCTAAGCTCAACAACCATGGCACACTCGGTGCTCTTTTTCAGCACGAGGTCCTTCCCAAATCAGTAGTGACTGTTTCCAGTGAGATTGACACTAAGGCTTTAGACAAGCATCCGAGGTTTGGTCTCTCTCTTGCTCTCAAACCTTGAGAGTTGACAACATACTAGTCTCCGTACCTTTCTCGTCGTTGATTTCTACGGCAGGACCTGAGAGTTTGCGTTTTCGTTTTTTTTTCTCTCTAATAAATAAGTAGTTCCGCGGTGACAGTGACGGATAATTCTTTTTCGGATATGTTTGTTTTTGACATTTTTCAGTATGCAATATTCTTGGTACGCTTGGCAACCATTTTACTAGTTTTGTGTCCATTACCAAAAATCAAACTAAAATTACTAAAGTAGTATTGAGAAACCAAGAAATGATTACACGAATCGCCAATTCCTTCATTGTTCTTCGATTAAAATAATATGATAATCGGTGGTCGAAACAATCTCTTCTGTTGAAATTGGTTTTTACTTAAGAAACGAAATCTCAATAAATCAAGACCAAACAACAAATTAACACTCATTCCGATTCTTTAATCAACACACCTAATCTCAATAGCATAATTGATAATACGTTGAATCAAAAAATTCATGTAGCAGAATAAACCTGAATCATCTTCATCCTCATCACATACCGATTTGGAATCAAAGTTTGATGTAGCTTAATAAATATAGAAAACAGGATAAACCTGGACTTCACTTTTTTTTCTCAGTCTACGTTCTGCATAACATCCTCCGCCGTGAACTTCGTTCCCTTTTCCTTATCCGCCACGGCGCGTCCGTTGGCCTTACGCTCCAATAGCGACTTCCTGTCCTTGTCGAGACGGAGCTTGGTGATCACCACATTCGACGCATTGAGTCCGACGTTAACCGTGGTTCCGTTGACTTTCTCCCTCGTGATTCTCTCGATGTGAATCACCCACTTGCGGCGATATACTTGCATCACCTTGCCTTCTCTTCCCTTGAACGTCCCACGAACAACCTGCACTTCGTCGTCCTTCCTGATCGGCATCGACCTGACATTGTATTTCTGACGGAGATCGGTAGATAACGGTGAGCTCATAAGCACGCGCCTCACGCTAGAAGGAGCCGAGAAGTGAGCCTTCCTGTTCTTCCGGCGAGAAGAGGTCACACGCGGGTTGTACTTCATCCTCGCCGAATTTGCTGGCTCTTCCTCTCCTGGCTGCGGAAATGCAGTGATTATTGAGTGGCGGAAGAAGTGTGAAGAATGTGTGAATCAATAGTTATATCGAACATTAAACGACGCCGTTTGGGCGTTGGATTAGAATTAGGGTTTCCTAGGTCTGACTCTATATGGCTTTGAGAAGTTATTACAAATGGGCTTCTCAAACCATTTACAAAGAGCCCAATTTAAACCTTCTGCCCTAACTGGAAGGTTCGTGGGATCTTTGGAATTTATAACTTAACTTTAGAAGTTGTACTCGATTTTGTATATTTATTTATTCTTCAAAGTAATGTGGGGGTATTGGATTCAGAAATTAGATGGAATTATAGGGAATTGAAAATTCCATTAAATACTATTGTTATTCAATTATATATATTATCATTTCTTTTAAATATTTGTGTTAATGGACTAATGATTTCTATTCATTTTTTCAAAATCTTTTAAATATCATTGTTATTCAATATATTAATTTTCCAATTTTATTAAATATTTGTGTTATTCAATTTTGTAATAGCTTTGATTCTATTATCATTTGGAAGGAATTTAATAGAATCTTACATAAAAATTGTAAAGAACTAATTCCTACCATTTTTACTCTGATTTTGATAGAATTGGTTTAAATTCTAACAAAACACTTTGAAGTACTTAAAAATCAATTATTTTTGAATTCTTGTACATTCTATCTAATTTAACAATCTAATACCATTCTTTAAGTGTATGCAAATAAAACAAAAAAGAAATGGTAGACTGCGGTAGAAAGAATAGAAAATCTTTTTTAACCAAAAAAAAAAAAAATAATACAAGATCCATTTAAATGTCTAATATATGATGAATAATAATCTACACATTAAGATACTTTATTTTTTATAAAAGACACATTAAGATACTTGCTTTAATCTCATTTGATAAGGTTTTATCTCTTAACAAATAAATCAAAACAAAATTGGCTAAATCACTCTGTTGAGAGAAAATCTCTAAACTATTGGATTAGGTGAATTCCGACAAAGCCACCGATGTCATCACATGCCGCCCACGCACTTGAGATAGCGCGTGGTTAAAACTCGCGTCCATCGTGGCGTACCACTCGGCTTCCACAAGCCAATTAAACAACACATGTAATTCGTTTTTTAATGACCGCCTAAAAACATTAACTCTAATCGTTTATAAGCTTAATGAATGATTCAGTTTTCTTGATTCAAACAATCGAATCGTTGAATCTCGTGTCGTGGTAACCTGTTCCGCGCTTTTTGTTGATTCAATCGAATTTATCTTCGCTGGTTTTGAGATATGGATGTTGCGGCTGTCGCAAGATGTGTGGGAAGGACCAGGTGCTATGTTTCGCCGGCGGTCGGAGAATCTGAACCGCTCCGGTTATCGGAACGGAAGTTTCCGAGAATATCGTTGTCTGGCTCGCTTAGTCAGGATCCTGTCGGAAGTCGAGGTCTAAGGTTTCGCGGGAAAAGTCAGGAGAGGAGACTGAGCTTCTTCCGCCCGATCATGGCGAGAGACGAGTCGATTTCATCGAGGTCCTCTAATTGCGCCGGTAAATAATCACACAATTCCGATCTGATTCTTCCTGTGAAATTTGGTTTGGGTTGCCATGTTTCAGTCTTGAATCTTAGGACGTTTGGATCTGACTTTGAGTCTTCTTCTTCCTCCTCATATATCCATGATAAGTAATCAAATACGTATTGTATATCTGAATGGGTCTAATCTCAAGAAAATCTTACATTAGGTGAAACGCAGCAAATCAACGGAAAGCAAAAGAACATCGTCTGGCATAACTGTCCCATTACTAAATCCGACAGGCAAGAATTGATTCGGCAAAAAGGATGTGTTATCTGGATTACTGGCTTAAGTGGTTCAGGTTTGGTTCTTGGTCTCTGATTGATTCTCTTAACCACATCTTGAGGTTTCTATTGGATTCCTTCAAATCTTGTTTTTTTTTTTGGCTTTTTAGGGAAAAGTAGTCTGGCATGTGCTCTAAGCCGAGCATTGTACAATCGAGGGAAGCTTTCATATATCCTTGATGGTGACAATGTTCGTCATGGTTTAAACAGCGATCTTAGCTTTCAAGCAGAAGATCGAGCTGAAAACATTAGAAGAGTTGGTGAAGTGGCTAAACTGTTTGCAGAAGCTGGAGTAATCTGTATTGCAAGTCTCATATCACCTTACCGTAAGGAACGAGCTGATTGTCGTGCATTGTTGCCAGAAGGAGATTTCATCGAGGTTTTGCGAAATGATCATATATATATATATATATATATATATTAACGGAATGTAAATTCAGAATCAACCATAAAAACTTAAATGTATTGAAGCTCTTCCTCTCTGTTTTGGTCTCTTGTTAGGTGTTCATGGATGTGCCACTCCATGTTTGTGAAGCTAGAGACCCTAAGGGATTATACAAACGTGCACGCGCTGGTAAAATCAAAGGTAACCTCTGCATCTGTTTTCGACATTATCCATTTTGTTTGATCTTTTTTAATTATATGGTTTTTTGTTCCTCAGGTTTCACAGGAATAGACGATCCATATGAACCACCTTTGGATTGCGAGGTCCGCATCTATACTATTACTAGTGATCATATTCTATTATTGTTGTGATCCTGATTTATTGGCCCATTGTGTTTTGCAGATTGTGATACAAAACAACAGAGACAATGGTTTTTCTTCTTCTCTATCCGAAATGGCAGAGATTGTTGTGTCGTATTTGGACCAAAATGGATACCTCAAGACGTCATAAAACAAAATCACATAAGGATATTTGATTAATGATATATACCTCCCTTGTAATTGGCTCAAAAGTATTATTATCAAATGTATCAACCGCGTTGTAATTGTTTCGATGCCATTAAAAAATCATTATTGTAACCTTTGCATGATCAGATGGCAAAAACATCATAATGTTCAGTTCCTAACTCCCAAACAATTCATATTCCTGTAGTATTCTGCAAAAAAAGCTTCTTAGATTGATGAGAGATTGAGATTATATGGCCGGGAAGTTGGCGCCAACTCTCTCCTCCGGCTGAATAATGTCATCAATGGTTTGGGGCCTTAAACTTTTTGGCCCAATATGAACAAAACAGGCCTTTTTAGATCCGGGTCGGATTCTATTTGGGCCGGATCTAGCTCAACGGCGGCGACTGATACTGCGTCTTCTATGATAAAACAAAACGCGGTGGCGAGGGGAGTATTCTCAGATCTCAAACGGAAACGTCAGGGTTTCAGCTGCTAAACTCGAACTTAGAAATCAATCAGCTCGTGTTATTTTCAATCGGTGGTTTGGATCATTCGAGTCAATTCGGAGAAAATCAAGTCGAAGAAGAAGAAGAAGAAGAAGTAAAAGAGAATGGGGAAGAAACAGCACAGCAAAGATCGAATGTTCATAACGAAGACGGAGTGGGCAACAGAATGGGGAGGAGCTAAATCCAAAGAGAACCGTACTCCTTTCAAGAGTCTTCCTTTCTATTGCTGCGCGTACGTTGCTCCTCCTTAACAATTTTATATAAAATCTCCTCTTGCAGCTTCGATTTTGTTGAATTCAAACGATTTATATTTCTGTCCCAGGCTTACGTTTCTGCCGTTCGAAGATCCCGTGTGTACAAGCGACGGGAGTGTTTTCGAGTTAACGTGAGTAGTTTTCATAGTGATTTTGGCAATAGAGCTTACTCTTCCTATATCTCCTTATTGATTTTGAAATTGAGTATTTTGTCTTCTTCCACGTTGAATTGCAGAACTATAGTGCCTTACATTAGGAAATTCGGTAAACATCCAGTTACAGGAGCGCCATTGAAAGGAGAAGATCTTATTCCTCTCGTCTTTCACAAGAATGCTGAAGGTTTTCTTCTCTCTTTCTCTTACTAATCTCATTCGATTCATCCTTGTGATATATACTGAAATGATCTATGTGGATGCCATTGTAGGAGAGTATCATTGTCCTGTTCTCAACAAAGTCTTTACTGAGTTTACACATATAGTTGCTGTGAAGACTACCGGAAATGTATTCTGCTACGAGGTTTGTCTTGTTTTCTTTTTGGTGTTTTCGTTAAGAGTTTTCTAGTTTCAGTGGTTCTTATTCTTGTATTTGTTATTATAGGCTGTCAAAGAATTGAATATCAAGACCAAGAATTGGAAGGAGCTTTTAACAGAAGAACCTTTCACAAGAGCCGATCTTATAACAATTCAGGTCACTAAACAATCTTTCTCTCTGCTTGAAGTTATTTTTTTGCAATGGGGTTAGTGTCATTAAAGACGTGTTTGATTGATTTTGTTTATGTTCTGCAGAATCCTAATGCAGTGGACAGTAAAGTTACTGTGGAGTTTGATCATGTTAAAAACGGCCTGAAGATTGATGATGAAGGTTTGATGCAGTTTCTTATTCAACCAAGCAATGTATCACAATCAATGATTTTTTTTAGTTGGTTATGACTCCATTATCTTGTGTGTTTATTTTAACAGAGTTGAAGAAGATGAACTCAGACCCAGCTTATAACATAAACGCCTCTGGAGATATCAAGCATATGCTTGCAGATCTCGGAACTGATAAAGCTAAGGAGATTGCTTTACACGGTGGAGGTGGAAACAAGGCACGTAATGAGAGAGCCGCTGCTATTGCTGCGATTCTAGAGTCGAGGTCGAAAATCAAAGAGGGTTCTAAAACAGACGAGTCTATACCTAAACAGACTTACAGCGTTGTGGATGCTGCATCTGCTTCGGTTCATGGAAGAAGTGCTGCTGCAGCCAAAGCTGGTTCTAGTGATAAAACAGCTGCAAGAATAGCTATGCATATGGCTGGAGATAGAGCTCCTGTTAATTCTAAAATGGTTAGTTAGTTTTCTTGTACAGAATAAACCTCGGTTTTGAGCTTTGTCTGTGTTCGTTTAAATGTTTGAGTTTTCTTTTTCTTGTTTCAGGTGAAGAGCCGTTATTCTTCTGGTGCTGCTTCCCGTTCTTTCACTTCCACTGCGTTTACTCCTGTAACCGAAAACGAATTCGAGTTAATCAAAGTGGAGAAAAACCCGAAGAAGAAAGGGTATGTTCAGTTTCAAACGACACATGGAGATTTGAACATTGAGCTCCATTGCGATATAGCTCCTAGAGCATGTGAGAATTTCATCACACTCTGTGAACGAGGTTACTACAATGGAGTGACCTTTCACAGAAGCATCAGGTAATATATATGCCTTGGAAATCTTTTATATGGTTTCAGAGACTTTATTGGGTTATTATAGATTTGATTAAACGTGTTCTCTTGACTTTGTTTTACAAAGGAACTTCATGATTCAAGGCGGAGATCCAACAGGGACAGGAAAAGGAGGTGAATCCATTTGGGGAAAGCCATTCAAAGACGAGCCAAACTCGAAGCTGCTTCACTCGGGAAGAGGCGTAGTTAGTATGGCTAATAGTGGTCCTCACACAAATGGATCTCAGTTTTTCATCTTATACAAATCAGCAACCCATTTGAACTACAAGCATACTGTGTTTGGTGGAGTTGTTGGTGGTTTGGCAACACTTGCTGCGATGGAGAATGTACCCGTAGATGAAAGCGACCGTCCCCTTGTAAGTTCCTAAAAACCCATCATTTCACTGTGTTCTTCTCGAGTTGTTTTTCAGCCTCCTGAGATGGTATGTATTCTGAAATCTTTGCAGGAGGAGATCAAGATAATAGAGGCAAATGTGTTTGTGAATCCATACACGGAGCTTGATGAAGAGGAAGAAAAGGAGAAAGCGGAGAAAGAGAACGAAGACAAAGACATTGTTAGTATCATCCCTTCCCACCAAAATACATACAGTCTCTCATCTTTCTCTTTGCTTTCAATCTTCCTGATAATTAATGATTATACTGTGATGTATGCAGGAGAAGATCGGGTCGTGGTACAGCAACCCAGGATCAGGAACAGCAGAAGCTGGAGTTGGTTCCGGTGGTGTCGGAAAATACTTGAAAGCTAAGAGTAATACAACAGCCACTAAAGACACGAGTGGTGCCATAGATTCTGCTGATCTTGCACCCATTGGAGTGTCTAAGAAAAGGAAAACAACTCCTGCTTCAGCCTCCACAGGGTTTAAAGATTTCTCTAGCTGGTAGTTGTAAACATATTCAACCAACTTTGTAAAACTGTTGACTAGTCTTGATATCCCAAATCACAAATTTTATAGGACAACATTTGAACCTTTTCATGCTCAAAAGTCAAAAGCTGAGTAAAAGATTTTTTAGAAACTATAACAATCATCATCACAATGAATCGCCTAATCTACAAAACAAATCAACAACAATGATCAGAACAGAGTAACAAGAACATATTTAGTTGTGTCTGCGTTTAAGGTAGATGCCATTTACTGTGCCAGTATATAGAAACCCTCGACCACATTGGGAAACCGAAACCGGACTCCAAAGGCTGATCAGCGGGTCCTCCTATAACCAACGGTAACCACACGTATCTCGAATCCCTCAAATCAGCCGGGTTCCATCTATCCGCCATGAATATAAACGCACCGGGAACTCCCGGTAAAGGGATCACATACGTGCTCTGCGCAAAGAATGTTGTTAACCGGAAAACTTTGTTGCCGCCGATACACGGATTCCCCAACTTCTCCCATGGACCCATTACAGATTCAGCCGCATGAGCCATGGCTTCATTTGGTGCCCAACCAGTGCACCAAGAAGTGACCATGTAATAAGTGTTGTCATGCTTGAAGATAGCTGGAGCTTCTCTGTGCTGTCCGACCATTACTCTCTTCATAACCGGGGTCACGTCGAGGTAATCTTCGGTTAAGGGTCCGATATGAAGCACGCTGTTGACTTCGGAGGAATAAATCAGGTAAGCAACACCGTCGTCGTCTTTGAAGACAGTCATGTCTCGACTATCGAACCCGTGTGGACGTTTGCTGTATAGATACTCGAACGGACCTGTCGGGTTATCGCTAGTGGCTACACCAACCGAAGCTTTAGTGTAGTTTGCATCGTCGATATGCATCCACATCACGTATTTTTCTGTCTTTTCATTGTAGATCACTTTTGGTCGCTCGAGAACATTGGATTTATGCAAATCATGGGTCTTGTTTGTTTCTTCAGCTCCGAGTACAATGCCTTCATTTTTCCATGTCCATAAGTCTTTTGAAGAGTAACAACCTACACCTATAATATCAACCTGAAGACAACACAAGATCGAAACTTTACCCCAAAACTTTAACAGATCATACAAAACTTAGGACAAGTACTGGATATATAATGGTACTTACTCTGGCTGGTCCTTTCTTGTGAGCATGATACGTTGGTCCATCTTTATATTCTCCATACCAATAGTATGTGTTAGATTTCTCGTCGTGCAGAATCCCTCCACCATGGGCTTGAATTGGATTTCCTTCTGTGTCCGTCCAAATTTTCCCAGGGAAGTAATGAAACGTATCGTTTCCCATATCCTTGGTGGGACCAAAAGCAGCTGTTTTCATGTCAGGAAAGAAGAGATGCCGAATCGGTGACTTGTCATCAAGAAACTCTTCAACCAGAGGGATCGGTTTCCTCGACTTCCGTTTACTCGTACGAGGAGAACGCTTCCTAGGTGGCGGCATCCTCAGCATCTCTTCTTCAACTCTTACAAGTTCCTGAACAACAGGATGATGATGATGGTGATGTACTTGTAGTAACTCATCAGGAGGAACTTGGTGATCAATGTTATCTTTACTGCTATAGAGCGAGATAAGATGAGCCAACAGGAAGAATCCCACAACGGTCCATACAATAGTAAGCAGTGAGTATCTGCAACCTCCTGCATCATTGCAATGCAAAGATGTTGGTTTCTTATTGTATTTGTTCTTCTTCATTATCCTCTCTCTTTCTTTCTTTCTTCCTGTTAAACTTTTATCTCCAAGAAAAACACTCTACGTAAATAAAATCCAACCTCCGTAGATCCAAAACAAATATCTAGTAATATAATCAGAAAACTAGGAAAAATCAAGCGATAAGAGATGAGTGTTGATTCAGTAAACTTGTTTTCCGGATTTGATGCATTTCGAACTCAGATCCGAAGCGTAAGACTAATAGATACGAAGCAGAAACAAAGTAAGCTCTATAAACTCGAAAATTTAACGAGACGGAATAATCGGAAATCTGACCTGAAACCCCCCGGAGACCAACAACAGAAGCTGAAGTTCCCGACATGTAGACAGAGGATTCGCAACTATCTTAGCTTTCTCCGAAGCTAGCGCCCAAAATCCAACACCTCTCGCATCAAGAATCTGGGTCTGGGAACGTGATTCCGTAGCTGAATCTAGAAATCCAGAGCTAGATTTTGGCGAGATACAGAAAATGGGTAAAGTCAAGTATAGTTGAGATGGATCTATCAAGAGAGAGAGAGACTCTTAGATTGATTCCGACGTGCGAACGAAGAGGAGAGTGATAATTCTAGTCTCCTTCTCCTCTGATTCAGCTCTGATCAATTTATTTTCTTCTTTGCTCCGCGAGTTTTTCCCGTTGTATTTTTATAATCTAATATAAGTAGTGGTGGACGGCTGATGCTGATTATTATTACTTTGTGTAATAATCTCTACTATCAATGTTATAAAGTTTTAAATTATCTATCATGGATTAGTACTAATTAATTATCTCTTTTTGTTGCATTACTCATGTTTTCAGAATAGAATCCCAGATAACATTTAATAATGGGTTTTAGTTTGTCATCTACCGAAAGTTATGTATTCATGCACATGAAATGTGGCTTCTTGAGTTGAGTGGGTTGACAAATTCGTTTCCCACCTTTCTTCTCTATCATTAACTGTTTTTAGGATTCAACTAGACGAATCATACGTATTTCATCATAATTATTATATTTATATAAAATTATTTTCATAATAATTATTAATTTATGATATTAATAGAATCATATATTTATATAAGTTTTTTAATAAATTATTATTTTATCAATTTATAATATGCTTTGAACTGATTCAATTTCAAATTAAATAAATTTATTTGTTTAAGGACATTGATCAATCGTGTATATAAAACGAATCAGTTCAAACTCGTTATAATAATAACCGTTTGTAAATGTAAAATGATAGATCACTTAAATAATTTCTTTATGTTAGCGAGATGACAAGAATAAATAATCAATTTGTAAATATAAGAGATATTGACTTTTCAATTAAAATAAAAAAGAGAAAAATTATAAGGATCTATATAGCCGTTGTGGGTTTTCTGATCCTTTTCTCCGTCACGGCTCTAATTCGTGTTCCTCCTGAGTTAGGTTTCTGAATTTGGTGTTGATACTTTCAATTGCCTTTCTGTTTCCCCGATCTTTAGACCCCGTGTGGTTTTCGCGAGAACTGCCAACGGAACCACCGATTTCGGCGGCGATGGCTCCATCTTCACTGCTTCCGGCAAGCGCGTACGTTTCAGCGATCTCTGGGATCAGGACGAGGTATGTTCTGTGTCAATTACCTATACAAAAAAACGAATTTGAGGGTGTATATAGCGAATTCATGTGCGGATATTAGCGTTTGAATTGTGATCTTTTTTTTTTATCAGAGGGATTTGCTGCTGTTGTGCTTTTGAGGCAATTCAGATGCGTTTTCGGGTACATAAATTCAAACAAAATATTTCTAAAATCGACAAGAATCGTTGCAATACGATTTTCCTTTATTTTCAAATCACGGTTGATGAAATCGATTTATTTGATTTGAAAGCTGGGATCTTGCTACTGATTTGAAAGAAGCGAAACCAAGATTTTGATGCGGCTGTTGTTAAGTTGGTGGCTGATGGTGTAGATAAGTCTAGTCTACTCAAGCTCTTGCGGGTATTGACCATTTGCCTTTTCGTTGTAGGATTTTCTGTGCCAAGAGTGCAGCTTTTTTCTGTTTGTCTGACTTGGGACCTTCTTATTTTGTAGTTTGATATCATCACTTGGGACCTCCACAAGTGATGCTTGGATACTTGAAATACTAGTGGTCACTTGGAGAAGAACGTAAGCGCAAAGAGGCATTTACCAAGCTGCAGGTATGTCATATTAGCTACTTGCTTTGTTCTCTTTCTCGCATTTTCCAGTTTCTTGCTTTAATGGCCGTCTTGGAAATGAAATGTTGCTAGATTCTCACGAGGGAACTCTCACATTCTCAATCTGACATGCTGGCTAGTATGGTATCTCATGGCAGTGGGCACTTTCATGACGGGTCTATTCAAGGTGAATTGTGGTTACTTTTAACTGTCTAAGTGTAGTCAAACTATGTCTAACAATAACACTTTAGTGACAATATATGCTCTTTTCCAGAAATTCTTGATGCATCTATGCTCCTAAATGGCAGTGATGACTCATTATATTTCAAAAGGTCAAATTGCTTCTCAACTCATTGTTGCCGGGGATATCTTCATTCTATAGCTAATGCCAAAGGAGTTGATGATAGTTTACAGGTAAAGAGTGCATCCTTCCACTGCTTTTCCATGTTTCAATTCGTCTTTCTTTACTTCACTCTGTTATGTCACACATATTAAGTTCTTACCTTGCTATTCTACTTTTATACTTGTTTCAGTGATGAGTTGTTTTGCCACATTGGTGGTCTGTTTTTCGTTTGCTTAAAAATAGTGTTTCCTTTATTTAATGATCAAACATTAATGGTCTGTGTATGAGCTTACCCTTTGAGGTATCTAATATTATATGTTAACATAGGTGATTGCTTTTAACAAGCTTGATCGAAGTTTTGCTTGTTTCAGAGTGACTTTACTAGAGTCTATCGTCTCTTTCAAAAATGTAATTGTTGGGAATGCTGTTGACTAGAGTTTTTGCTTGTTTCAGAGTGACTTTATTCTGGTTCAACCATGGAGCGGCTGATGTCCAAGCAGCATTGAAGGGTGGATTCAGTCATGTCAACATTAACACATGGCTTGTCTCAAATAATTGCTAGGATACATTCAAATAATCGTGCTGTCAGGCTGCATAGGAGAAAATCACTTACAGGTTTGCAGTTCTCGATTAATATAAAATCTAAAAACCACCTTCATTGGTATTACGAACTTATGACGTGAATTAAAATATAGAAATAAGTTTTGCACTACCATTTTGATTGCAAATTTGCTTGCTTCCTGTTGGTTCGTTGGTACTAGAGACATTTTGATCTCTTTACCATTAATTGGAATGCATAATTTCTCTTTGACTATTTTTTCAAATGTTCGCAGGCACTTATGTATCCCCTTCTCGTTGCACGTACTTGAACCATTACATGAATTGCTTGAAGAAGGTGCAAGAAAGGAATGCTGAAAGTACTTGAACCGTTACATGAATTGCTTGAAGAAGGTGCAAGAAAGGAGAATACGACCATACAAGAGAGGAGGTGCGGCCATTTTCAATACCGGTTTTTATTAGGAAAAGTAATAATAATAATAATAATACTAATAATAACATTAAATAAAATTTGAATCTAACTCAAACATGAATTTTGGTGTTGTTTATATATTGTTTCAGGTAAAAAAATCTACAAAATAAATTTCAGTAAGCAAAAGATGCCGAGTGGATGACACTCCGGAAAAAAGATATGTATTTCATTTTTTTCTTTTTTATATTTCTTCATTTATATTAAAACTTAGATTAGTTTAAAAATCGATTAAATTTATATTAGTTGTGAAACTAACCGGACATAGTACAAGCCATTTGAATACATTTGGTCGTTAGAGATTACTTATGTTCAATTTGTTTTCACAACTAATATAGATCAATCGGTTTTTATTAGGAAAAGTAATAATAATAATAATAATAATAATAATAATAATAATAATAATAATAACATTAAATAAAACTTGAATCTAACTCAAACATGAATTTTGGTATTGTTTTTTGTATTATGTCAGGTAAAAAAAATCTACAAAATAAATTTCAGGAAGCAAAAAATACCGAGAGAAAGAGACTTCGAAAAAAAGATAAGTTTCTTATTCTTTTCTTTTTTATATTTATTCATTCATATTAAAACATATATTAGTTTAAAAATCAATTAGATTTATATTAGCTGTGAAACTAACCGGACATGGTATACAGCCATTTGAATACATTTGGTCGGTAGAGATTACTTATGTTCAATTTGTTTTCACAACTAATATAGATCAATCAGTTTTATTAAAAAAAAAAAATAATAATATAATAATAATATTAAATAAAATTTGAATCTAATTCAAACATGAATTTTGGTGTTGTTTTTAGTATTGTTTCAGGTAAAAAAAATCTACAAAATAAATTTTAAGAAGCAAAAAATGCTGAGAGAATGACACTTTGGAAAAAGATATGTCTTTTATTCTTTTCTTTTTTTTATATATTTATTCATTCATATTAAAACCTAGATTAGTTTAAAAATTGATTAGATTTATATTAGATTAGTTTAAAAATCGATTAGATTTATATTAGCTGTGAATCTAATCTATTTGGTCGTTAGAGATTACTTATGTTCAATTTGTTTTCACAACTAATATAGATCAATCGGTTTTTATTAGGAAAAATAATAATAATAATAATAATAACATTAAATAAAATTTGAATCTAACTCAAACATGAATTTTAGTGTTGTTTTTTGTATTATTTCAGGTAAAAGTATCTACAAAATAAATTTCAGGAAGCAAAAAATGCCGAGAGAAAGACACTCTGAAAAAGATATGTTTCTTATTCTTTTCTTTTTTATATTTATTCATTCATATTAATACATATATTAGTTTAAAAATCGATTAGATTTATATTAGCTGTGAAATTAACCGGATATGGTATCCAGCCATTTGAATACATTTGGTAGTTAGAGATTACTTATGTTCAATTTGTTTTCATAACTAATATAGATCAATCGGTTTTTATTAGGAAAAAAAAAATAAAATAATAATAATAATAATAATAATAATAATAATAATAATAATATTAATAAATAAAACTTGAACCTAACTCAAACATGAATTTTGGTGTTGTTTTTAGTATTGTTTCAGGTAAAAAAGAATTCTACAAAATAAATTTCAAGAAGCAAAAAATGTCGAGAGAATGACACTCCGAAAAAAAGATATGTCTTTTATTCTTTTCTTTTTTATATTTATTTATTCATATTCGTTAGAGATTACTTATGTTCAATTTGTTTTCACAACTAACATAGATCAATCGGTTTTTTTATTTTAAAAATAATAATAATAATAATAGTAACACTAAATAAATTTTGAGTCTAATTTGATTTTAATTTTTAATTATTTCAGGTTAAAGATTTTTCAAACAAACATGTCACGCAAAGAAAAAAAAAATAATAATAATAATAATAATAATAATAATAATATTAATAAATAAAACTTGAACCTAACTCAAACATGAATTTTGGTGTTGTTTTTAGTATTGTTTCAGGTAAAAAAGAATTCTACAAAATAAATTTCAAGAAGCAAAAAATGTCGAGAGAATGACACTCCGAAAAAAAGATATGTCTTTTATTCTTTTCTTTTTTATATTTATTTATTCATATTCGTTAGAGATTACTTATGTTCAATTTGTTTTCACAACTAACATAGATCAATCGGTTTTTTTATTTTAAAAATAATAATAATAATAATAGTAACACTAAATAAATTTTGAGTCTAATTTGATTTTAATTTTTAATTATTTCAGGTTAAAGATTTTTCAAACAAACATGTCACGCAAAGAAAAAAAACGTATCATCATTTAAAAACAAATTATTATAATTGTATTTATTTTATTTGATTGTTTTTTTTGTCAAGTAAGAATTTTTGTTTGTAATTGTTGGTCTTCCCTATATTCGAATTCAAATTTTCAATACAATAATCTGATATTAATTTAGTAAATACATCATATATATATTTATTTATGTTTTTGTTGCAAGTAGACTCTATTTCTTGCTGTCTTTCATTTTTTTCTATTAAATTTTTTTTTTGTAATTGCTTTTAAACCCATTTTCACTTACAATGATTTCAATTTCAATATATTATAGATATCCCTGCCTTGAGGGATTCTATTCCTCCTATTTCTGGTAATGATTATTGAATGTAGACAAAAAAAACTTTGTTGCGTCTATCTTTATTTTAAAATGTCATATATACATCTCTTAAAATACTCTATCTTGTCACTGATGTTTTCCAAAAAAAAAAAAAATACAAAAATAGAAATCCATTACAATACCACACATATGCACACATTCACCTCTCTTATATATTCACTTGTCGTCTTTCTGCAGAAGAAATTGGATTAATAGAAAACCAAGAAAAACTCTTTCCTTTCTCTTGGAGAGCTTTAGCGAGGAAGAGCAAAACCAGAACCTTCATGATAAGAGAGAGAGCAAGCATCGATGCCCAAAGCCGATACATTGAAGCTCTAAATGGTTTACATTGGTTGGAGACGATGCTCGATAACGTGTCTTTCACGACAAGGCATTCTGTTAGGTTTTGTAGAGAAGGCAAGATGTCGAGCATGCCTTGCGCTGAGTTGCTGTAAGCATAGACCTTGAGGTACGCTGCTTCGGGAATGAACTTTCCGGTGATTTTGCAAGTTTCCGGTGGATCTTTGTCGTGGCATGTGAATTTCGAAAGAATCTAAGAACACAAAAAGGTTTACGTTCACTTGATTCTTTTAAAACACAAACCTAACCAATAAACAGATTTTAAAAGACTTACATTTGGGAATTCGCCGATTGGAATGGCGCCATTGGAGCAGCTTTGTGGTGTGAAGCTGTTAATTTGCTGTCCGACAAACGGATCACATATGAGTCCAGATTCCGGCGCCGACGAGACAGTATTACTTCGATCAGTCAACGCGTAAGAACGCATCGAATCTGCTACTTTTGAGTTTAGCTGAGAGAAAAGAAAATAGAAAACGAGAAACAGAGGATTTTATGATTTATAACCATTGCTTGATTCTTGGAATTAAAGATAATAATTTGATCGGTTTATACCTCGGTGATGAAGTTATGGATCATTAGGCTGACTTCGAATAGGGTTTTATCAGAATGAAGAGGATCCATACAAGAGAAAACATTTGTCAGTGAGCTGTCTTGTGGGTTTTGCACGAAGCCTTTGAAAGCTGAACAAACGTCTTCTGTGAATCTGCATGGAGCGGAAACTGTGGATTTAGTGTAAGGAACAGTTTGGGATTATGTTCTTAGGGGGTCTGATTAGCTTACGTGTGAAGGAAGAAATCAAAACCAGTCAGAGCCCAACAAAGAGTGGTTAAGATCCAACACAAGAATATCACCCTTTTTCGGAGAAAAAAGAAAGAAAGAAATAATCTAAGTTAAAACTCAATTCAACAGAAAATGTTTGATTCGGATTTCGATTGCTTACATGATGAATCCAGGATGCCAATGAAGCAAGAGAGGAGCTGAGAAGAGAGACAAAAAGCAAAGAGATCCATTAATTAGTCTAAGAAAACCTAACAAAACCCAAAATCACTAAACCCATGCTAAAATGAATCTCACCAAAGGCTAGAAGCAGAACGAACAAGTTGGTTGATGCAATCACAAGATGAGATACATACCTGCGAGAAAAAAAAACAGAGCAGAACAATGTTGGATTATGAATCAGAGACGATTAAAAAGGAAAAAAAAAAGATGAGTCCTACGAGAATTTGATGGCGAGATCAATGGAACGGCCGTTGTGATGAACGAAGCTTTGAATAAGCCGAGATCCTTTCCCGAGTCGATGGCTAGTGACGTTGAGAAGATGAGTCGTTTTCTGATCGTACGGAAGCAACAAGTACTGTATCTTCGTCAACGACGTTATCACTGTACGGATGTTTCTCTCAACATCATCTCCTGCCTTGTCTATGGTTTCTTTCATTTCCTCTGTCTTGTTCTTCGAGCTCTGGTTCGCTGCTATCACTATCCCTGTCGTTGCCCTGATTTAACCGATTTTAAACCCCAAAAAAAATTATTATTTCATTGTATAACCAAATATATAACAATTTGAGGGAAAGGTATAAAGTTTACATGGAGAGAAACATGAAGAGGAGGAGAAGTAAGAACAGAGGAAGATAGTAACGGTCGAGATATCGACGGCGTGTGGAAGAAACGCGTATTCTTTTGTCGGAGAAAGCTACGTAAAGTCCAAAACAGACGCCACCGATAATCAACACTCCGGCAACGGCGTAACCATGGATTCCGGTAAATGCCGTAGCCTGAGATTCCATTCCAGGTACATTTAAGTATCATTTTAACCTCAATGTTGATCCCAAAAAAAATACACGAGATTAAAAGAAGAGAGACTCACTGCCCAATAATGTTTGTCTCCAACATCGAAACCTCCTTCGTAATACCTAAAACTGTTAAGGGGATCACGTCTCTTAAACCTCTCTTGATCTCCACCGTCCGATAAACCGGAAACCGCCAAACGCGGAGAAATCACGGCCGTTAAAAGGAGCAGAGACAGAACTCCGATTATTCTTGATTTTGTCATGGTGAAGGAGTCGATGATCGAAAATCATGTTACTTGTTTATTTCTACTACTCTTTTAGGGATTCTTTGAATAGAAAGAGATTTTCGAGAGACTATATTTATTAATTTATTTTTGCCTTTCTTCTTCGTGTGTTTGGCTTACTTACTAAGGCAAGGATAGCTTGTGGCTACATTGTTCTTAAAAGTTTTTTTTTTCTCTTTTCTTGTTAAATTGAAGAAAGGAGAGTGATTAGAGTAACGTATCTGGAGCCGTCTTCTATGGGTTTTATTTGACTCGCTCTTCTTTCTCTTTGTTGGTTTACACTTTTCTCAAAATATACACTTTCCTTATTAATAAAGTGTACGTCTATTTTTTTTCTTGCATCCCAATAGTAAAAGTGTGTAGTGTATGTTTTTTTCGACCTGGTCGGACCATATATTTTTTACAAATTTAAATTTGGGAACATTTCTGCATTGTTGTGAGTTATTCTTGTATAGCCCATTTATAATGGGCCTGAATATTCCGATAATCAAAACCCATCTAAACGAGTCTCCATTATTGGTTCGTGGTTGTCACGCGCCTCCGTAACGCGACTGGGTGCGTGATGTGCACATTCGTTTGTTTTTTTTTTATCAATGTACAATTCTTCTTCCGAACTTCTCTCTGTCCCATCGAATCTTTCTTCTGATTGGCTAAACACAAATTTAATAATTACAGTATTGCTCCATGATTTTCGCTCTGTCACACACAGCTTCATTTGCCCTAATCAGATCTAGACCGTTAATCGTGACACTCAGAGGGACCTATACAGATTTAACGGCCATGATTTCGTGTTTAATTTTAATTCGCCGGCTCTCTTTGCTGTGTCTCGATTTTTTGACAGAAACGAAAAAAAATCTTCGATGAGATAATAATATCAGCAAAGAGCGGAAGAAGGCAAAAAGAGAGAGAGAGAGAAGCTTCCATTTAGCCCATAGAGATCCGTGGAGGAGAATTTCTAGCAGACCGATCTGTCGTCTCTGTTTCTACGAATCTCTGTCTTTGTCGGAAACTTGATTTCTCTGAACCATAAATATGGGTTTGTGGGATGCTTTTCTCAATTGGCTTCGTAGGTTAGTTCGTATTTCGTCTTCCTTCAATTTCCTTTTTCTCGTTGGCGGGATTTGGATTGTTTCTCTTTGTTATTTGAGTTCAATGACAGGGAAAAAAAACGAACTTTTCCGCCAAAAATGAATTCTGATTTGTAATTTGTGGACGAAATTAGGGATTTTAGCAGAATTCATTACTGATGCGATGATTCATATATATGATGGGTTTCGTTTAGAGTACCAAAAGAACAATTCTGTAGCTTTTTTATCCAAATAAGGAATAGCAATACGATCATATCAATGTCTGGCCAAGTATGTAACAAACTTGCTCTTTTCTTTGTTCCAGCTTTTGATGTGATCTTCTAGTCCACCGTTTAGATTTTCATAATTATGTTTAGGTTTAGTTTAAGTAATACAATTAATAACTCTAAATGGTTAATTAGTAGATGGCTTCACAAAGAGCTAAGTGAATAGGTTTGTGAGGAACGAGATGTATAAAGAACCCTATGGTACTAGTTGTGATAGCAAGAGCTACTTTGCTTGTAACTCCTCTTGCTTTCTTTGGCACGAGTTTTGGCGAATCATAATTTTACCGAACGATTGACTTAATTGTTTCAATACGCCTATTTGCAGCCTCTTCTTCAAGCAAGAAATGGAGCTTTCATTGATAGGTCTTCAAAATGCAGGGAAGACATCACTTGTTAACGTTGTTGCAGTGAGTTTGCTTCCCTACCAAAAAATACGTTTCATTCTATATATATCTCTTAACCCCTATTGAATGATGTTTCCTCTTTATATTTCCTTGTTCAGACCGGTGGATACAGTGAAGACATGATTCCTACGGTGGGTTACACTACTCCCTTTAATGTCTACTTGTAAGTGACGAAAGATTTGCTCGCTTTTGGATTAGTCTTAAAGAGGATTCTTCTACTCCTTTCAGGTTGGTTTCAACATGAGGAAAGTGACAAAAGGAAGTGTCACAATCAAACTTTGGGATCTCGGTGGTCAACCTAGGTTCCGCAGCATGTGGGAACGCTATTGCCGTTCTGTTTCCGCCATTGTGTAAGAATCTAAAGATTTTGTCTTTTCACTATTGCGCTCACCTTTTATGTTTTCATATGACTAAAAACTCTTGGCTCTTGCTGCGGATTCTGATTCCAGGTATGTGGTTGATGCTGCTGATCCTGACAACCTTAGTGTGTCGAAAAGCGAGCTTCATGATTTGTTGAGCAAGACGTCGCTTAGTGGTATCCCTCTTCTAGTCCTTGGTAACAAAATCGACAAGCCTGGAGCTCTGTCCAAAGAAGCCTTAACCGAGGAAATGTAAGCCTTACTGTAACTGAAACACAACAAAAGACTTGGCTTTTAACTTGGGTTCTGAAGATGTTTTCTCCATTGTTTGCGCAGGGGGCTCAAGTCTCTTACCGATAGAGAAGTCTGTTGCTTCATGATATCTTGCAAGAACTCTACCAACATTGATCAAGTGATTGATTGGCTTGTAAAGCACTCCAAGTCTGCAAGCTAAACTTTGCGCCAAAACTACTGAACCCTCTGCAAGTTTCTTTTCTCAGTCTTCCTGTGTGTTCATGACGATGGTGGTTATGGTGATGGTAGAAGAAGACAGTTTTTTTCCTTATTTTTTAATCCTGTGTAAAACGAGATTTGTCATTGTTTTCTTCTGATTCTTTGTTGTCTTTATTCTTCTGCGTCTTCTGCTGTTCTCTGTATATTAGCTTAAATTTGGTTTTTCTTCTTCTTAAGCAATGAGATTCACCTTCCTTCAGGATCGGATTTTACAATTTTACGACTTCATTGCATAATGTGAAAGAACAAAAACATATGGGCGTATTTCATAATTTTAAAGAACTTCAGGCCAAAAACGGAAATTTAAAATAGCGACAAGATAGAATCATAGAACGATAGACTTCACACCTCACTAGCACTATCCTCGCAACAATGGACGCTTCGGTGGTGAGATGTTCCCAGTCGCCGGCGAGGGTGCCGCCGGTTTTTGAACCGGATATGGAGAAGATTAAACGAAGGCTGCTCAAGTACGATGTTGATCCTACCCCTAAAATCCTGAGGAATCTCCGAAAGAAAGAAATTCAAAAGTACAACCGGAAAACCAAGCGCGAACTCGAGTCCGCGGCGGAGACATCGCAGGTGTATACTGAGGCGCAGAAGCAATCTATCGAGGAAGAAGCTCGTTTCCAGACCTTAAGGCGGGAATACAAGCAATTCACGAGGTCAATTTCAGGAAAGAGCGGCGGCGATAGGGGAAGGATGGACGGTGGTTTGATAGTGGGGAATCCATGGGAGGGAATCGAGAGGGTGAGGTTGAAGGAGCTCGTTAGTGATGTCCGGAGAGAAGAGGTCAGTGGTGGTAAACCGAAGAAAGAGAATCTAAAGGAGCTGAAGAAGATACTCGAGCAGGATCTCCGTTGGGTTCTCGACGACGACGTTGATGTGGAAGAGTACGATATAACGGGAAACGAGGACAGAGACTTTGATCCTGCGAAGCGGTGGCGTAACGAAGGAGAAGCAGTCAGAGTTCTCGTTGACAGGTTATCTTCTCTTTTCCTTTTACAATTACATTTTCTGGATAATATCAAAACTTGGAAGTAAACGAATGTGTTGATTCACGAGAAAAATTGATTGACATTAGGTTGAGTGGTAGAGAAATCACTGAGAAGCACTGGAAGTTTGTGAGGATGATGAATCAATCAGGGCTTCAGTTCTCTGAAGATCAAATGCTTAAGATTGTTGATCGATTGGGACGTAAAAGGAGCTGGAAACAAGCGTTAGCTGTTGTTCATTGGGTGTATTCCGATAAGAAGCGTAAACATCTTCGGAGCAGGTAATGTTTTTTTTTGGCGATTTAGTTCCTTTTGTTCATTCACTTCATGGAGTGTGGACTATTATTAATCGAAAGATTAAGCTTTTATGATAATCCTTTACTACACTGGTTTTTACAGGTTTGTTTACACCAAACTTTTGTCTGTTCTTGGGTTTGCAAGGAGGCCCCAGGAAGCTCTCCAGATATTTAATCAGATGCTTGTAAGTAACTTCTTGTTTGAGTCAATTCATGATAAGGTTGATGCAGATGAACATCATACAGTAAGCACTTTCGTTGCAGTTTTTGGATTAACTCTCATCCCTTAGTCACTTTAGGGTGATCGCCAGTTGTATCCTGATATGGCGGCGTACCACAGTATTGCTGTGACGCTTGGGCAAGCGGGTTTTTTGAAGGAGCTGCTGAAAGTAATCGAGCGCATGAGGGAGAAACCAACCAAGCTAATCAAGAATTTGCGGCAAAAGAACTGGGATCCTGTGCTTGAACCTGACGTGGTTGTGTACAATGCTGTAAGTGAGCATTTTCAAATGATGATTCTTTTCAGTATTTCTAAATGCAGCGAATCACTGTATCTGATTGCTATGGTCCATTCTTGGCTTACCTGGTTCCCAGATTCTGAACGCTTGTGTTCCATCACTCCAATGGAAGGCTGTTTCATGGGTATTTATAGAGTTACGAAAAAATGGTCTCAGACCTAATGGAGCTACATATGGACTTGCGATGGAGGTAGTATTTCTTATTTTCCAACAAAAACGAAATGTTCTAGATGATTTTGAGATAGATGCGGTTTGTAGTGTGGTGCATACACTTAAATATTTTTTAAGAGCTGTTTTCAAGATATGCTATACATGTGACAGGTTATGCTGGAGTCAGGGAAGTATGATCGTGTTTACGAATTCTTTAGGAAGATGAAAAGCAGTGGCGAAGCTCCAAAAGCAATTACATACAAGGGTAGCTATTAGTTCTCTCTGTATTTAGTTTTTTTTTTCTTCTTTTTGGTATTTATTTAGAAGGTGATATGATTCTTATGGCGCGTGATTGATTCTCAGTTCTTGTACGAGCTCTCTGGAGAGAAAACAAAATTGAGGAAGCTGTTGAAGCAGTCAGAGATATGGAACAAAAGGGAGTTATAGGAACAGGTTCAGTTTACTATGAATTGGCATGCTGTCTCTGCAACAACGGGCGTTGGCGTGATGCAATGCTCGAGGCAAGTTCCCTCTCATAGCTTTCCCTTTTCGCTTCACAGAAATACCCGCAAAATGAACTTCATTCCGAATGCATTAATGCAGGTGGGGAGGATGAAAAGGCTTGAAAATTGCAAACCCCTCGAGATTACCTTCACAGGACTCATAACGGCTTCGCTGAACGGTGGTCATGTTGATGATTGCATGGCTATATTCCAATATATGAAAGATAGATGCGACCCGAATATAGGAACCGTGAACACGATGCTTAGAGTTTACGGAAGGAACGATATGTTTTCAGAAGCTAAAGCATTGTTCGAAGAGATTGTCAGAGAAAAAGAAACTCATCTGGTCCCAGACGAGTATACATACAGGTTCATGCTCGAAGCTTCAGCTAGATCACTCCAATGGGAATACTTTGAGCACGTGTATCAGACAATGATTCTCTCCGGGTATCAAATTGATCAAACAAAACACGCTCCAATGCTTATAGAAGCATCAAGAGCTGGGAAGGTAACGAAATCTTCACTTAGTTAGTGTTTGATGGAATCATGAGCTATGCTGATTTTGTTTGTCAAATGCAGTGGAGTCTTCTAGAGCACGCCTTCGATGCAATTCTTGAAGATGGAGAAATCCCTCACCCTTTGTTCTTCACCGAAATGTTGTGTCATGCGACAGCTAAAGGCGATTACCAAAGAGCAATCACACTGATCAACACCGTGGCTCTCGCTTCGTTTCAGATCAGTGAAGAACAGTGGACTGATCTTTTCGAGGAGAATCAAGACCGGCTTACTCTGGAGAATCTGCAGAAGCTCTCTGATTATATCCTTGACTGTGACTATGCAAGTGAACCAACGGTCTCAAACCTCTCAAAGTCATTGAAGTCTCTATGTGGGTCTTCTTCTTCAACAGAGCCATTATTAGCCATTGATGTAACAACTCATAGTCACAGCGAGAAACCGGATGAAGATTTGCTTCTTCACGATACAACAATGGAAGATGACAAAGATGCCAATGGTGAAGCTTGGGAGTTTACGGAGACTGAACTCGAGACGTTGGGTCTAGAAGAACTCGAGATTGATGATGATGAAGAATCTAGCGAATATGATTCACTTTCAGTTTATGACATTCTGAAAGAATGGGAAGAGAGTAGTAGCAAAGAGACTTGAAATGCTTGTAAATTTCTCAAAATCTTCAATTTAATAGAAAGAAATGAACAAAATCTAATGTTCCTTCTCTTCAAACCAGTTTCAAAATTACTAAGTAGATCATCCACAAACGGATAAACAGAAAAAAAAAAAAGATTCAGGTTTTACAGAATCTCAAGAGTTATGAACATACATATTATATGATCAAACTACGGATTTACACTGTTACTAATCCCCAAAAAAAAAGAGTAGAAAGGTTTTTAAAAACTTTTAAACTCTTCAGGTGATGAGATATCGCCTGACTCTTGAAATAAGAAACCGGTAAGGGTATGTTGTATATTTATAGGGCTTGTTCTGTTATAGAACTTTCCCAAGATGGCTTCTCCTTCTTCTGTTTTACCAAGTATGATTACGGATCCTGAACTTCAAAGCTCTCACTGCTGCCTTTGCGAATATCTGAGAAGCTTCAGCTTCGGCTTCTGCTCTGTCTGCCTCTTTTGCTGCTTCTTCAGCCTCTGAGATAGCAAATTCTGCCTCTGCAACTGCTCTTGCAGCAGCTTTTGCAGCTTCTTGAGATGTCATGCCTTCTATCATTAATAACTCTCCGTCTGCTCGGGACTTGGTGGGAATGTTGGCGCCCTTCTCCTCTGGTTTTGCTGGGTCTTTTTTGTTCTTTCCTTCCAAAAAGAGTTGAGAAGACTTCTGTCTTGCTCCTACGCTACCAAAATAAGTAGAAAACCTGTACTTGTGCTTCATCTGAAAGTGAGAACAAGAGCGAGAAATCCCAAACTAAGCATTTGAAATTGCACAAATGTTGAGAAGTATTATAGTGAAGGTTTTAAGAATCTTGAATCATACCTTAACTAATGGTCCATTTGATGATAGATGCCTTAATCTTACTGCCACATGTCTTTTCATATTCGGCGGAGTCTTGAAATTCTCCTGAAATTTAACAGCTACCAAGTAAGTATGCAGCAAAAAACCCTGAAAGAAACATAGAATCCCAAATGCTAGAGTTACCTCTATATACAGAAAGATCGATGTTCTGTCGGAACCGCGTGGTTCCTTCAAGTTTGTAATTGCCTCCATGATGATCTTATCCAGACTACAAGAACACAGACACTATCTCAAGATCTAATCTTTCGAACTTAGACAAAGATTATAAATCTGTATGAACTTAGACAAAGATTATAAATCTGTATGAACTTGGCATGAAGCAAACCTTGTAACTGATCTCTTTGAACCAGAAGTTTTTGGCGATCCACCACCGGAACCTCCAGGTGATGTTGCATTTGCCCGTTCTTCGTCATTTGCCACAATGCTAAGAGCTGCTGCAGTGTTGTCATCGTCATGTTTAGGAGCCGTTAGTGTCCTTTTAAGTGCAAGTTTCGCCTTCTTCCTTGAGCCCCATAACGCTGTCACGCTGATATTTCTCCACTTGTCCTGTTACGCTTTAAACTATCAAGACTAATCCGAAACACGCAATCACAAAAAGCAGATGCCTTTAGTTAAAAAACCCATGAGTTACTTGGAAATGCCACAGTCTCTTCTTGTTTCGAGTTGTAAATGTTTTTACCTTGAGATCAACATTTGAGCGAGACTTAAGAACTAAATTAAACTCAGGATCCGAGAGTATTGTACGCCACTTCCCAGTTCCATGCTTAAGTACTCCAGCTTTAAGCGCTGCTTCTTCTTCCTGTGTCCACTTCTGCTTTGGAGCACCCATCCACAGTTATCAACAGAAACGAAAGTTATTCTCCTCTCTTTTTCTTTTTCTGCCAAGAGATGAAAACACTACAGAACCTTAGATCCTGTGAAACAAAACGACTCAATCTATGAAGCTTAACAACATGTAATAAGCTCTTCTTATCTACAAGAATCTAATATTTCAAAATTTGATCAAGCTTCTCAAAAATCTAGGTACTTGTGCTTATAGAACGTAGATTTGTGAATGTTTTCACCATAATAAAATTCTACAGCAACGATCTCTCACAATGGAAATCTATCTGATCCAGCAGATACACTGACGCCAAAACATACAGATATGTAAATCACAAAAATCGAAAAAAAATGACGGAGAATTAGATATGCCCCAATGCTCGATTAAACAAATCAACGAGTGATTCGAGCGGTTTTCTAATAAAAAGGAGGATCAAATCTCATGTTTCAAGTGATTCCACCACATCCATTAACGATGTCGAAAATCAACATGAATATGGAAATTCCGTACATCATAAGCGAAATCGCCCATCAAAAAGGTAAATAAACGACCGAAATCAAATGTTATGGTCGGAGAAAACGAGATATCTCAAAATGGATTTAAACAACAACAAAAATTGAGGGAGGAGAAGAAGCATGCCCGATCAAATGGAGCCAAATGAGAGTTTTTGAGAGAGAGACTTGATGATGAAAGCTAATTCCTTGTGAAGATGTGTCATGGATTAAATGTGAATCTTAGAATTTCGCTGAAACGAACGAGGAACAAGACCAGAGAGTAGCACAGGAAAGAATATCCATAAAAATGAAATAACTTATGGGTTTTCTATTGTATCAAAATTACACAATAACACCTATTAAAGCTACGATTGATGTATATGCCCTTGACTTTCCCAGATTCATAAATCTGCCTCACGTTGTGTCAATTTGCACTGTAACACCAGTTAGACTATGTACAATGTGATGTATATATTCAATACTCTCCACCTCAACTTTTAATACTCAACATCATATTCTCTTTTTTCCATATACTCATTCAATATCTTATTAAATTTTACACTCTCTAATAGTTTTATTTAATAAAATTCAACACCTTACTCTACTATTCCACATCATAATTTTGTTTTCTTTTTGATTTTTCTAATTAATAAAAAAAATTACTATTTATAATTTTAAATTAAATAATTTATAGTAACAGTATTTTGTAAAATATTTTTTTCAAATGGTAAAAATAATAATAATTATTATTAAAATATAAAAAAAATTGTTTATTAAAAGATAATAAAGTTCAAAAATTTTAGAGGTGATAAAAATTATGGAAATCTCTCTAACCAATCAAATTTCATAACGTTTTTTTATCCAAAAATAAAAAATTTCCGCCGCGTGTGGCACGCACTCACCAACTTTCTTCTCTGTTATATTTTGACATTTGGCTTCATAGGTTCTATATTTTTTTAATTCAATCGGTTGAATATTTTCAACACAAAACAATACACATGTATTCTTAAAAAAATCAACAGCCTTATTGAAAATGTTAAACTGTTGAATTAATTTTTCAACTGGCTCATTGTACATAGCTTTATCTAAATTATAATTGAATCATTTTTGTTTTTCGATAGACATATAATTTAGTTTACAAGTTTCAAAACTTCAAATTATTTGTAATATGCTAAGTGTGCATGCGAGAGTATGAAGTACTAGTTATTGATATAGAGATTGAGGTGAATGTTGAGGTGGTTTAAAAAAGAGAGAAAATCTAACTTTATATTTATATATATATATATTAACGATCCATCATTATTCAAACATTTTTTCATCTTCTAATTTTTGAAGATTTTAGGAGTTTTTTCCGAGAGGAAATTGGAGGTGGATTGGGGTTAATTGATCTCAGAAATAACTTAGGGAGTCTTAAAGAGTTATATATAGTATTCAGGCCGATAGAGTAATTTAGAAATTGTTCGATGGCTGAATTGAAAGTTTCCCTGGTTTTTTAACTTTTCCCCTTCCCTTCACCATTTTTCCTCAAAAACTTCGGGACACCGAAACGAAATTAAAAAGCTCAGAGATTTTTCAGATTCCTCTATTTGCGTAACGATGGCCCTTCGTGCTACTCAAGCGACTGGCCGTATCGCGACGGCGTTCCGGCGTGTCGCTCGGCCATTCTCCATTGACGCGGTCGTTGAGTCGGATTACAAGCGTGGCGAGATCGGTAAGGTCTCCGGAATCCCAGAGGAGCATCTCGCAAGAAAGGTATTTCGATTTCTTCTTCTCTTATGGAATCAGCTTAGAAATTAGGTTTCTTTTAATTACGGATTAAAGTGCGGAGAAGCTCAAATCGTGATCGGAGATTTGTCTATGCCCGGAAAATCTGAGCTGCATAGTGTTGTTCTTCAATCGATTGGACTTTAATCATCTGAAGATATTCAATTGATTTCAAAGGTGGAATTTGGCAGGTGATTATATACTCGCCTGCTAGAACTGCTACCCAGCAAGGATCTGGAAAGCTTGGAAAGTGGAAGATCAACTTCGTCTCCACCTTAAAGTAAGAGCCTTTCTTCATTCAATCTCCCCTAATTTCTTACCTTTGTGTTGTAACTCAAAGATATAATCCTCTTAGTGGATAGTTTTTGGTTCATCTATTGATTCACCTAACATGTTACACATCATACTCTTCGTTCCTGTTAAATTCTTCTACTTGTGTGTCAATTAGATGCAGCCTTATCCATACCAATAGCTTCTGGTTATCAGATATTTTGGCATTGATATGTTTGTAGGTGGGAGAATCCATTGATGGGATGGACTTCTACAGGTGACCCTTACGCCAATGTCGGTGACTCCGCTCTTGGTTTTGATTCCGAAGAAGCTGCAAAGTCATTTGCAGAGCGTCACGGTTGGGATTATGTGGTATGTTGTTGTTTCCTTCTTTTTTTCCCGATCACATTCACATTTTATGAGAGTGGCATGGTTCTATCTATTTTTCCGGTCACATTCACATTTTATGAGAGACGTCATAGAGTTCAGAATACTGAAAAAAAACGCACTTGTGATTCCTGGCAGGTCAAGAAGCCCAAAACACCATTGTTGAAGGTTAGTAACTATCTTTATATTTAAGCTCATACCACCTGTGACTAACTGAGCTCAAGTTAATATTAAGAAGTGTTTAAATCTAGGCTGGAGAGCGAATCTCCGTAATCTAAATCCCTAAGAGCCCTAGGAACCCTTGAATATTTCTGGTTTAAGATTAGTGTCATTAAGAAACTTCTCGAACTTAGTCATTTTGCTTTATCAGAACTGCTTTGCTGCCTTAAGACTAGGCTCTAGCTTAAGATTAGTTCATCTAGATTCTAGAGAATGATAACATTATTAAGTTCGAAGTTTTGAACCTAACCGGATGATGGCTCACCTATCGTAACTTCAGGCTAAGTCTTACTCGGACAACTTCAAGTGGAAAGGCAATCCTCAACCAGAGAACTGATCTTACATCTTTCCTCTTCCTCCGTTTCTCGAGCAAAGGAGGAGCAACTTCATTTGATAAAAATTCTCATGTTTCTTTGTTATCTTAGCATCTGTGAGCTCTTGTCTGAACTATTATCCATGGTCGGATTTTTTTTTTTTTTATGTTTTCCTCATTTTACAATAATATGATGATGATGATGACAAACACTCCATTGATATTTCATCAAACTTTCTGATCATTTACTGGTAATGGTCGAGTTCCATACGATTATGAAATTTAAAGACAAATTCGAAACGAAAGAAATAACAACAGAAGAGAGATGGTTTAAGAGACAAAGTCTTGTCTTTTACATTACAAAATAATGAAAGACTCGTTGACTGATGTCAGCGCATAAATTCCTCCGATCAGAAACATGCATCCAAGAGACAGCAACAACAGAGCGCAGCCAAACTGTGATGTATATGTATTAACACAGAGAAAGACATATTTGGTCATAATTTAAAATATGAACTCAATAAAAAAAAAAACCAAATTCAAAAACAAAAAAATAGAGAGAGATTGGATCAAGAACATACCATCCTTCAAGCATACCGGCTTGTTGCTTCTGCTGCGGAGCCTGAGAGTACTGAGGCGGAGGATAGCCTTGTGCAGGGTAGCCCTGAGCATATCCCGGAGGCGGATAACCGGCCGGGGGATAACCAGCCGGAGGATAACCGTCCTTAGGAGGATACCCTTTTAAACCGGAATCCAAGAGCAGATTAAATCAGCACAGAAGAAGATAAACCGACATCCAAAATTAAAGTAAGGAAAAAAGAAACATTACCTTGGGGCGGAGGAGCACCGACAGGATGTTGATCTTGATGATACATCTTTCTTCTTCTTCTTCTTCTTCTTTCTTTTGAGTTCTTTGAGTTTTTTTTTTCTTTCTTTCTCTCTCTCTCTCTAAGCAATCTCTGTTTCTTTCCTTTATAGAGAAGTAATGGCGGTGAGGAATAATAATTTCTTTTGTCAAAATATAGTTGTTCTTAAGCTTTCTCCTTTGTTGTTGATTAGTGATATTAATAAAAGCAGATAATAAAGAAAATATTCTCAAAAAGTTCTTTTTTGCATCATAAAGATTACGAATAAATTTCTTTAGAAATTAGGTGAACTTGTTTGGCTTGACACTTTCACCGTACGCTTATATTGTTTCGTTTATGTTTATAACACTAAATAGACTGCATTTAAAACAAAAAAAAAACAATGTACAACGTTAAATAAAATTCTTAAAAGTAATAATTATTACATTAATAATTAAATCCTTATTTGCCACTTAATTTACTTTTTTGCTTATTAATAGTTTCCACTAAAAATGTCACTGAGTTTTCTCGACCTCGTTTTCAAAATTTCAAAAATTCGAAAAGATATCTTTTTTATCCACCCACATGCTGGTGCAGGTTTCCATGGCATTGATAATCAGACTACAGTATAAATATTCGAATAATAATATCCATATATTATAAGATTCACATCATCATAAAAAAAAAAAGGTAGAAGTAGAACCCATTAAAAGACCATACGGAACAATGCTCGTTGCATTGTCTACACACAAACATGATACAGCCTAAAAACCAATTAGCATCGTTACAACAAATCGTGGCAATATCAACCACAAAAGCTAAAACACTAACAAGGCCATAAAAGAAGAAAGCAACTTCACTACCTACAAAGAGTTGTATCTCTCCAACGGTTTGAGACATTAAACCGGCTCGGTTCAGAACCAAGGCAGCCATTTCCGTGGCCGCTCTTTGCTACCGGATCCTTTTCTTGGAGTTACATTGATCCTATCAGCATTTGCTCCTGCCCATTTGCTAAAACCAGGTGACGAAACCAATTCTTTAACCGCCTTTGTCGTGCTTTCCTTTGTGAGCTTCTTCCACTCTTCTTTTGAGAGTTTGTTCCTCTCAGGAGTTTTATGGAAAGAGGAAGGGAATGTATCTGATTCAGACGGTGGTGACTGTCGCATCCCGTTGATCCCTGAGAAGAATTATTAAACAAAAGCTTAGCATTGGTTTTAGTTTACGTTTTGAGATGTGATTTAAGAGAAAGACCACACAGTATCAACCTCCTGATGGAGAAGCAAAAGTAACACGGTTGCCAGATTCAGAAGCATCAGGGCTCTTTTGCAAGAAGTCATGGAGATATCCAGGGACAGCTGGTACTTCAGCATAACGAATCGCCTCCCAGATTCCTAGCAGCAGGTTCGTTGCAATCCTGTGCAAAACAACTCAACTGTGAACTTTGAGGGATATGGATGTGTAATCAAGCGAACAAGAACACAAAAAGGGTTCGGTTTGTAGAAGAAAAGAGAGGTGAGAGATCAGTCATGACTCACTCATATAAGCGTAGTAGGAACTTCAATCTGATCATCTTCTTTAAACTCGATGACAGAAGAATCACAGATATCAGTGCTCCTCCAGCTAACAAAGGATCTACAGAACTCTGGAAACAACAGATTCTTGTCAAACGATGATTTCTCAATTGATTTAAAAGGGGAACGTATAGTTTGAGGGAAATTGGATATAACCTGAAGGATCAAAACGGCAGCCAAAATACGGATGGACCAAGAAACAAAGAGCGATGTGCTAATGTCAATCGAGCCATCTTCGGTCAGAACCAGTTTCCTCACAGTCCAAAATCCAAAAAATGCTCCACCCAAAGATAGAAACACCCCGACAAATATCGCCACCTACAAAAACCAAAAAAATGCGAAAGAACAAAAAGTTCTTCAAATGAGTATAGAGCATGGGCTTTTCTTAACCAGCAAATATTGACACTATCAAAACTTACATACAGGGGTGTACATTTCTTCGTCGATTCCCATCTCGGTTAGCAGGCTTTGAAACAAACCAGGTATGTAGCGCAGAAGGAAACCGCCTAAACCGAGCTGACCAAAAGAAATCTTGTGTTAGATCAAAGAAGTAGGTTGGAGAAAACATGGAGCACAAGAAGAGACAAATTATTCACCAGTGTCGAGTATATGAACAATGCAAACGAACTCCGCCCAGTTGGTAGAAGCTTCATCCCCTGTGTAGGCATGACATTATATACTCTCTCTTTACATGTTAACACAATTGACCACATCGGGAAAGAAAATGAAGCTACCTGAAAGAGGACAAGCAGCACAACAAGGATAATGCCAACAGCCATGGCGCTACTGTAGTAAAACGCTAATGAGTTGCTCAGCGTCGAAGCCGAAGCCAGCAAAACGGTACCGAGTATCAAAAATACTATGCGGTACATAAAGAATTCTGCAAAGCCGAAAAACGGGGTTGATATAAACAACTGCAAAACCAGAAAGAAAGTGGTAAACAAGTAGTGCAATAAAAAAGAAAACAGAAAAGTCACCTTCTACAGCAGACAGTTCCATAGTGGCCTTGGATGAGCTAGCTGTTCTTACATCAAGTATTTTGTGGTCGAAGGGTGACATTGTCTGAACCCACGAACCCTTTGAGACTTTCTCCCATCGGCTAGTAGGGCACATTCCAATTGCACGCGACAAATTCCTTCAGACATACAGAATCATGTAAAACATTAGTAATTATAGGAAAATCTATGAGATTTAAATCACATTTTGTATCCAGGAGTAAATTGAAGAACAGCATCGAAATACAAACGACTCACCTGTGGAAGCAAACATCGAAATTGCTTGTTTTCCCAGCAGTTGACGAGTTAACAATCAACTTGAGTGAGTGTGCGTACTTGTCCAAATGCTTGAACCTTCGAAGTCCATGGATATGTATCCTCTCACATAGAGATGTTCTCTCTGGCTTCAATCCAGGAGATGCCTTCACCTCTAAACTAGGTGTCACTTGAAGCGCCCCAGTTTCTCCCACAACTGTTCATATTTTTTACAAGAAATTAACCACACATTCTTAAAAAAAAAAAAAAAAAAAAAAAAACAAATTGTAATTACACCCGACATTATTTCAACTAGATTAGTAAACTATATACTAATTTGTTCTTATTTAGTTACATTAATCAAAAAAATCTGATTTTTAGACTAACCTAGAGGGAGGAAATCCCCAAACAGGAACAAAGAATAAAAAACAAATTAACCTCAAAATTCGAGTACCAATTGAAAAAGTAACTTACTCTCTCAGACTTACTAGATTGAAACAGACTCACAAAACCCTAGATTTCTATACTCCACCCTGCAATTCCACAACCCAAACCGCACTATAAAGGGAAAAACTTACCGAATAGAAGTTCATCAGATGAAACAAGGGAGGAGAAAGCAAGTAAATGTAGCAAGGTAATCCCGATAACGACGACGGAGCTTCGGAGAAGACGACTATCACCCATCGATTTCGATTTCTGGAGCGAACGACGATGCAGAAAAAAGGTTTTAAGGGCGCGGAATTGAATCGAAAGCAATTAACAATAAAGCCTGAGGGTATTTTTGGTAAATTAAAAAAGCACAACCGGTCGTTTATCGGCATTTTAAATGGGCCTTTCCTAGCCCATATGTGGGCCATTTCTTTGCAGTTACGACTTAGCGTCCAACACGTTATGCTTAAAAATAAGGTTTGCTATCAACAGAAACAAAAATTTGTAAAATAGTAAGGTTGCTTCGTTAATCAAAATATTATTAGTACTACTAAACCAAGGTCGATTATTAAAGAAACCGAAAAATGATTGAGCCGTTAATTACGTTACGTCTAGTTAACTGAACCAAAAAGGAAATTATGCATCAGTCATTGGCCTATTGACTTCCTAACTATGATTGACAAAAGAGGCCGACCACATGAGCTGCCAAACACACAATTTTACATTATCTTTTTCTACAATTACAAATTCATAAATCGAACATTGTGACTTAATTATCCGACATTTTCCGTTGGTTTAAAAACCGCTTCCCGTCTATCATTTGGTTAGTTGAACAACCGGTGGTTTACGCCTCAACATCTTAATATGAAACGTTATGATTCGATGTATCGAATTTTTTTGGTATTACGTAATAATCTAATTAGATCGAACACAACAACAGTATCCATGTGTACTACGAGTACGAATTGTCGGTTTACATCATTCCTTTAAGGGAAATTATCTTGCAAGTCAGTGAGATTGTATCAACAGGGAACACAAATTACTAAAACGTTATTTGCGATTTTGAATCTGCAAAATGGTTTGATGATTTTGCAATATTAGACTAAAGCTTTAAATCTCGTTACAAACTCTCGAATCTTTTAAAACGTTCTTGAAAATATTTTGAGAGACAGAATCTTCACTAAAGCATATATAATAATAACATCGCTTTACATAAAATTTTTAATGTTGTCGGATGGTGTGCTTTAAGGAATATCTACGCTTTTGAAGAGCTCTCTCATGAAGATCCAAACTCCGGAATACTGTGTAAAGCTGGCCTCCACCCACCACCACTTCTTCCTCCGCCGTGGATCCGCCTTTGAAATCCGTCTCCACCTTCCTCTCCGGCGACCTATAAGATCGGTCGGAGAAAATCAACCAGCCGTACGGAGGACAGAGTAGTTTTACAATCCCATATGTATTAGTATTAAACATATGTTTCATGTTCTAGTTTTTTATAATCAGACCACTAATGTATAAAAATATCAAAAAAGTAATAAATAATGGGATCATGTTCGAATGCATTATCTAATATATCTACACGTTACAAAACACAGTCCTGAACGAGACTATGAACATGCACTTACCGTATCTTTAGCCTCATCTTCAGCCGGATTCGAATTCCGGTTGACCAGGCCCGTTTCTTGGTCCGTCTTCTTCTTGTGTTTCTTCTTCTTCTTCTTCAGCTCAAGCCCTCCTCCTTCTTTCAATAGCTTTCCAAGCTTCACACACTTCTTCGTCGCGAACTCGTTCAAGACCTCTTTTGTAGTAAAAAATATTCACAGTTTCAATACGATTTGTTATTTTTTCTCTATTTTGTAAAGAAAAAACAGAGGAAATCGAATTTGAATGTATACCTTCGAAGCTCACGAGACGGTAAACATGTCCGATGAGTAAAGTGTCGTCAGGACGGAGGAGTTTGAGCTGCTTCAACGGTGATCCTTTCTCGTTCATCAATGTAGGTGACGTCACCACCACCGCAACGTAATGACCGGGATTGGATCTCATGACGTCACTTGCTGTCACCGACCAGTATATCCTCTCCACCTTGTTCTCCGCCGGGTGATGGATCAAAACCGTCGCTGCCTCCGCCGCTTGACAATTCCCCATTCTTTTTAGTTTCACCGAAATTTGTTTTTAAAAATGTTCTGATTTTTGTTGGATTCCTGTCTGAAAATGAAGTATATAAGAAAAGTAAAAACAGCTGTTTTGTTGGGTTTTAATAAACAGTGACGTCAGAATTCTTCATCATTTGGGATTGTCAGGTTTGACAAAGAGGTCGCTGAAGATCGATAAAATGTTTTAGTCACAGTTTTGTTAAAAAAGAAGAAGAAGAAAAGAGAGTAAATGAGTAATGTTTGAGGGAGGAAGAAACAGAGAGAATTTATGAATTAAAGATGTCGACGGAGATTAAGCAACGAGATTAATAAATAAAGAGGTTGGGGCCTTGGTGGTGGTAGAACTATTTATTATTATTTTTCATTTTTAATGATAATGACAGATGAATTTATTTTCTTATGGGAAATTAATAAATGTTATTAAGGATCTTGCATATCGCAACAAATGAGTTGATTAACGTTATGTTTAATTCTCTTGAATTATTAAGTTGACCAAAGTTTATGGTATCTAAATTTAAGACCAAAACAGATTGTAAATTTAATAATGAACAATAATTTTACCGATGCTATTCAACATTTAAATTTTAGAAAGTATATATTGATGATTTGATAACTAATTAGAGACTGTATTATAGTATATATTTAAATGTGTTAAATCGATATGTTTACAAAGTTTAGTTTTCTGATTTTTGTTTTTATATTATTATTTTGTTCGTATGATGATGGATTGATTGCTGTTTTATGTTTTAATTTGCGATATGACGCTCTGAAAGATATCTGACCAACACGCAAACCTAAGTCCATTTTACATGTATAAATGCAGCTTAAAGCAAACAAAAAGTTATATATTTATTGATTTTCATGTGGACATTAGAATCTCAAATGTCATTAACATATAGATATAGTACTTTATTTACGTAAATAATCATGATATAACAGTATTGATTGATAATGTTGTGCCGTTGTGGTACAACGTGGTCATTGGTCAACAATATAAACATCAAAAGAAATGGTAAGAAGATGAAGATGGAAATCTGAAAACATGATACAATCTTCACTTAATCGTTCTATTATGTTTTACCACTATTTTTTTTTTATTGTGATGCAATATTTAGTTATATATAATTCTCAAATCTCAAAGCCGATTTTTGCAGATATTATTATTTTTCAGCTTACGATTGTAAATATAACTATTTGAATATAGAGTTACAATTTATGTAGAAAAGCGAAAGTGAGAAGAATAAAAATATTATCGTAAATGCTGTTCCAAATTTACAAAAGGAAGCGTGTTGATTTGGAGTTACGGTAACAGTGAGTGAGAGAAAAATAGGATGATGTAGTATGGGACCCATAACAAGTCGAATTAGATGGTTTTACGACCGTTGGATTCAATGTAGTTCTCATTTTAGAGCGTCCGATTAAGAAACGAGGTATCTGATACCCCCTATCATAATGACAGTACCAAAAGACACTGCAACTCTTTAGTGCCTCTATTTTCGATAGATTTGTTCCATCTTTTTTATAGATAAAATGGTTATTTTTATGATTTCTCCTTCATCTACATTTCGAAGCGCTTAAATTAGTAGTTCATTACCGTTTTGCAAATAAAAATAGACGGGACATTAACTACCTTTCGAAAAATAAATTAACCTATCGTTTTCAAAACTCCATATAAATGTTAGATTCATCAAAGTGTAATGTAGTTTCTCTTTGAGCTAGCAAGGGAGGAGTGAAATACTAAATGAAATCAACCCTTGAGTTTCGGACTTTGGATGCATTTCTTTGTCGTCTTCTCGTTAACTCTAGTGCCATAAGCCGTTTGTTTAATCAAGAATAAATAACACACGTTTTTTCAATAGATTTAGTTAAATTTTCACTAAATACATTGAAATTGACCGACCAAGAAATTAAATTCGTTACACCAAAACACGCCACCAAAAACCGATGAAGTCTGGTAAGAGAACACTCGTAATTAATTATTCTGAATGCGTGTCAAGTTTGTGCTGTGTAAATTCGACACACGCGCTTACATATGCAGGGGATACAATACTAAGCTCGTTTATGCTGGGCTTCAAAGCCCATACAATATTTTAACGGGCCGGACCTTTTTTTCAAGTTAACATATACTAGTCAGAAAGAAAAATCTAATTCTTACTAAACGGATCCATAGTAGTAGTTGATCAAGTCCAAACACTCGTTACAACTTTTTAAAAACCCAAACATAAATCCGAGTCCGTCATAGATATCACAAAACGATAATAAATAGGCAAATCCTCAGCTTTGCATAGCATCTTGTTCGTCTTCTACAGGAGCTTCATCAGTATTATTGATTGGTTCGCTGAACATATACTGACTCTGATACTCGACAAGGTACTGCATCGATCTCCTCACATCCAAGAACAATCGATAAACCCTCTGGATATCTTCAACCTCCACGACTTTGCCTTTCCTTTTCTGGCAAGACAATGCAGCAGCGGTGATAAGATGAATAGCATACCTTAGAGAAGTATCGCGTCCGATCAACGCCAAGAGCTGTTTCGCCTCTTCGTTCATCTCCACGTCTTCTTCTTGGCAACGGATCTCTAAGATCTTCCTTATGTCTTCGTCCGTGTAAGGCTGGGTTGAGATGATGAGAAGACGGTCAAGGAGATCGATGGGGATCCCGTGCGGTGATTTCTGGTTTGTTCCCCGGATTGTTGTGACTCCTCGGTTTGTTGCCACGACGAGGATTGGTGACATTTCGTTCTCGAGAGCTCGGTTTAGGAAGGAGAAGCATTCGATGTCGAGCATGTGGACTTCGTCGATGAAGAGAACACCAGGAACTATCTCGGCTTTACCTTCCTCTCTCCATTCAGCTACTTTTGTGTCGATTTGTTCCCGGACTTCTGATCGGATCTCTCCAGTGTCGCCGGTGAAGAGCGCTAGAAACCCTTGTGTCCTGTTCACGAATCAAGAAAAAAATTCAACAAAATTACTTCTTCTTGCTCTACAAATCAATGTTTTAAAATTCGATTTTGCAACCTAAGTTGGTTCTAACAACACCACAGACAGGACGTCTTAGTTATAGCTATAGAGGCCTTTATGATTACACTCTAAGCTAAAGAGATGTATCGAGTATGAGAAATTTCAACAACATATAAAGCAAAGAAGGTTCATCTGAAATTAGTGAGCCAAATCAACTAAAATCCCAATCATTTATTCACTAAGAAACTTCAACCTACACTGGTCTGTAAATGCTAAAAGTGAAGATTAACAATGTCACAAGTCTGGAAAATGTTCAATTTACCTGCTGTTGATAACATCAATCTCGTGAAGTGACACACAATGAACAACCTCTTTCCTCTTCTGCAACTCACCATCAGGGCACTGCACAAACTTAGTCTGTGCACCCATAGCATCATAATCCCGAGACCTCGAGAACGATCTTCCGAGCTTAGTAATCTTCCCGGTAGCCTTATCAATGGCAATAACATCTCCACTCTGCACTTTCTCCTTGTTCAGAGACTCAATCATCTTGGCTCCCATATCATACACAGTTTCCATATCCGTCGTCTTCATCGTCATCTTCCCTGACTTCGAAGCAACACCAGAAGAAGCTGGCCTATCAATCTGGACCTCCACGACTTCTCCTTCAATGACCTCCGTCTCTTCTTTGATCCTAACACCAATCGCTTTACGGAAAGACTGAGTCAAAGCTTCTGTTTTCGACATCTCCAAGGAGAAAATCTCACTTCCTGCGATCATCGCGAAAGGGGTTTCCGAGCCAAGCGATTTCGCCATACCCATCGCAATAGCGGTCTTACCGGTTCCGGGTTGACCCGCGATTAGGATAGCCCGACCCGCAATTTTCCCTTCCCTAATCATCTGAAGAATTACGCCGGCGGCTTTACGGGCCTTCACTTGACCGACCATTCCTTCGGAGACGGCACGCGGCTCAAGTGATGAGTCGAGACCCAGTCCTCGGATGTGTGAGTGTGCGCCGATTCGCTCGACTCTGGTCAAGTCTCGGCTCTCCGAAAGCTTCACTTCCTCCATTTTTTTCGCTTATCGTCTTCGGCGATTGAGGCGGAGGAAGAAGAACAATTGAGGTTTTAGGGTTTAGAGAGTGTTGCTATGCAATGGCAAATTCGATGTGGTGATGTAAGTACTCCTAGTAAGGGTAGAGACGGAATTTCACAAAGCTTCGAAATAAAGAGTTGCCAATTTAGTAATGTACCCTTGTATTATTGATGAAAATGTAATTTAACTCTGACATAAAGATCTGTGCTTTCATAAACCAAAATTAAGAAATTTCAGAGGTTGAATCCTGTGTTTTTGAACTCTCTCTGGCCAGTTTCTTTGCCTCCCTCCTCTGCTTGACTTTTCTCGTCTTATCATTGCCACCGAAATTCAATTTCTCTACCAAAAAACAAAAAGGAGAGTCAGATACGTAATGTAATTATTACACAAAAGAGACGACTTTGAATTGTAGAACATACCATGCCACAACTTGAGCTATTAGATATTTGATCAAAAGTCAAAACTTTCCAAAATCTATCTGAATTTCGTACAGATGCCTACGAAATGTACGAAATTTAAGGTTTTCACAAAAGATTTTTTATGGTCGAAAGTCAAAAACCGTACCTTCTTTTTCTGGGGCATTTTGTCGAGCAGGTTGTAAGCAACTCGCCTCTGCTTCGCCATCACCATCTGCGACCCTTGAATCACGGGCTTGAATCATTTCTGCCGGAAGTAGAGGTCCGATAACTTTCCTCCGTCGGGCTGCTTCCTCTTTGAGCATCTTCTTCCTTAACCTCTTCCTCTGCGCTCGACCCGGTTTCTCTGCTGTCTCCGAATCGTCACCGTTGTCGCTGTCATCGTCGTGATTCGATGTATCGATGTTCACGTAATCCTCTGAATTCAACAATTCGGGTGTCATTTCAAGCTGACTGTGATAACGCCAAATTCAATGGGAACCCAAAAAAAATCAGATGAAATTACATCCATCATACCTGGGTTTATAAGTGTCACGTCGAATGGGTCGTCATCAGCAACCTCGGCCTGAAAAAAATCCGAATCAAATCAATGGCGTAAGTATTGCAATTGAAAGCAAACAGAGAACAAACGGATCGTCGCGAATAGAAATATGAGAAAAATACCGGAGACGGAGAAGATGAAGGAGATGGAGGCGAAGAAGGAGGGTACAGCGTTTGAAGAAGAGCTTCGTGTAACTTCCGTCGCTTTTCTTCTCGCCGTCGCATCGTTGAAGATCGCTCAGCACTCAGCGGCGAAGCCTCCGTCCGATTCCGTAAGATGAGCAACTTTTCGGTTTTATCGTTTTCTTTTCTACCCCTATACTTTAGTGGTGTTTGTGTTATCGCCCCGAATTTTTTTTTTTTTTTAAGTACACACACATTCGACACATAAGACAAAGAGTTATTACGACGTTGACGTTGTGTCGTACAAGGGGAAGAGAAAATACTCAACTGATGTAATCCTGTTTCTTCACACGCATAGGCAACCAAACAAAAAACTTCTTTTTTGTTTGACCATTTTTTATTTGGATAAGCATGTTTCGTTTCATGATATCATCGGTCGCATATAATAATAAAGAATCTACTGTTAGTTGAAATGTAACAGAAATATCGAATTGACACAATGTTATGTTATTTACGCAGTAACTTACTCTTTTTTGTTTCTAATCAACTTAAGTTTAAGGGCAAAAATATGAAATAAACATAATAAAACAAATGATCCCGAATAGAATAAGACCAAAATTTTATGAGGTTCTATTCTTTTACTTGTCCGCGATTTGAATGTGTGATTCGTATTGAAATTTATATACAAACAGGAACTGAACAATGCACACAAAACCAACCCCTTACAACTTAAATCTAACAAGTACCAAGATATAGGAACACAAAAAATCGAAAATTTAAAAGTGTCTTGTTTTTTTTTTTTTTTTTAGTGTTGACGAATAGTATAAACTCCACCGATTTTCCTTTTCTTGAATTGTTTAAATAACAAATCCTCTTCTTCAAACTTATCACAAGCCTTCTCTTCATCGATCCTTCCCATCACCACACAACTATAATTTCTCCTAAGATCCAACGGTCTCATCGCCGCCGTGATTTCTCCGCCGCCACCGCCACGTGAGTAGTCTGAGACAAACCGGCAGCGTTCACGTGTCACCCTCGTCGTCGTGGACGAATCTAGGGTGAAACTACGAGGGAGAGCGGTGCTTGGTGTTTCGCAGATTTGGAAATTACAGGCCGATAAACCGAAACCGCCGGAGCCACCAGCACCACGGATGAAACCGGCGGAGCAAGACGTCATGCTACGTATGTAGGCGTCACGTGCCATGACTAAGAAACGAACCGGAGATTTAACTAACCTTGCTAAGTTGCTCTCTTTCTTCATCTCTTTAGCCTTCATGATTTTAAGTGAAATAAAAAACCGAAGATTGAAATGAAGCCAGTTTATATTAAGAGAGAAGATGCCGTCCATGGACTTCAATATAAATGTACCTTTCATTACGAAAATATAATAACAAAGGGTATATATAAATGTATCTAGTTGGATGTTTACAGTTTGGTGATACTTATCTTATTTTAAAACAATATAATATGAATCTTATTTACTATGCACAAGTCAATATGAGGTTGAAGTAGCAATCTATGGGCCGGCATGTATTTTTAAAAAGTATTTTATCTATTACGAAGTCCATATCGTGGAGTGTTTAAGCAAATCAAATTTTTTTAAAAAATTGTTTACAAAAAATCAAGCTGGGATTATCCATTCAAGCTTAATTTTGCTGGCGAGATTAATAACAATTGTCAAGTACTTGTCCATATGTCCATAAACACACGTTATCAGAGAACTAAATCAAAATTATTATTATTATAATTAGATGGATTGAGATTTGACACCAAATTTCATGTCATTGAAAATAATGAAATACTGAAAACTACGATGTGAAGTGAAAGCTTAACAAATTTAGGTTTGGTTACAGTAACTATGTATATCGATACAAATTTTACTATCAAACCAATTTGTCAAATAAGTGTTGCTTCAACTTGAAGGTTTTGTAAACAAATACTCCCAGTTGACACGGATTCATTATGTAGGCAACTTGAAATGTCAGCAATAAATTTGGTGCTGACACATCATAACTTTATAATTTTCTGACTATAACCTGCCCCCACCTATCATAAAGTGTTCGAAAGTCAATTGGAAACTTGTACGTATGAATAATATTTTGGAAACAATTTTGGAATATTGATTTTGCATCTTTATAATTTTGTGTACTGTAACTTGCGCTTCAAAAAATATACAGGTAGGAAGGCCCTGTGCAAATATTTCATGAACCATTCAGAAGCCCATTGCAGCCCAATAGAAACTTATTACATACTCTTGCAGCCCAATAGAAACTTATTACATACTTGTTTTTCAGACTCCATAGATATGCATAGCGAAATGATATAATTCTTGAACACAAATGCTAGTATAGCAGACAGCAAACTCAATCCCAAAATTATATTTATATGTATTTACAGCCAACTAATTAAATAAATAAAGTTATATTCATATGTATCATCCAAATGAACAACCAAAAATAGAATGAACAAGATTAAAATAAAATATTTACATAAAACATTTATATGAAATAATAGATAAGAAAACAAACAGATCTTAATTTATTTTAATATTGTTCATTCTATTTTTGGTTATCCAGCCTGTACTTATGGTCACTAACGGTATTTTTATATCACAATCAATCTCAAATTCACATGGGTTACTCTTTATGTGAAACACGTCACATCCAATTAAACTCTTGCCGGTCCGCTTTAAGTTACTATTTTGACTGGAAGATTTCCTTGAAGAAAAAAGTATCAATAACATTGAAATCATTGATTGCTTATATAGTTTGTTTTTTATAAATATGTATTATGAAGTAAAAAGATGAACCAACTAAAACAACATATCAAAATTTTAAGGTAAATTTTGAACTATCTGGTGAATCAAATTTTTTTGCATATCTGGCACAGTACTCTACTCCAACAAAACAACACATGCTCTCAGATCTCTCTGCTGGCACACCCATCAATTTTCGTTTAATTATAAATTATCTTCATTACGTAAATTTATTTTATCAAGACATTTAAAACATAATCCATTGAATCTAATATCAATGCGTGGGAAGTAAAACGGCACGTGGAATGATATAAGTGGTGACGGATCAGTCAAAGGCAAATACTGAGACGGAACCAACCGAGACACGATCGAGGCGTACAGTCAAAACAACACACTGTCTTGGTCAAACGTCTAGCTGGAGCTTTTGTATGTCATGGACCCCACACATACGCTTTCTTCTTATTAGTGCTAATTACATTTGCCCTTAGGATATTTTCCTACTTTTTCAATAAATGGTTAGTTCTCATGTGACAATTATTGATTTATTATTGGTTTTTTTCATCAAGATACTTTTTGTTCAGACAAAAATCGTCACCCCTCTATAAAATCGTCTGATTTTCGAATTTTGCTTATTTCCAATTTCAATATTCTAAAATAATACTACAGGGTTATGCTTTGTTTTAATTATTAGCTGCAATTATTTTCTTATGAATAATACATTGACCTCAGATAAAAACTATCTATATTATTCAAGATTTTCAGTTATTTTTTTTCTAACAAAACAAAATCGAGGGTTAGTAGCATTTGTATAATGATAAAAATTTACTAATTATGTAATTGGGCCTTGAAATCGTCGTAACATGTACGGGTTACTCTACCTCGTGGGTATCTGGAGTTAAGTGGTAAAAGTGCGAGACTGTTTAGCAGCTTTTTTTGTTTGTTTTTAATTTGACAATACCCTCTCTCTTCTTTCATAATCAGCAACATCACTTTAATTAGATTTTCTGCTTTTATCTGATTCTTTCTAAGTTACATAAATTGTAAAAACGTCTTTTTTTTGGCTGGAGTAATTTAACATATTTCCATTCAAAAAAAAAACATCACTTTAATTTCCAGTAAAATTCTTTTTTTTTAATAAGGTCATGAAAGTGCTCAGAGCTATTCTTGGTCTGAACCTATAAATCATTATAGTTAAGCAAACTCAGGGATAAAACACGGCTTTTAAAACTTAATGTTTGAGCTTGCACGTGTGGCGAATGGGTCGAGAAGAGTCGATAACCCGTTGTTATATAGCCTGTGGATGATTCCCCGGTCACATTATTTGTGTTTTTAGTTTTTCAATTTTTTTTCAAGCCGAATCTTAAAGAGTGTGAAAGAGAAAGAAAATCTTTGGTCCAAACCAAAAGAAACGTTCCCTTTTTTCGTTTTTTTTTATTTTGTCCCTTTGCTTTAATTATTTCCTTCTCACGAAACGCCATAACCATTCTTCTTCCCTTCATCTTCTTCCATTTCCTTAATAATTACGTGTTCGTGAACATCTTCAATTGTGTCTTCTTCATTTCTCACAGATTCAGTTCCTTTTTTTTTATTCCAAATCCTCTGGAACACTCCAGATTTTGGTAGCATGTGGTGGGAGCATTAATCATGTCTTTATGATGCTGTTCTAGTGTTTTTTATTATGAGAGTTGATTGATTCTTTTTGACCGTTCAAAAAAGCGAACGAAAAAAAAAGAAAATCTTTTCATTCACTTCTCACTTTCTGTGTGGTAAATTTGTCGGAAATGCCGATGTTTCAGCCGTTTAAATGCGGTGGGTTTGATGGGCATGTCTTTGATCTAACCACGGCGGTTAAAGACGGCGTACTCGGCGGCGGAGATGGAAAAATTGTGGTGGTTGTTGCCGATGAGAAGAAAATGGATTTGAGGAAGATGATTACCGAGCTGGAATTACCCGAAATACCCTCGGTTTTCATCTGTCCAATCTCTCTAGAGCCGATGCAAGATCCGGTGACCTTGTGCACTGGTCAAACCTACGAGAGGTCGAACATTCTCAAATGGTTTAACTTAGGACACTGCACCTGCCCGACGACGATGCAGGAGCTCTGGGACGACTTGGTCACTCCGAACAAGACTCTTCACCAGCTGATCCACGCTTGGTTCTCGCAAAAGTATGTTTTGATGAAGAAACGATCCGAAGATGTGCAAGGGCGAGCGATTGAGATCCTGGGCGCGTTGAGAAAGGCTAAAGGGAAAGCAAAGGTTCATGCTTTGAGCGAGCTTAAGCAAGTTGTGATGGCTCACTCGATTGCTAAGAAGACCGTTGTCGATGAAGGTGGCGTCTTTGTGATCTCTTCTCTTTTATCTCCTTTTACTTCGCACGCTGTTGGATCCGAGGCTATAGCGATTCTGGTTAATCTGGAACTTGATTCTGATTCCAAAGCTGGATTGATGCAACCTGCAAGGGTTTCGTTGATGGTCGATATGTTGAATGATGGTTCGATCGAAACCAAGATCAATTGCGCTAGATTGATTGGAAGGTTAGTGGAGGTGAAAGGTTTTAGAGCAGAGCTTGTTTCTAGTCACAGTTTGCTTGTCGGATTGATGAGATTGGTTAAAGACAGGAGAAGAAGAAACGGTGTTTCCCCTGCGTTGACGTTGCTCAAATCGATCTCTGTTCATAAACAAGTTAGAAACTTGATGGTTAGTGTTGGAGCAGTTGCTCAACTGGTTGATGTTTTGCCGTGTTTGGGTCCAGAGTGTTTGGAATCAGCACTGTGCGTGTTGGATTCGTTGTGTTTAGAAAGCGAAGGAAGAGTGGCTTTGAAAGATTCGGTCAACACGATTCCTAACACCGTTAGGGTACTAATGAAAGTATCTGAGAAATGCACAAACTATGCGATCTCGATACTGTGGTCAGTTTGCAGATTAGCTTCTGAGGAATGTTCGTCTCTCGCTGTTGAAGTTGGTTTGGGTGCAAAGCTTCTGCTTGTAATACAGAGTGGGTGCGATCCAGCTTTGAAGCAACGGTCCGTTGAGTTATTGAAGCTGTGTAGTCTTCATTATTCAGACACAATGTTTATTTCCAAATGCAAACTCACACGAACAATCCAATAATATAAGACTGTTTAGTCAAGTTTTCCATTCAGAGATCTAGTTTTCCACATTTTGCAATGTGATTTAGATTAAACGCTATGGAGCAAATTGTATAAATCTTTTTGTTGCTTTTGGCTCAAAATATTCAGTAGAAAAGAGAGATTGATAAAATGAAGTCTTTTCTTAACATGCATCGGTCTTAATTTCTTTCACTGTAGGGATGAACAATTGAAAAGAAAGGGATGATTTGACAAGTGAAGCGTTTTTTTAACTGTTAACTGTTTGTTTGTCCAATGAGACACGTTTATCTCTCTGTTGTCTGTTTAGGTTTTTATTTGAGACTGAACTTCATCTCCATGAACATTGTATATTAACGAGAGTGATGTCACTGATGTGATAGCTCTTGTCTGGAGATTAAACAGTTTACCAATAATGGAAAAAGTAAAATGTTTAAAGTCTAACTTTCATTAAACTCAAGCTTGAGTCTGAGTTATCTTATCGGCCTTAAGTAGACAATATGGGCTTTAATATTGGGCCAATAATATTTGACGGTCATAAATACAGCGTCGTTACTCGAAACTCGAATTATTACTATAAACGACATTGTGTTAAGTATGTTTAACATAATTAAGAATTTAAGATTGATTAAGACGGAGGTACCATTGTTGTGTCTGTCAAGGTTGCTTGCTCCACAGCTGTAAAAGGATTACGATCGCAACTTGTGTGACAGAGATCCAGATATGGCCTGGTTAGCTAGATCCATTGCGAACTCGCTCAAGCTCGATGAGGACGATGACGATGATGTAAAGCGACGGTCTGGTGATGAGTCTGTGCCGAATCAATCGCCGTCGCAATCGGCGTCGGAGTTACAGTCTCCTCGAGGCGTTAAGGAAGACATCTCCGAACTTACCAAGACCTTGAGAAGCCAGTTCTGGGGCGTAGCTTCGTTCCTCTCGCCGCCGCCTTCGTCCCCCGATCTTCGGGAGAGAAATCAGAGTCCTGATCACGCGGAGGAAGGTGAGGACGAGGATCTGATTGCTGGGATTAGGAGCGATTTCGCGGAGATTGGCGGGAGATTCAGGACGGGGATTTCGAAGCTCTCTGAGAACTTGCCGGTCTCTGATTTCACAAAGATGGCTTCCAATTTCTTACAATTGGGCTCGGAAGGAGTGGATCCGAAGGGTTACGATGCTGGAGACGTAATCGGAGTTACGGAGGAATTGGTAGCGTTTGTGAGGGATCTTGCGATGCGTCCTGAGTCTTGGTTGGATTTTCCTTTACCTGATGATGATGATGATGATGATACCTTTGATGGTAAGTTTCCTTTAATTCTTCCTTGAATGTGTGATATTGTAATCTGAAAGTTATTTCCGTCTTAGAGATTTCGTAATTGTGCTTAGGAGCTTGCTCTATCACTCTAGGGTAATTCTCTGAAGATCGATTTAGGTTTTAGAAAGATCTAAGCTTGTTCTGAGCAAATCAAACTAACAATACTGAGCTTCGAGCTTCACCTTATGATCTCTGTCCAACTCAATTTTGCAGACTTTGAAATGACGGATGATCAACACGAGCACGCTCTGGCCGTGGAAAGGCTTGCACCGAGCCTGGCTTCTTTGAGGATTGAGCTCTGTCCAGAATATATGAGTGAGAGTTGCTTCTGGAGGATTTACTTTGTACTTGTTCATCCTAAACTCAGTGAACACGATGCCTTGCTTCTGTCCACTCCTCAGGTAACTTGGATTCTCAGTTCCATCGCTGATCAATGTTTGTCTGTCTCGTTCATCTCAAGTGTATGGCTTTCCACTTTGCATACAAATGTTTCTAACCACTAGCATGTTAGGTTTCCTGGGATATTAAGTTTGCTGTTCTATATCTTGTGTTACTAACTTTTTGGGGTTTGCATAAAGGTACTCGAAGCAAGAGCAATGTTATCCCACGAGTCAGAGAAAAGTAACAAAGCACCGGTTGAAGCAGAGAGCTCTGAAGCTAATACTGCAATGGTTCAACCTCTTGATGTGCCTTATAACCCTTCACCGGAAACATTAACCGTCAAAACCGTAATTCCGAACGAGTCACCCGACTTTGAGACAGACAAACACCCAATTGAGAGAGAGGAGATACATGTCGTCGACAAATCTGTCATTGAAGAAAGAAACACATCAGCTGCTTCTTCTTCATCCAGTTTTATCAATGTGCAAGTCGAGGAAGTAGAAGAAGAAGAAGAAGACGACGCAGATGATTGGTTGAACGACGGAGAGACTTCAGAATCTTTTAGCGGCATGGAAGGAGGAGGAACTTCCAAACATCCTCTGGGTGAAGAGGAAGAAGATGTATCATTCAGTGATCTAGAAGAAGAAGAAGACGAGGAAGGAGACATCCCGGTGAGTTACAAGAAAGTTACTAACACTAGCTCGCCCGACTGGGTTCAGCTTAAAACTCCGAAAACGGCCAGGTAAAAGAATCAAACGAATGGCTTTTGATGTTGATGAAATGTGATATAAGTGACCGACCTCTAATGTTCTTTTCGTTATATAAACATTCAATCTCTTACGTCTTCCAAAATTCCCACCCTACCGTTTAAATTGGCTGTGAATAGTTTTTCTTTTATATACGGTTTAATCGAAAGCCATATGAGGACCTTATAAGAAACTGCAATGTTTGTATATATAAGACAGAGTTGGTTTTATAATTATGATCTCGTGATTATAACTGTAACTAAATTGACTTGCAAAGTATCGAGAAATTGAACTTTACCAATCATGGTAACCCAAATGTTTGAATGCCAAAAAAAGAGAGTGACAAATGTTTGAAAGTGTTGGGGACAAAACTGGTCTCTCTTGAAACCTTTCTGTAAGTCAATACGACATCGTTATGCGTCTACATTTCAGTCTTCGTTTCTACTTAGTACCTCTCGAACTTACTTTTACCGCCGGCTCTACCTCCACGAGCTCGGTTATAATTATTAACCGGTTGTCTCTTGCTCCTGTACCCTCCTTCTCCTCGATCTATCTTCAGAGCTACTTTGGGTGGTGATGTGAAACCGAACGAAGCCGCAATGTCCTGCAGGAAACACACAAAAATTCCGGTTTACCCAAAATTGCAACCAAATTGCAGAAATCAGAAAAGCCGGTTTTCGAATTCGGTAATTATTATTTTTTATATACTGCAGATTTGGTTTACCTTGAGATCGAGTCGGTGAACATTAAAGACATCTTTCATAGAGTGAGAATCATATCCTGAAATGTAAGTCTTGTATGCTTCTTTCGCTGACTGGTTCAATGCATAGGTTTCAGATATTATCTTCTCCTGCAAATTTTTTACAAGAAAAACAATATTTATATAAATCTATGCTTTTTTTAAGCTCTGTGAATAAAGTTTTGAGGCAGAGCAAAATGTTTTACCAGAAAAGCCTGCACATCGAGCAACTTCCCTTCCTCAAATTCATGTTGCTGAACAGGTATTTTCGCCGCCTGCATAAGTCAGTCAAAAACAAGATTTTTTACTGAACAAAGTTCATTTTCAATTGGTGGACAAATGTCAATCAAACGCAACAATGTCACTAACATTCCATTTTGATGAAAATTTTACCTTAAGATACTGAATAAACTGCAACTCCTCTGGAGTTAGGACAAGCAGAGCCTTTCCTTTCGCTCCTTCTCCACGAGCTGTTCTACCTACTCTATGAATATATTCCTATATAAAAGTAAAAAAATCAAGACATTTGAGTGATTTCTTAGCCATAATTCTCAAATTCATTTGCCATAAAACTGAAAATTATACAAGTAACATACCGTAGGATCATCTGGAGGATCATATTGCACAATCCAGTCCTAAATAAAAAAGGGCAGACGATAACCAAAGTGATAAGATTAAAAGACCAACAACAAATTGAGATTATTTCAACATTAAACATGGTTACGGAAGCATACCACATGAGGGATATCAAGACCACGGGCAGCGACATTAGTACACAACAAGACACCAGTTTCCGCCTTTACGAACTGGAAAAACGTTGCAGTCCTTTTGCTCTGATCTATCCCTCTACGGATTTCGAGGCAGTCTATTTTGATGTATCGAAAGAGCTCGGCGTGAAACTGTGTCGACTTGCACGTGGAGAAAAACACCATGATTTTCTTCTTCCCTTGGAATCTCTTCAAGAAGGTGAGTAAGAAAATCAACCGCTTCGCACTTGGCACAACGCAATAGCCTTGCTCCAACCCTTCATTTGTAACCTACAGTTTCCAAACGAACAAGACTTGTCTCCGAGGAACGAAGTAAAATGTAAGCACAGGTCAAAAGAAAGATGTGATAATCAGCTAACCTCTTTTCGTCCTTCATCGACATCAATATAAACAGGCGACGAAAGTGACACCCGAGCAAGATCCTCAACCTGTTGGTTTAACCAAAATGCAACCATTCTTGATAAACCGGTCCTAAGAAAGCAATAAGTGACGGAACTATACTGATCGGTAAACAAACCTTGGAAGTCTGTGTTGCGGAAAACAGTGACGCCTGCCTTGTCTGCAGCAATTAAAAAGGAGAAAAGACGGTTTACCATTATCAGCAACACGTCGACATGAAAAGAAATTTCATTATGATTCAGGTTAAACTTGAGACGACGTCTCCATACCTTTGGTAGAAGATTAATGATCTTCTTCATGTCTTCTTCGAAATTCTGTTCTAGTATCCTATCAGCCTCATCCATTACAAGAAACTGCACAGAACAAGAGTTGCATTACCTCAAAAACCATGACAATACCAATAGTAACCCAAAACAGAAATGAGACTCTGTGTTTATTATACCTTCAAGTTCTTGAATACAAATCCATTTGTATTTTCAAGGTGATCGAGAAGTCTTCCAGGTGTTGCTACTAGCAAATTGACACCTTTCACAAGAATTTCAGCTTCTTTCTTTCTGTTCTCACCGCCAATAACCTTCCCCACAGTCTGTGAATGATACTTAAGAAGTTCTTTCGCCACTCCATACGACTGAGACATTTGATGACGTAATTAACAAAAAGCACAAAGAGTGATGCTTAAGGTTTTAAGTATTAACAAAGAATATATGGACCTGAATGGCAAGCTCTCTTGTTGGGCAAATAACGATAACACCGGTTCCGTTGCGAGGAGTAAACCGGACATGGTATAGAAGCTCTGCAGCCGGTATAAGGAAAGCTAAGGTTTTTCCAGAACCGGTCCTGGCTGCTCCAAGTACATCTTTTCCCATCATCAATGGTGGAATTGCTTTAGCTTGTATCTGCAAAGACAATTTTAGATGTGGGTACAATTAAAAAGGTTGAATCTTTGCTCTAAATACGACATTATATTCGATTCCAATCATTACCTGAGTCATGCGTGAAAATCCCATTTCCTTGATAGATTTATAAGTGTTATCAGACAACCCCAATGACTCAAACGTTTCGCTGGTCATTATACCATTGCCACTAGTTTCCTCCACTTTGTCTCCTTCATTTTCTTCTACGTCTTCTTCTTCTTCGACATCCTCTTGTTCTTCGAACTTCACTTTCTTATCCTTTTTCTTTTTCTTCTTCTTCTTCTTCGGTTCTTCATCACTTTTCGCTGTTATTACTTCAGTCTCTTCATTCTCCATCTCTTGCTGCTTTAGTTTTTCAGCTTCATCTCTGGCTCTTTTCTTACTCTTCTTCTTCTGCTTCTTCATCTCTTCCTTTTCGGATGAATGCTGCTGCTCCAAATCCAAATTCGCCATGGATGCTTACTCGCTGCCCAATTCACTAATCTTCTCGGGTTTCGGGATTCAAACTCGTCTTCTAGTTATACAAATTAGGGCTTCTCACCCCTCCTGCTCAGAAAGCCAAAGTACATCAACAACCAAAGCAAAATTCGTAAAAAAAATTGTGGCAGAGAACGGTACAGTACAATAACATCAACCCATGAAATATAAACCTGCAAAACTTGAGATGAATGAGCTTATAGCTTGGACAGAATCAATACTACGCTTTTCCTCTTCGGGTTAAGACTTTTTATATTTTGAGAAAGAAAAAAATATCAGCCTCTTCAAAATCAAAATCGAGGGGAGACGGAAGAAGATTATTAGGGTTTATAAAGCTCTCCATTTTTTTCAAAATGCAATTTCCCGTTATACCCTTTAGTAAGTTCTGTAGTTTACTGTAGAATCAATTGTCCATGTCAGCATTTTGCAAAATTCTGAAAGCATTTATATTGACTTAATTTTTATATTTTTATCGATTTATATTTTCATCACCTTATTTTCTCAGAGTAGATATATATTTGTACTTATTTGTATCATAAACTTAAATAAAAAGGATATTGTAATTTTGTTGAATAAATTCATTTCATAAACTAGTACTAAGACAAAACTAAGTGCTACAGTTTTGGTTGAATAAATCAACTTCACTATCTCACGTTTCAATCCAACAATCATTTGGGAATATGCCTAGTTAGTCTATATTTACAACGATAATCACAAGAACGAGCGCCAAAAACGAAAGAGAAAACGTCAACTCTAAATCAACTAGAAATTTATATCACAAGGATCTTATCGACGTCGATAATCTCTCTAACTTGGACCAAAACAATCTCCCAATAGACAACTTAGCTTTGTCTTGCTCCGCAGTGTCACTAGACGAACCCAACCTAGTCGACAACATCCCAACCGCCTTAACCGCCGACACAACCGCTCCACCCAATTCTCGTACAACCGCTTCAACCGCGTTTGAATCCGTCTCACCACCATTCACATCCGCAACATAAAACGAACCAACCGCAGTCTCACCTTGCGTACTCATCTCAGCTCTCGTTATAGACAAACCGTTTTCTCTCACAGCTCTCGTCACATCCGACAACAAACCCATCTTGTTCTTTGTCCGAACCTCAAGTTTGAAACCGCGAGAAGCACGTCTCGAGATCGCAGCTACCAAACAATGCCTTAGTCTCTCTCTTTGCACTTCCGTCTCCAACGTGCACCCGTTCTTCTTCCTTATGAAATATTCTTGCTCCGCCGTTGAGCCTTTCGCTCCCGCGACGGCGTGAAACACAACGAATTGTAACTCTTTCAGGGCACAAACGGTGTCGAACAATAGTTTTGGTCTGTCTCTACACTTAACGTTCACCATTGAATAACCATTACAAGCTTCGATCGCCACGTGTATCCTCTCGCATCTTCCCCTCCACAACGCATCACATCTGTTACATGTAAATATGTAATGTGGCATATAAATTCAAACCGAAATCAAAACTCCAAATAAGCAATAACCCAACCACTATATAAAAGTGAAACTAAACCAAATGTCGTATTGACCCATTTAAGGGGATGGACATTTTGATGTAGGGTTCAAATTAAATATAGAAAACGCAAACGCACCTGTCACCGCTGAAGCAGTCGCAGCCAAAGCAGTTCTCGTAGTCTCCTTCAGCGTACATTAGCTCGTGAAGCCGCCGCTCAGTGTGGGCCCACCCGACCGGAGCTCCTTTAGCCTCGACCACACTCACGACGACGCGAGGCTCATCGCCGACTCTGTGGTGGGCCTCCATGACAGAGTCCAGATTATCCTTCACCTGGGCCTTCCTCAGTGGGTCGATAATGGGCCCACCGTTAAACCCGTCTTCTAGATAAATCACCATCGCCGCTCGCTCGTGGTGGGTCCAGGCAACAGCTGCAGTCACGTGACATCCAATGTCTGAAAGTACGGCGGAGATCTCGGACAGTAGACCCGGTCTGTCGATTCCGGTTATCTCAAACGCCGTGTGCTCTGTTGACACGTGGCGCTGTTGCACTTCGCGTTTTAGATTACTCTGCATCTCTTTCGTTATGCCTCCCGTTCTACTAGAGCATATTGCCTGCATTTTTTTATTTTTTTTTTAAAGAAAGAAAAATCAGAAAACAATGAAAATCAGAGTGCTTTTTAATACTTTTTTTTTTGTTGGTCACCTGTTGAATGTAGAGAATAAGGCTTCGGTCGGTGAGCTTATTCCCGAGTTGGTCCGTCACGTGAAACACTAAGAAAGAGAGATATTTCAGATGTAATGACATTATATGTGGCCCACCATGATGACATGTGATGATGAAGATGATGACTTACCATCCATAAACCATTCACCATCGGATGAGATGTAAGATTTTGAGATAACGAGGTCGAGATCAGCCAAAACTTGAACCATGTCCAGTAAAATCCCGTACTTATTCGCGCTATCCACCTATTTATATACCAAACACGTGATTAATTGTGAGCTTTATGACTAATAAGCATATGACATGACAAAGCAAATTATCAAGTGATTTCAATAGTGTACCTTAACAAGTGTACACTCTGGGTCTGAGTCGTTGTCCACACAAACCCTATTTAGCGCATAAAACCAGCACCACATTAATATTATCAGAATAATTGTTTAAAGCCGATGATAATTTGTTTAGCAAAGTACGAACCTGGGAGGATTGATTCTCTCGACGAGTGATTCTATCTCGGAATCAATCCGAGGCTGATAAGCTATTTCCATCATCTTGTTGTCTACCGCGAATATAATTTAGCTAGCTCAATTTCAACCTAATATATAAAAAAACATACATCTATTTTTTTAGTCGAGGAAGACGAAGAGGAGCAGCAGCAATGTAGCAATTTGTATAATTCCACGATGTTCAAAATATAATTTAAAGAGCAAAAAGAGGGTTTAATGACTTTTTTGTCCACACAAAAAGGTTTAATGACTATTAAAGTTTAGATAAATACAAGCAGTCGATATATTCGGTTCAGATTTCATAGGCAAATCTAAATCCTTTTTCACTTTAAAATAAAAAGGGTATGTGTCTACGACGGCTAAAAATTCAGCGACAAATATATTTAAGTTAAGCTCAGCTTCTGTTTAATCCCTTTCTCTCTGTATCAGAATTCCTCCTCTAAATATATCGGAAAAAAATATTGATTTTTGCTGGATTAAGTAAATTATGTTCGTATAATTAGTAAGACATACAAACAAAAAGAACTCGCATTGGAAAAAAAATCTTCCATTACGAACAGAGTAATAAAAAAGCAGAAGACGAACCCTATATTGCCTCAAGAGAGAAAAAATAGAGATTCCATCTTTGTGCCCACGAAATACGAATCCATATATGAGAATCTGAATCCGAGTCTTCTTGAAAACCCAAAGAGACCTTGATTTTTTTTTTCTTTCTCAAGGACTTCAAGACGAAAACGAAAAAGAAAATGAAGGGAGAAAGATATACCTGAGTTGAGATTCTGGTTCAATGGAGACTAATGGAAGAAGAAAGAAAGAAATCCTAAAAATGGAGAGATTCTGTGGAAGAAAATACTGAAAATTCCTTTTTGCTATAAAAGAGGGGAAACAATGTTGGTGGACGAGAAAGAGAGAAATGGAAACAGAAGTGAAATCGTAGCTATTTATCAAATTTGTATGTATACACTAACAAAATATATTTTTTTGGAAAAATAAATCTATATATACAACAACAGATACATATACATCAAAAAACAGATACATACATCATACATTTCTGGGGGGTGGGTCAAATGCATTCCATCAATTTTATAAAATCTTTGCTATTTTGGAATTTTTTATATTAATTTCTGAAAAAACTTATCTGATCATGACATTTTTATAGGGATGCATTTGACCATAAAAATAGTCATGATATTTTAATAGTACATATAATTATGATTAATGAAAAATTAAGACAAATTCACTAAAGAAATACAGATATTCCAATAATTTTACTTTGTGGTATTAAACGGAAAATAATTAAATACAGAAGACGGCCGTCTTTTCTCCGAACCCTTAGGATCTTTGGATTTGCTCGAAGCGAAATACGGAATACCTCATTTTACATTAAAATAATAAAAATAAAGATTAGAGAAGAGAAAATCAAACGTGTAATTTTGCAAGATGATGTGTTACAGCCGACCAACATAAGTTATGCCACGTGTAACATTCTAAAGCCGCGTGGCAATATGGGTGGATTCTGGGAGGCGAGCGACGTCTTGCCTTTTCTAAATCGCAAGAAGCCAGCTTCCCACGTGTCTACTAGCTTCAATTTCAGGTGCTTTTCTTGAATTTTCTTGAATTTCGTCTACAATAATTAGTACTTCTTATCGATTTTACTGCTTACATGTTTCATTATTCCCCTCGAAAGTAACTCAACTTGTTTTGCTGGTTGTTGTAACTTTGTTAGAGATTTATTGATCGGACGAAACTGAAACACCCCAGCCGAAAAGTGGTTCTTGAAATCCGGGAAAGTGGAGACTGTGGACATTTGATGAAATCGATGATGATGATCATCATCATATAACGATTTCAGGTTGAAAAAAAGGGGGTTTTATTCGGTTACTTTTTCTCATCTGTAAACTGTAATTTAATGGGTGAAAAGGGATTTTGACTCTACTCCGAGAAAGAATTAGAAGTGGAAAAAAAAACAAATGGTGCCTTTTTTAGGGTTTCTCATTATCCTTCATTCAATTTGTAAAACGTAATTCGCAAGGCACTTACATTATTACAACACTTGCTAACTTTTTGTATCGCCTCCTACAGTAAACAATGCTTCCGTAGAGAATCGCAAACATTTAATCGAAGCTCTTGTAGTTATGGTCTGTGATTTACAGAACTCTGGTCATAAACCCCCAAAAACTCTGAGGGAGATGATGCTTGAGGCTTAATCTGAGCTCTTTTCAACGGCTTCCTTTGCAGCAGCTTCTCCTTCGAGCTTCTTCTTCCAATATTGATCAAGGGGTGGCCCGAAAATAGCTTTACCTGAAACGACACCAATCCTGCAGAAGAATCCAAAGCAAAACCTTTTTTTAGATCGCTACAGAATCATGTATTCATTTTTATGGGAATGAGAATGAGAATGAAAAACAAGAGATTCTTTTTCTAGAAATATGGACAAATGATGAAGCAGTGATTCACAATCAGTCATTTTGTTGTTCATCAGGTTATCATATTTCAGGAGATTTTAACAATTTGGGCTTTATCTCAGATTCACACGAAACCTCATCTGAGATGCTAAAAAGTAAAAATGATGATCGTTTTGTATCAATTTTTTAGAAATTGAAGTTCAATCCTCAAAATTCATCTCGAATTCTACATCAATGGTAGCTTACAATGCTCAGATCAGTTCTTATAAAACCTATTGATTTCAAGGAACCATATTACGAAATCATTCAAGTTCAAAACTTTTGGTTATCATCTGCAAATCCGATATGCAAAAATCTACCAGATCTTCCAGAATAACCGCAATCTAGAGGAAGAATGCGAATATTTATATCAATCAAGAGTTAGATTTCACCGAGGAGACGAATGAGGATGAATCGAGCACTTACACAACAGCTCCGACCACCATTGGAAGAGATAAAAACCTGTTCCTCCGGAACATTGTTTAAGATCGAAGTCGGTCGCAGCCGCTCTAGTAAATCTCCGGTCGCCGTCGCTCGACCTGATCTTTTGTATGCCTTAAAGGCCGCAGGGTTTCAGATTACAGTTTATCACGTCACACGTGCCAACTTCAAAATGGGCTTGACCTAAACTTTATAGAATCTAATATTTCGGCCCATTAAGAAGCTTTTTTGTTTTGTTTTTAATGTTCGTTGTCAACGCTGCTTGCTTACTTACACACGAGGAAAAGAAAAGAAGAAGACAAAGGAACCATAAATAAAAGTCACCGACTCTTCTTCTTTCTTCAATTCTCACCATGTCTTTTTCTTTTTTTCAATTCAAAAACTCGTGATCTGATTTTGACCCTTTCAAAAAATCTATGGCAGTACTTTCCTAATTTCTCTTTTAACTCTCAACTCTCTCTTTTTTTTTTTCTTTTTTTGTGTGTGTCTAATTTCGTTGGTTATATATACTGAAAAGGAAATACAACGAAATTTTATTGATTTGATGTTGATCAAAACTATATAATTAACATATTAAATGCATTAAACATTTACACTACTTATATTTTCAATGAGTCTGACTTATATATACTTCTTCTGTTTCAAAATAAATGTCACTTTGACACTTTTCACATAAATTAAAAAAATTAATAAAAAATCATTTATATTCCTAATAAATACACTAAATAATTCTCTCTATCTAATTAATACACTAAAATAACAAGGTTAAAACTGAGTATTCTGTTATAAATTTACATTGGAAACCTAAAATGATACTCTTTGTGAAACAAAAACAAAACTCTAAAACGACGCTCTTTATAAAACGGAGGGAGTATTAAAAATCAAGTTCTTAAAACAGCATGTGTATGTCATTGACCTTGCTGCTGGCTAGTTAATGATGAGTCTGTCGTCTGTGGTTATACTTGTAACATCCACACAATAATCTCTATGTAGATATAAATGTCTCATTATTTGATAGGTGTCTGCTTTTATTATCTTTAATAACGCGTGTGTGGGTATGAAAAACTGGTGCTATCAAAACTCAAAACTAGGGATTTAATTTTCAAGAGAAAGTCAGCTGCTTTTATTCAAGACAAAAAAAAAAAGAAGTAATGAAGATGAGATTAACTAGCTTGTGTGGTTGCAAACTTGTAGTAAGACTCTTGTTATTCCAGACTGAAGAAGAAAACGTACTACTCGTAATTAGCTTTCACTAATAATCAATATTACCCATGTATTCAAATTAAGTGACAACGACAAGTACAAATATGAAGTTGTTTGATTCATAATAACGAAAGTACAACGTCACAATATATCATTTACCAAATTATTTCAATGATTATAAGCTACTTTGTGATTTTAGGGCTTGTGGTTTTGGGTGTAAATGTAATCAGTGTGAGCAACTAAAGTTCTTCGTATCAAGAAGCATTCTTCTTCTCCAACACCTTCGCAGTTTTCTTCTCCTTGCTCTAATTTCTGCGCATAACAAAAATTACACGGACGTGACTAAGTTGTCATCTCGATCATAATTATTAATTTACTATATGTAATATATATATGATATATGAACAAGAAGAAGAGTGAGGTTGAGAGACCTCAACGGAGGTTTCTCCCGGATAAACGGAGGTTGGAACGGCCCGGCCTGCCGAAGCGTATGTGAGCATGGAGCAGATGAGGAGAGCAAGGATGAAGAAAAAAGTTGTGAACTTAGCCATTTTATGATATGGCTAAGTACTATACAAATCTTGTTATAATTATAAAGGAGATCAGATCAAGTATATCGAGAGAGAGGTATTGTGTTGAAATGCGGAGGAAGATATATGAGATTTAAGTTATACATGAGACGTATTTATAGAAAAAAACATGAGAATAGATAAAAGTTCAGCAGAAACATGAGCCATATAATCTTGAGTAAGTGTACGCCATGAAACCATTACCATACCAAACACGCATATGTATATTTATACTATGTTTATTGAGTTATATAAATATATATATAGATTTTTTTTTATAAGAAAAAAAATATATAACTAACGAGTATTTTAAGTTGGTTGATCAGGCAGTTGTAGTGAAATTGATCAATATGGAGTGGAGTCAACTAAATCTTAAATATTTTACATACATATACTGAAAAAAGTTGGTGGCGGATGTATCTGTATACTGAGAGATTCATGACTTAATGATTCTCGTGTAAAGTTAGTTGCAGTATACACTAATGAGTAATGAGTGTTGTAGTGTGAATGATTGTTATTATGTTTTATTTAAACTAATGCAAACAAGATGAAAAGAGATGATACTGTTTGTTGTGTTTGACGTTCTCATCCATGTTTTTCTTTTTGTTGTCGGTCATAATACTTTGTCACAAATCTGATGTAATCTTTCATCAGATACAGTTACAGAAACAGTGTTACAAATCATGTTCACCTTTTTAAAATGGTTGATGATAATTAAGAAGGGTCCATTGTAATGAAAATTACACTTGGCGCATGACATGTTTTGCATTAAAAAAAGTCTAGTCAATAAAAGAGGGAAAATGGGCTCCGCATTGCAAGATTCGTTTCAAACATAGAGTCCATCCATACATATCATATGCTTAATAGTTAATAGCATTGTATTTATACTTAACTGGTTTTATTTGTTTATTTTCTTTTGTAATGGATCTTGTAAATCACAGTGAAAGAAGAATCACCATTCCTGAACCATAGGCCTTCGTTACATTATTACAAATGGGCCTTTTCTTTACTTTATTAAGAGAATTGGATTTCTTGGTCCATTTCAGATCAGTTTGTGGTGGTGTTTTTTTTTTGTTTCTCATATTGGCGAGCATCTTGGAAAATAAAATTTATTTTCAAAATCATGAAATGTTGATGCTGGGAAAGATTTATACTAGTTCCAACTACTGTTGAGGTTAAAAGTACGGATCCAGTAGTTAAAAATATTCAGATATAGTAAATGATAAAATCCAATAATCAAATTGATTTAATAATGACCATCTCGTGTGTTTGGAACAAGAATTTTTTAAATTAACTACTTGATACTAGGAAAATATATACTTTTGATGTTTAATATTTCTCATAGATATAATAATTACTTGTTTTACTTATTTATATTTTTACTTTTAGTTACTTTTTTGGTTTTCAATACAAGTAAAATCAATAGATTAAAAGTAAAGTAATATTATATTTAAATATTTATTTTTAATTCATCTTATAAAACTAAATATATTAATTAAAATGTAAAACATCAATCTTTCAAAAATAAAAAACAAAATCTAAAACATCAACCTTACCTTTAAAAAACATAGGTAAAGAAAAAACAGTTGGTGTGCACATGTATGCCGATAAAGTAGAAACTAGAGACTAGTGTCTGCCATGCTTTTTAAAAATAAATTATGGTACGTAGGGCTGCTTTGAACCCAGCTTTGCCGTTAAGAAAACTAAACTTCAAGAATATTCTCCTTTTTTTTATTATTATTATTGTAGCTCAAACCGATTTTTCAAGAATATTCTCTTTCTTTCTTTTATTATTATTATTATAGCTCAAACCGATTTTTGGTTTAGTGTTCCAAAATCCACATTTGTAGTATGTTGATACCGAATATTCGGAGTAAGGAGAAGTGCGTTAAAGAAAAAGTAAGTGCGTGAACAAGCCAGAGAGAAAGAGACAGACTCGGCTTTAGCTCTCTAGTTTTGTCTAAGCTACGTCCCAAAGTTACACGAGTCCAAGTACACTGTCGCTCTCCTGACTCAAACCACCACATTTGTGATTTGCCTCTCTCTTTATTTTATTTTCTGGAACAACGGAGAAGCAACACTGAAAAATGAAAATAAACATTTTTTTATGTTATCATGAAATAGAAAATTACCCTCGTGTGGGGCCATAATACGTCCATAAATATGGGCATCCTACAATGCAATTCTTCCCTTTTCCCCTTCTACCCTTCATTTCAATTACATTTTGAGATACTTTTTTTTTTTCCCTTTGGTTTTAAGTTTTAAGAATCCATTATGTCTTCGATTTCACCCGTTTTTTCATCTGAACCGGTGCTTGCTAATCATGTACCGGCTTTGGAATCTGGATTCACTCCATGGGACGATGTATCAGATTTATTTTCTATCTTTGATACACCGGTCTGTCCTGGGGAAGTAAATCCCGGTTTAGAGAAAACAAACTCTGGTCAAATTCAAACCCAAAGCTACCCCAACTCCGGTTTTCATAAACCCTTGAACCGTATCGGTTCGAATGTTGTTTTCCCGGATAAAGATGATTCGCTAAAGAGACGGAAAAAATCAAACCGGGAATCTGCTCGGCGGTCCAGGATGAAGAAACAAAAACACCTAGAAGATGTGAGGTGCCAACTTAACCAGCTCAAGACCGAGAACCGGGAACTAACGATCCGGCTCCGGTACGTTATGCAACATTGTCAACGTGCAAAGATGGAAAATGATCGCCTACGGTTGGAACACCATATTCTCCATGAGAAGCTGTTGAACTTACGACAAACTTTGGTGCTGAGACAAATCCAGCAGAGCTCAACGTGTGCCACGTGGTCGTGCGTTAATAGCACCGTTGTAACGGTCCATCAGAATCCGTCGATGATAAGGGATCACGTTATGTGAGATTTTCAGAGCACAATACTGCATCGTTCTGGTCAATATATGAAACACTACCGAGTCTTTTTTATATTCCTTTTGTACGTAAGTTTCCAGAAGTAAGTAAAAAACGTATGGATTCGAGTATTAAGAAAGATAGAAAGGTTTTTCCTTATTATTTCGATTATCTATGTATATATTGGCCTAATACGGCAAAGAAATATCAAAGTAATCCCCTTAAAATTTTAATATTAATAGTTACAAAATACGATCTTTATTTGTTGGAAACGAGCATGATGATGATGATGTATGTGTATGCCTTATGAAATAAAATAGTGGAAATGGTTTAAATTCAAACGAATATGTGGTCTTTTGTCAGTCTAACAAGTCCAAAAACAATGCATTACGCATATTGGTTTATTGGTTCTACACTTGCACATTACGATTAATTTTGAATGGCCGTAATAGATTGAATGTGTTTGAATTAGGATTTCTAATTTTTCTAAAATACCGACTCTTATTTAATTTTCCAAAAATCACATTACGATTTAAAGTAGTTTGAGATAACATTCGTCATGGCTATTGTATTGCTTTTATTAAAGCTTTTGGTATGATGTTTCATATTTACTAGCCAGAGATCAACATTCGCTTTAATATGCTTTAATATATACAAGTTTAACAGGTGGATTATTTATTTACAAAGTTAGGATATTAAAGATAGTGATTGCTTGATGACTTCATACGTCCACTAGTCATGATCCTATATCACAATTAAGCGCTTTGAAAAAGTTAATATAGCATATGCGGAAGAAAAGAGAGTAAACCGTGGCCATAATAGTTATGAGGTTGTGATTATTATTAACCATCATCACTTTAAATGCATCTAATTATAAGAATTATTTGATCAATGGAAATTTCGAGGGGGTCGAATAGTTTCAAGATGTCCAAAATTCGTTGAGCAATGAAAAGCAAAGGTAACTTTCTACACAAAATCTATCTATCTATCTTTTTCTTTTCTTTTTCAAATGCTTTTGCTTTCCTCCCCAAAAAGATTTGGTGAATTTATATTTGGATAAATCATTACGTAACTAAGTATATATTTGAACCCATAGGCGAAAAACACACAAAAGAAATCAAATTTTGAAAAAACTTAACGATTGATCGTCAACCCATAAACAGTTCTTGCAACTATTAAACCCAAAAAGAAAAACACGTTTCGTTTGTCAATTTTCACACAAATATAAAACCAAAATACTTGTAGGAGGTTAAATTGTGAACTTGTATGATCACTGTACAAAAACTCATCTTGCACGCACATGTGTGGTTAGGCTATTTATGTTTACAACATGTCAATCCATCCAATCATCGTGTCTCTTTATTCCAGTGCTCTGTAGAAAGAAAGAAAAAGACTCAAGAAAAAAGAAAGAGATAAAAGAAGGCTACCGTTGAAATTTTCTTTTAGAGACAAGAAGTACAACATACTTGATGTCGAGAATCTTATAAACCTTTGACATGAACTTGAATCTCTGATGACAAATAAAAAAAAACGAGGAACTTGGTTCGTCAATCAATGAGTTCCAGTAATTAGTCTTTGAACTGTTTCTTACAAACAAGAAAATTAAACAATTTAAAGTTACTTTTATTTGTTCATGATAAGATGCTTTTGAAAACGTTATCCAACTACTCGTTTCTTTTTGGAAAATTCACCAGGTGACCATAAGGAATGAAAAAAAATACTAAATTCCTTATCATTCTTTAAAAAATTACACCATTTTAAAAGAATATATTGTATCCATGATTCCTTCTTATTTCTTATGTTTTAGGGAACTATAATGTTAATATATTCTCTATAAAAAATGAGAAGGAATAATAATTCATATTATTTTATTTTTTTCATTCATTTTTCTATTTATTCCTATTGTTATTTTTATGGTCACCAGTTAAAGTCATAGATTATATATATCACACATGGCATACGCATATTCTAAACACTATATAAAATTCGTTTTAGCACCCAAAAAAAAAAGAATGAAATTCGAGCATGCTAGCGTCAGTCTTTCGTAGGCTTCGCCACCCATGAATTTAACAAGGGCCATGACTTCAGGCCCGACGATATACCAACTCATATAATTAAAAGCCCATAAAAACCCAAATGAAACCCTAGTTTCCGAAGACTAGAACACCCGACGGCTATATAAATATCCACTAAACACAGTATCTCGATTATCTCCTCTAACATTCATCATCTAGATGAAGACGCATACTTGATCTGTTCTTCCCCTACTTTTCGTGTATTTTTTTTTTTCTCTTTTATTTGTCTTTCGTCGCCGAGCAATTTTGTCTTTTGATCTTCAACAAATTTTGTTACTGTGATTTTTTTTGTTTGTTTTAAATTTGATAGGAGAAGAGAGCGGTGATTATAAAACATAAGAATTAAAATTCTGATCTGCTCTCTGGGCATGATAGACTCATTATACACCCATAGAATATGAGCTCTCTTCTCGACATTCTTAATTTTATATAGTTTCCAAACATTTTCCAGTTAAATTATTAGATTTCATAAATCTGATTTACTTTCGGTTATGTTTTCTTCATGTTTTATGTTTTAGCTTTTAACATTGCTTTGTTTTTGTTTTTTTGTAACTCAACTAGTATCAAAATAGTAGTATTCCTTAAATACTCAAACTACCAAACTATATTGATACTAATGGGAATTGAGAAGCGCTTATCGTGAAAAATAAGCATGCAACTAGTAAGAGAAGAGGGACATCTCTTGTTGATTTCAACCGTCATGTAAAAATCAAATAAAACTAGTGTTAGCATGTTCTCTTGGCACCAACTTTAACTGCACTTTGATTTTAGATTCACATTGGTCTTCGACAAATTAATCAAATTTAATATTTAGCATCGTGTAATGTAAACTTTAATCCAAATTTCCCAAAATAACGTCGAACATGTTGGTGGTCCAAAAGTAAAATGTATTAGTATCTTCTACGTTCGATTGTATAAAAAACCTTAAACGTTTTAAAATGCGCAAACTTATGTAACTTTTCATCCAACATGGTAAAACCCAAACAAACATTTAGCTGTCATAGTGGAAACATCGAAATAAGGTCAATCCAAATATGAACTCAAATTACATTATAAGCCCACTAAGGCCCAGCGAAACCCTAACTCTAAATCCACGGACATATATATAAGTAGCCATTAGACACAATTCTCTTTTCATATTTCGTTATCGTCTCCATTCTCTAGTGACTCAGTCTGCATCGAAAGGCAAAGTAAACCACTTGCCTCCCGATTCGTTTTATTTCGTTTCTTCTTTGCCTGTCCTTGATTGGTTCTATCATTTCCTGTTTAATTTGTTTTGTTTTTGTTTTTTCTTTTTCTCTCGGAGTTTTAAACTTATAGAGGCGATGATGACATCAAACATTTCTCGATACTGAAACTTACTCGAGGGACCAAAATCACTCTTGTAATTTTTCTTGATGCTTATTGTTTGTGCGTGTCTGAGCCTCTTCATTGTTTTTTTCTTACTTCTCTTAAAAATTAAGTTAAATCCGGTTTTGCGAATTTGTTTTGAGACTATTTCGATTACATTAACCCATTTGTCATTTTATAATCAGAATCGAAAGCCATGGACGAAGCAGATCAGTTATGTTTGGCTGCTAAATCCGGCGACTTGAAAAAGGTTCAGACTTTGATAAACTCCGGCGCCGACGTTTCACACTTTGACGGAGACGGCCTAACGCCGTTGATGCACGCCGCTAAAATGGGAAACGCAGAGATCATAACGGCCTTGCTCGAATCCGGAGCTCCATGGAACGCTGTAACTCCGTCAAACCTCTCAGCTGGTGATTTCGCCATGGAAGCAGGACACCAAGAAGCATTCGACCTGCTTCTCAAGACCGGAATCCAGTCTGAGCTAATCTTGGGAACAATCGCGAGAAAAGAAACCAAGAGCGAATACTCGAATCAAGAGTATCTGCAAGATCGAGTCACCTTCAGCGAAGACAAGTTGATGGATAACGAAAGCAAAGGAGTGATGATGGCATGGGAGAAGCCGTTGATGGAAGCTCACGCCAAAGCAATTTGCATCAACGGCGGCTCGATTCTAAACATCGGATTCGGTATGGGGCTTGTGGACACAGCGATTCAGCAGTATAATCCGGTGAAACACACGATCATCGAGGCTCATCCAGAGGTTTATAAGCGTATGATCGAATCCGGTTGGGGTGAAAAAGAGAATGTGGAGATTGTTTTTGGAAGATGGCAAGATGTTGTTGATAATAAGAAGCTTGATGATTCTGGATACGACGGGATCTTCTTTGATACTTACGGAGAGTATTACGAAGATTTGTGGGAGTTTCATCAGAATCTGCCGAGGCTGTTGAAGCCTGAAGGTGTTTACTCGTATTTCAATGGGTTCTGTGGGAGTAATGCGTTTTTCCATGTTGTGTATTGCAATCTGGTGACGTTGGAGATTGAGAGTTTAGGGTTTACTACTCAGTTGATTCCATTGCCGGTGAAGGATTGTCTTGGGGATCAAGTTTGGGAAGGTGTGAAGCAAAAGTATTGGCAACTTGATACTTATTATCTCCCTGTTTGTCAGTTTAGTGAATAAGAGGACTCATGTTTTGTTGGATTTTGCCATTTTCTTAATTTTTTTTTGATGTTAACTTTTGAAATTTCAGTGGTATACGTTCATATCATGGTGATTTTTTTGAAAAATGTAGCTTAATCTCATCCTCCACTCTTACATCCTCATGGCTATATATCTGATCATAATTAGACTCGTAAGCATCGGATCATAGTTAGTAAGCATTTCATAAGCGAAAACAGCAAAGTTTCTCATGGTTATGAATTCTTTTTTTCTGTAAATAATCTTAGTCTATATTCTCTCATAATAAAAATAAATTAAAATCGGAGTTTTACCATTATTATTAATCAGATGCATTAAATTAGAAATTACAACAATAATATATGTCATTTTTTAGTACTGTCCTCGCCTCCAACGAGCTTTCGCTTTAAAAATAGATACGTTTGGGTTATTTTGCGAAATTAAACAATATTTATCGATTAGCAAAGGAAAAAAAAAATCAGAAGCAACGGATTCTTTTTCTATAAATTAGCAAAAGAAAAAGAAAGCAACGGCTTCTTTTCCTGTTTTCAAACAAGAAGAAGAGCTGTAAATCCAAAAATCTGCTTTCCCCTCAGATTCTATAATCACAAACTCATCAATCGTTCTTTCTAGAAACATATTTTGCAACTTTCTCTGGTCAATTTTAGGCAATCATCCTGAATCTTTCGACTCATAAGTACCCATATCTCAGATTTTTGTTTTCCGATCATAAACCAACCTGAATCTTCCGACTCGCAAGTACCCAGATCTCCAATTTTCGTTTTCGATCATAAAGTTTCCATCTTTTAGCCCGGGGTTTTAAAGTTATTCTCTCTTGTTTGTTTCAGTAAACCGGAGAAGGATTCTTCTCCGAACCGACTTGTTGTCGACGAAGCCATTAACGATGACAACTCTATCGTCTCTCTCCATCCCGCCACCATTTTCTGTAGCGATAAGATTCTCATCAAGGTTTGGTTTTTACTCCTTTTTCTTTTAAATTCTGTATAGCTGGAATCCGAAAATCTCTAGTTTCTTGATTGACGATTTTTACCAAATTGGGATTTTTTTTTTCTTGCTTGGCCGATGGATTCTTCATTGGATTATCCTCTCTCTCTTTTCCTTTCCATGTTTCTGTTTATGTCTTGGGGATCGGATTACAAAAGATGTGTTTTTTTGGTGTTGTAGAATGGGTAGGAGGAAATGATAATGATCAAAGCCATGATTCGCCTAAAATCTTCTCGTGTTCAAGCCCGAGCAACACGGATGAGTATGTGTACTAGTGGGAATCAGATCAGTGTGATGCTGGTGGTGAATTTGGGAAGAAGCACTTTCAGATCATGAAAGACTTCGTAATACGTATGTATTACTTTTGTTCCACGTATGTGTTCTGTTATATATAAAAAACCATTCTTGATTCCATTATTTTCTAATTGCTCAGGTTAGAGATGTTTGACTTCGTCGAGGTCAAAGTTCCAGGAGATGGTAATTGCCAGGTAAATGTCTTCTTCTTCGTTTCCATCTCCATTAAACTTTACTGATCACTTTTTTTGATCCTTGAATTCTTCTTTCCCGTCGATTTTCATTTCAGTTCCGTGCTTTAGCTGATCAACTATACAAAACCGCAGATCGTCATAAGAATGTTAGACGACAAATTGTAAAACAGTTTTGATGATCTTTTTGCTAGTCGCGAGTGATGAATCTTTTAAAAGCTTTCACGAACTATTATGAACTCATTTCGTGAAACTCTTGATTTAGCTCAAATTTCCTCCAGATTCTTATGAAGGATATGTTCCTATGGATTTCTCTGAGTATCTAAAGAAGATGTGTCGGTAATATTCTCTTTTCCTAGAAACTTAATAAGCGCATTTTTTGAACCCGTCTTGTATTAAAGCTTTTAGTATTCATATTTGAAACAGGAGTGGTGAGTGGGGAGATCACGTTACATTACAGGCGGCCGCAGATGCGGTATAGATTCTCAGTCTTATGAATCACATCAACCCTTCTTCTTATACATTGTCATAATTCCATAATCAAACAGCTTGGTGAAAAAAATTGAATTTGAAGTATCGGGTGAAAATAGTAGTCATAACATCATTATAGAATAAGTGTTGTTCCTCTGCTTGTATATGAATCAGAACCTGTTTATTCACCTTGTTTCGATTCTAATCATTTCATTTCGTTTCCTTTAACAGGTTGTGGAGGTTCCAAATGTCTCTTGGAAGGATATTGGAGGTCTTGAGAGCGTTAAGAGAGAGCTACATGAGGTGAAATCGCTACTACAACTTTTGCTTTCAATCCAAATTGTTTCAGTATCTTAGAACTATTCCATGATCTATTATTTTGGTTGCAATGCAGACTTGTTCAGTACTGTGGAGCATCCAAAGAATTTTGAAGTGTTTGGGATGTGTCAATCAGAAAAAACATTGAAAGGTTAGATATCAATGTTAGATATTTCTTTTCTTTTAGCTCGTGAAGCGAGATTAATGTGAAATGTAAATGCAATTCGGCCATTTTTTTGGTGTTTTTGTTCCTTAAGATATGGGAAAACCCTTTTAAAGGGACCTCTGGAAAAAGTGATGCGTTTATAAAATCTTTGACTAGGGGAAAGAAAAAAGACAAATCATTTATTTCTCTTTTTTTTTTATTCATCTACATTAAATCTGAAATAGTTTATACCGATTAGATTTATATTAGTTGTCAAACTAACCGGACATAGTATCTAGCCATTTAAATTTATTTGGTCGTTAGAGATTACATATGCTCAATTTGTATCACAACTAATACATATCAAATGGTTTTTTTATTAGGAAATATTGATAATAAAAATAATTAGAACACTTAAAGAAATTTGAATCTAATCCAAACATGAAATCTGATATTGTTTTTTGTATTGTTTCAGGTTAATTTTTTCTTTGACAAAATGAAATTCAAGAGGCATAAATGCTGAGAAAAGTAAACTAAAAAATAAGATATGTCTTCTATTCTTTTTATTTATTTATTCGCATTTTAATTTAGATTAGTTTTAAACCGATTAGATTTATATTAGCTGTGAAACTAACCAGACATGGTATCCAGCCATTTGAATTCATTTGGTCGTTAGAGATTACCTATGTTCAATTTGTTTTCACAGTTAATGTAGATCAATCGGTTTTTTATTGATAATAATAATAATTGCAGTAGTAAATGAAATATGAATCTAACAAAAATATGAATTTGATGTTGTTTTTTTGTATTGTTTCAGGTAAAAAATAAATAAAATTTAGAAAGCAAAAGGCGCTGAGAGAAGAAAACTTGAGAAAAAGATAAGTTTTCTATTCTCTCTTTTTCCTTTTTTATAATTAATTTGATGTTGTTTTTTTGTATTGTTTCAGGTAAAAAATAAATAAAATTTAGAAAGCAAAAGGCGCTGAGAGAAGAAAACTTGAGAAAAAGATAAGTTTTCTATTCTCTCTTTTTCCTTTTTTATAATTAATTTGATGTTATTTTTTTGTATTGTTTCAGGTAAAAAATAAATGAAATTTAGAAAGCAAAAGGCGCTGAGAGAAGAAAACTTGAGAAAAAGATAAGTTTTCTATTCTCTCTTTTTCCTTTTTTATAATTAATTTGTATAAAAATTAATTAGATTTATATTAGTTGTGAAACTAACCGAACATTGTATCCAACCATTTAAATTTATTTGGTCGTTAGAGATTGCTTATGTTTAATTTGTTTGCACAACTAATATAGATTAATCAGTTTTTATTAAAAAATGATAAATGATAATGATAGCAAACACTAAATAAATTTGAACCTAAATTTTTTTTTTAATTGTTTCAGGTTAAACTGTCTAAGCAAATACGTCATAAAAGGAAAATAATTTGTAACTGTATTGGCAACTTGGTACTTATTATCTCCCTGTTTGTCAGTTTAGTGAATAAAAGACTCACGTTTTGTTAGATTTTGCCATTTTTTATGTTAACTTCTGAAAATTTAGTGTCACAGAATCAAAGTCAAATGTGTGTTTTATACGTTCATATCATGGTGATTTTTTTATAAATGTAGCTTTATCTCATCCTCCACTCTTGCATCCGCATGGCTATATTATATACATCTGATCATAATTAGACTCATAAGCATCAGATCAAAGGTAGTAAGCATTTCATAAGCGAAAACAGCAAAGTTTCAACAAGTTTTAATGGACTTGGATTTAGACTGAAATAAATAAATTGGGCCCATTATCAAAACGACGTCCAATAGTTTCTCGGTCCTTTCTCCGCCACGTGTTTTCATTTTCCTCGGCTCTAATTCTTGTTCGTCTCTTGTCCTCCATCGCTAAAACCTGAGTTAGGTTTCAGAATTTGGTTTGCTGTCTGAGCAATGGCAATACTCTCTCTGCGATCTCCAAGCTCCTTGCAGCTCAATTCATCCTCTGTTTCTCCTATGTGCTCGAAACCATTCTCTCGATTACCATCCAAATTTTCATCTTCGATTGTTTCTGTTCCGTTCACCGGATCAAAATCCAGTTACACTTTTGTTTCCCCCATCCTTAGACCTCGTATGGTTTTCGCGAGAGCTGCCACCGGAACCACAGATTCCGTCACTGATTACAGAGAAGATATTGGCGAGATCCTCGGCGATGTCTCCATCTTCACTGCTTCCGGCCAGCGCGTGCAATTCAGCGATCTCTGGGATCAGACCGATGTATGTTCTCTGTTAATTACATATCCAACTAAACGAATTTGAGGAAGGATATAACGAATTCATGTCCGGATATTAGCATTTTGAGTTGTGTTCTGTTTTTGTTTTATTTTACAGGGAATTGCTGCTGTTGTGCTTTTGAGGCATTTCGGATGCGTTTGCTGGTAAATAAATTGAAACAAAATCTTTCTAAAATCGACAAGAATCGTTGCAATACGAATTTCCTTTATTTCAAATCACTGATGATGAATTCGATCTCTTTTTTAATTTGAAAGTTGGGAACTTGCAACTGCTTTGAAAGAGGCGAAACCAAGGTTTGATGCGGCTGGTGTTAAATTGGTGGCTGTTGGTGTTGGAACTCCCGATAAGGCTCGTTTACTGGCAACTCGTGTAAGCTTCCATAATCTTGTTTACTGCTTTCGTCTTTGTAAACATATAACGTCAATGTGAGAGTTTTAGTGTAGCTTTATCTTAACCTCCACTCGAGCCTTAAAAGTTTTTGTTTTCATTGCTTTAGTTACCTTTTCCCATGGAATGTCTGTACGCGGATCCTGAACGCAAGGTAAAGCGAGGAGAAGTAAAACAATTTACTTTGTTTTCATGATATCATTTGTGTTGAAATGGTGATTCAAGAGGGTTCTTCTATATTATATGCAGGCATATGATGTTCTTGGTTTGTACTACGGTTTAGGTCGCACTTTCTTCAACCCAGCAAGCGTATGAACCTCCTCTATATTTTGACCGTATTATCTTATTAATACTTCACCTTGGAATTTCTAAGTAATTTTGTACGATTCAGGCTAGTGTCTTCTCAAGATTTGACAAGTTACGAGAAGCTACAAAGAATTACACCATACAAGCCACCCCTGAAGACAGAAGCAGTGTGTTGCAACAGGTTTATTTATTTCTTTTGGTTCCTCGTCAAGACAAGACTTTTTTTTTTTATCAGATAAATTTGCTTGATTTTTTGATTGATCCTTTTCTCTGCTTTCTTTCACAGGGAGGCACGTTTGTTTTCAGAGGCAAGAAACTGTTGTATGGTAGAAAAGACGAAGGAACTGGAGATCATCCATCTCTAGATGATGTCATCAATGTTTGCTGCAAAGCCACCGTTGCTTGAATATTGGATCAAAGTCTCTCTGTTTTGTCTTTATACTTCAATCACTGTATATTTGTTGCTACTATTGTCTTTATTTCTCAAGTTTCTAAAAAAATTGGAAAGAATATCAACAACAGTATTAGAGCAGGAAGGTGCTGTGGTGTAGTGGTTATCACGTTTGCCTTACACGCAAAAGGTCTCCAGTTCGATCCTGGGCAGCACCATATATTTTTTTTTACCAAAAATGAAAAAAAACAGTATAAGAGCAGTATGTCCAAATCCAATCTCCTCTTAGCTCGTGTAAATTCTGAAGATGTCGATAACTCATTGAACCACACAAGTCTTCTAGTAGTGTTTGGAATACAAATTTGTCATTTTCAATAGTGCTTAAAAATGTGCTTGTATTTATCTGAACTCTTCACTATGATATACATCACATTTTTAAATTTCAATACTACACCTTATTTTTAGTTATTTGGGATATAAAATCTGTGTAGGAACCCACATTACATAAGAAAATGAATATAAATGTAAGTTTGGAAAAAACAGATGCTTTCATAGTTTTTAAAATTAATTTTTATAAGAAAAAAAATGAGAGAGTGATCGAATAATATATTTGGCGCACCGATTAAAAATAATACCGAATTCAATTCAATATCCCTGCGTCATAATATATGTAGTCAAACAATAGAATTAAATTGCGAATGCGGTGTGACATGACTAAGCATGAAACCTTGGTCTATCCCTACTATAACGTTTTTAAAGGCTGAAAACGATGGAAACGCAAAATTTTGAAAGTGACTATCAGCTTAGAATGCGCGCAGCCCAAGACTACACTAACGTGCGCAATAATACCCGGCCGAAAGACGATCACTCACACAACTCACAAGCAAAAATTCTCTTTCCAACAACACAATTTCTGTTTCCTCTCTGCAATCTTTCTTACTAAAATAGTTAATATTTATATTTTTAAGTTTTGATACACACACTCACGTGAAAATCTTTGTCTTCTACAAACCTTTTTTGAAAATCTCTCAAATGCCGGCGAATAATCACCGGTTTAGCTACCGGTTACTCTTCCTGCTCCTTCTGAGTTTCGAAACGGCGCGGCGTTTGGCTTCCGGTGACTCAGACGACGAGGCGTGTTTGACGAATCTCCGTCAGAGCTTAGAAGATCCGGCGAATAATCTCCGTAATTGGACTAAACCCTTCTTCACCAATCCTTGCTCCGGCTTCAATTCTTATCTTCACGGTGTTACTTGCAACAATGGCCGAATTTACAAACTCTCCTTGACCAATCTCTCTCTCCGTGGCTCGATTTCGCCTCTCCTCTCTAACTGCACAAATCTCCAATCCTTAGATCTATCTTCCAACCAGATCTCCGGCGAGATCCCGCCGGAGCTACAGTTCTTAGTCAACCTCGCTGTTCTGAATCTCTCCTCTAATCGTCTCTCCGGCCAAATCTCACCTCAGCTCTCTCGTTGCGCTTACCTAAACGTCATCGATCTCCACGATAACCACCTCTCCGGCCAAATCCCTCCACAGCTGGGGCTTCTCGCGAGATTATCGGCGTTCGATGTCTCTAACAACAAATTATCCGGTCAGATTCCGGCGAACCTGGCGATGCGAAGCGGAAATTTGCCGAGGTTTAATTCGAGCTCGTTCGTAGGGAACAAGAAACTGTTTGGATATCCGTTGGAGGAGATGAAGAGCAAAGGATTATCAGTAATGGCGATCGTTGGGATTGGGCTTGGAAGTGGAATCGCGAGCTTGGTGATTAGCTTCACAGGAGTCTGTATTTGGTTAAAGATCACGGAGAAGCAAATGGAGCAAGAAGAAGGAAAGACTAGTCACTCAATGCCTGATTACTAAAACTCTTTCTTTAGTACTACTGATTAGGTTTTTTTTCTTCCTTTGAACAAACAAAATGAAAGATACAAAATAGGGAATTCATAATGCGAATTTTACGGTTTGTTGATGCTCTAATCATATTTAGATATTTGTTATGTTTTGGGGATTTCTCCTTATTTATATTTAGGTTTGTTCCTTGATTTTGGTTTACTTGGTATATATAATAGTAAGATTTATCGTACGAATTCCTAATTTTAACTAATGAGTTATGTTATTTTTACACTTTTACTTGTCATGAAAATTGTGATTTGTGTAATTGGAGAAGTAATGAGATTGGCTCGGGACCGTTAAGGGACACACACACACTCAGTCTCAGACGCTGTGGATATGCGCATTTCGTCATTACGTAGTCATTGATCAAAGTGTAATATATGTCGTTGAGTCAAATCTATCTTTGGAGACATGACAATTTAATATCATCAAAAAAATTCATGTTTATTTATCACATACTACTATTTTTCTTACACAAACTATATTCAGTATTCACCATCTTTATGGTTTATAAAAAAAAAAAAAAAAAAAAATCTTTATGGTTTAAATAAGTATCTCCGGGAATCAAGTGAGTACAAACAAGACTCAGCTGCTTCTTCATGGCTTCAATTACTTTATTGGGCCACAGTGGCGCTGATAAAAAGCCCATCTAATATCTGATCCAGGCCCGAATATTCTTATTTTCTCTTAACGACGACGTTTTCTCGGTCTTATTCCATGTGACGGCCAAGAAAATGCGAGAAAGTGGAGGCAAATCATCAATGCTGCCGTTTACGAGATGCATAGATTCTCTCACATACTCGAGTGTTTTCTCAGCAAACGCCAATTCGTCTTCGCATCTTCCCGATTCAAGTCTCGGTTTGACCTGATTCACAGAAGCTTTCACGTTACGAGAGCCCTCGAAGATAATTTCCGGAGAAGTCACGGGATTGGCTTGGTTTGTCTCGACAAGAGCCACAACGAGCGCACGAAAAACTCCAAGTACGATGAATTCGCGAGCGACGTCGAAAAGGCCTACAGAATTCTGCGGAAATTCCACTCTAGGATTCCGAAGCTGGAACTCGCGCTCAGCGAATCCGGCGTTGAGCTCCGACACGGGTTAATCGAGCGGGTTCTGAATCGGTGCGGCGATGCTGGGAATCTAGGTTACAGATTCTTCGTCTGGGCGGCGAAGCAGCCTGGATACTGTCACAGCTACCAAGTGTACAAATCAATGGTGAAAATTCTTAGTAAAATGCGGCAATTTGATGCCGTTTGGGCTTTAATCGAAGAAATGAGGAAGGAGAACCCTCAGTTGATTGAACCGGAATTGTTTGCCGTTCTGGTGCGGCGATTCGCGTCTGCGAATATAGTGAAGAAAGCCGTTGAGGTGCTCGACGAAACGCCTAAGCTCGGTTTAGAACCTGACGAGTATGTGTTCGGGTGTTTGCTAGATGCGCTGTGCAAGAGCGGTAGCGTTAAGGATGCTGCAAGGCTTTTCGAGGATATGAGATTGCGGTTTCCGGCGAATCTCCGGTATTTTACTTCGTTGTTGTATGGTTGGTGCAGGGAAGGGAAGATGATGGAAGCTGAACATGTTTTGGTTCAGATGAAGGAAGCTGGTTTTGAGCCAGACACTGTTGATTACACTAACTTGCTAAGTGGATACGCTCTTGCTGGTAAAATGGCTGATGCTTATGATCTTTTGAAAGATATGAGAAGAAGAGGGTTTGCACCAAATGCAAACTGTTACACGGTTTTGATTCAGGCACTGTGCAAGGTAGATAGAATAGAGGAGGCAATGAGGGTTTTTGTTGAGATGCAGAGGTATGAATGCGAGGCTGATACCGTGACTTACACTGCATTGGTTAGTGGGTTTTGCAAATGGGGGAAAATCGACAAGTGTTATAGTGTGTTAGACGATATGATAAAGAAAGGGCTCACGCCGTCTCAACTCACCTATATGCATATCATGGCGGCTCATGAGGATAAAGAAGAATTTGAAGAATGTTTGGAGTTGATGGAGAAGATGGAGCAGATAGGGTATCATATTGATCTTGATATTTACAATGTCGTCATCAGATTGGCCTGTAAGTTGGGACAGGTAAAGGAAGCTGTTCGACTATGGAACGAAATGGAAGCAAATGGGTTGAGTCCTGGAGTCGAGACATTTGTTATCATGATCAATGGATTAAGAAGCCAAGGTTGTCTCCTCGAAGCTTGCGATCACTTCAAAGTAATGGTAAGCCGAGGATTGTTCTCCGTTCCTCAACACGGAACGATGAAGTCGTTGCTAAGTACCATTTTAAGGGATGGGAAGCTCGAGATGGCTAAAGATGTTTGGAGCTGCATCGCAAGTAAAGGCACTTGCGTGCTGAATGTACCGTCTTGGACGATATGGATCCATGCACTGTTCTCGAAAGGCTATGTGAAAGAGGCGTGTTCTTATTGTCTTGAAATGATGGAGATGGACTTCATGCCACAACCTGACACATTTGCTAAGCTTATGAAGGGACTGAAGAAACTGTATAATAGAGAATTCGCTGTAGAGATTACAGAGAAGATGAGAAATATGGCAGCAGAGAGAGAGATCAGTTTTAAGATGTATAAGAGGAGAGGTGTGGAGGATTTGACTGAGAAAGCCAAAGCTAAGAAAGATAGACAAGGGAAGAAGAAGCGGAGGACTTCATAACTGTGAGTGAGTTCTGAAGGAATACACTTCTCGTTTGTTGAAGAGTCGGTGTGTAACAGTGCATGTTGTTTTTTTGAGAGTTGATTTTTGTCGGCAAAACGGCAAGAAGTCTATATGTTAGTTAAATGTGCAGAATAGAAACGACAACGTTTTGTGGGAGGAGCACACTCGTTTTTTTTTTTTTTTTTGTGACGTGATGTTGGACAATAATAACACTCTACGAAGCTCTCCTCCGCTAGTGAAATTTTTTAGCTTAGAGAAGAAAGCTTTTACACACGATTTTTCTCGGATCTGAGATCTTTAGATCCGAACGTCGTTTATTCGAAATATTTGATTCTATTTTCTTTCATTTTCTCGGTATGCATGCTTTCCTTTTCCTCTTTTGATTTCTCGTTGTTTGTTTTTGGGTTCTATTTTCCGCTTATTGAAATTTTCGTAGCGTGAGTTCCCTGTTCCATGGATCTGTCGATGGTATTTGATTTGTTTCTGGGGATTCATGTTCTTCTTGGTGATTTCTTGCTGTTGTGTTGCTGTAATGCTTAAACGAACTTGCGCGAAATCTGTTTTGCTCGTCTGGTAATTTCTCTATGAGTTTCATAAATGCTCATTTCTCATGGATCTGTTTCCATATCTGGTGAAATTGATGCATTGATGCTTATTGCACTACTGAAGGAAAGAACTTGCTAACGCTAAATCAAATTGCTGATTTATCCATTGTCTTGAATTTGTCGGTGATGCTGAAACCGCGTAGAGAGTGGAGTTTATCCTAGTTCCATGTGTTGTTTGTGGTTTTACAGACACTAAGGTTAAAAGAAAGCTGTTGATAAATCTATGTCTAATGTCTACTTTGGATTGCAGGTGTGCTTTTGAGGAATCTTAGTCATGTCGAGAAGGCAAGTAGGCTCGACGAGGCGTGTAGGTGATAGTGGAAGCTTCCCATTTGTAGGAGCTTTGCACTCAAAATCGCGTTCGTCTCCTCTATTATCTGTTTGCCTTGTTCTCGTGGTATGATGATTCTTGCTTCGTCGTAATCGCTTAAGTAATTCGTTTCATAGGGGATATACAATCTGTGACTCTTTTCTCAAATGTTATCCTCTTTGTATCCAGGGAGCATGCCTTCTCATTGGTTATGCTTACAGTGGTCCAGGTTTGTTTATCTTCAACCGAGTATGTTTCGCTTGTGATTTCGACTTGAAACCCCCCTAACTGCAGATTCCTGTAATGACAGGTATGTTTAAAAGTACCAGAGACGTCAGCAAGATCGCAGGTAATTCTTCTTTGCTCAATGATCAGTACATGTGTATAAGTTAGTGTTAAGTCTTTCACTCAAGAATGCGTGATACTCGACAATTAACTGTCTGAATCTGGTTTAACAACTTTTTCTACAGGTGACTATTCTTCATCAGAAGTACAAAGAGCCATTCCTCTTCTTAAGAGCGCTTATGGAGATAGCATGCGGAAAGTATTGCACGTGGGCCCTGAAACATGCTCAGTGGTCTCTAGCCTGTTGAAGGAAGAAGAGACTGAAGCATGGGGTGTTGAACCATATGATGTAGAGGATGCAGACTCTAATTGCAAAAGCCTTTTGCATAAAGGACTTGTACGCGTGGCAGACATCAAATTCCCTTTGCCTTACCGGTCAAAGTCTTTCTCTCTCGTGATCGTCTCAGATGCTCTGGATTACCTCTCACCCAAGTATCTGAACAAAACCGTTCCTGAACTTGCACGGGTTGCTTCAGATGGTGTCGTTCTTTTCGCAGGTAACTAAAAACCCCGCCTATTAAAGACAAAACGGCTTAAGAATTAAGTATCCATAAGAGATGTAAAACCCTATCTGATTGAACCTGGTCTTCATCGATTATAGGTAATCCTGGTCAACAAAAGGCTAAAGTCGCAGAATTGTCGAAATTCGGACGACCGGTAAGTTCACTAAAACCATGCTCGTTCACATGAGTGAAACTACACATTCGATGTGGTTTATACTTGTTCCGTTCGCACTAAGTTGATGCAATTTGGCTGTTTTTGGCAGGCTAAAATGCGTAGCTCGTCGTGGTGGAACCGTTTCTTCTCGCAGACGAATTTAGAGGAAAACGAAGCAGCAAGCAAGAAATTCGAACAAGCAGCTTCCAAGATTTCATACAAACCAGCTTGTCAAGTCTTCCACCTGAAGCCATTGCATTAGTACGACAGCACCATTATTACTGATAATTGAGCTTCAAAGTTCAAACCAAGATTATATCTCCTCTCTGTTATATGCCCCTTTTTCACTATAGAAAGAAACAAAATTTTCACATAAATTTGTAACCCATTCTCAAGTATTTGATTCGTAAGTTAACTATTTAATAAATTCACCTGAATTTGACATTGTAAAACACCATCGGATAGAATCCACTATCTGATAAAGATCTACAGATGACTATTTAAGACAATCTGATAAAATCAGATGATTCATAGAGGCGTGGTCTAGGTTTGTACTAAGATCATCTGATAGAATCTACTATATATTCCTTTCTTTTCGGCGTTGAGAGACATTTGAGTATATCACACCGTTTCTCGCATTTTAATGTTTTTGTTCTAAGTTAGATACAACTCTACAAGTCGCGAAGGGCCCGTCTACTTTCCCCATTCTATTTGATTTGATAAAATGGCCCAAGCCCAATAATAAAGTCCATACTGCCCATACGTTGATTAGGTCGTTTGATAACTGCACACGTTACATTGGAGACACACGTATATAATATACAGCAGATTTCGGCTTTAACCGGTAACCAACAAAAAAAGAATATGAATGAAAATGAAAAGAACGAAAAAGAAACAAAAAGAAAAGAATAAATAAAAATGAAAAATATATAAGGAAGTAAATAAATATATTTTGTTCCTCCCCAATTTTAATAAGGAATATATTTGTTCTATAATTTCTTATATGATAAGAAATAAGAAGGAATGATAGGAAAATATTATTACTAGCAAATGGTAAAATTTTTAAGGAATAAAGATGAATTTATTATTCTTCCTCATTCCCTTGGTCACCAGTTGAAGTCTTCAAATTTTTTAATTTCTTTTATAATAACCTATAGCCAGCCGCTAAATGAATCATTCTCCAGATGCATGCAATCTAGAGTTGGTTGCAAAACTTGAACCATTTGCCACAAAATAACATACAAACAAAAAACACAGTACTGTATATATTTTACAAATATGGAAAACGAGAGGGGAGAGACAAACACAGACTGGGTATAGAGACATAAACATAAGTTGACCATACTGTTTGTTCATTTGGTATCCAATGCAGGTGGGAGTTTTTTTCTTTTTTTTTGTCAGGTTTTTTTGGAGGTTAATTATTATTGGCTTTGATATGATCATATGACCTACCCGATTGTAATATTAAACCAACTTGCAACAATTCTATAACTAAACCCTATCTCATTATTTTAATAAACCTTTTAAAACTTAAAAGAACAAACTCTTCTTACAAAAACACATACTAGTAACATGTATAAATTGGTTTTTTTTTTTGATAACTCAGGGTACATTCCATATCTATGGAAGGGTCCAGACTAATCCTTTGGAAGAAGTGCAGCCCATAAATAGACCCTCTCTCCGGATATTTAAATGGGTTGAAAGCATGTGCCCATATCCATGTGGCCAAATGGGATTAATGCACTTGAGGGTAATCGATCTCTGGCATTGACCAACAGGGTAACTCCTCCTCAATTGGAAACTACTAAACCAGCACCATTTGGTTAATTGGTTTTTTCTTGTCATAACTAAAAATAAGATTTGTAGATAGAATATTTAGAATTCTGATCTAGACAAACACGTCATCATTCAAAATTTTCCGTATAAACAAAAATCGTTTTAGGGAACCACATGTTACTACTTATCACTATGGGTACTCTCATACATTCAAATATATACAACCTCAATTTTAAACGAGGGAGATCAGCTGGAATGAAGATTCGACCACCAAACAGGTTAAATGGGACCCACGTTTTCAATTCTTGGAACATGAATAGTGGAAATTAAGAAAAACAAAATTGGCAAAAAGAAAGATCACGATGGTTGTCACAAAATGTTGTTGTTTGATGTAGGGACTTGGGTGGGTAGGGTCTTATAACCTATACTTTTCACATGCATTCTTAAACCCTATTTCTACTGCATCTCCATGTGCCTCCCCTCACGTCTCTACCTCCTCCTCTCTGATAAAAAAAAACATTTAATCACTATATATATACATAATATTCTCTCATATGTTTAAGTATATAAACAGTATATAAAGATTTAATATACATACAGTTCCATATCAAATTATTATAGTACGATTTGTTCGCAAACAATTTACAGTACTCGATCGTGTTGATTAAAGTTTGAACTGAATAGAAAAAAGAACTGTTGAGACAATAGTAATTTGGTCATGAAGTACAAAATGGTATTGAACTAATTGCTAAACATTTTTCAAAAGCGCTTTTATTAATTTATTTGGGTCCTTTTTGTTTTCCTTGATTTTTGTTTCTTCTAATATATAGTCATAAAATAGGGAATATAACTCTCTCTTTTCAAAAATCATAAAATAGGGAATATAGCTATTCAATTTTTTTTTATTATAAAAAATACACATATGGTGTTCTATCTTGATTCTTCAAGATATAGAATCTAAAAATGTTCTATGATATTAATTATATGATTGCATTTATGAGTTGATATGATATCTTTTGGTTGTTTCAGAAAACCCAATCAGACTAAGATGATAAATACCGAAATATATGGCTTCATCATCATCAATAATATTTCACATGTTATTTTCAAGGAGTCGTATTACATTTTATCATTATTAAGAGTTGTTATTCGAGGACCCGTTTTGGTCGCACCAATCAAATCAGTTTGAGCTTTCTAAAATCTTGAAATATAATATGATCATATCGTATCGTCTCATTAATTATTTGAAAAACAGAAATTCAAAAAGTGGTGAATTAAATAAACCAGTACTATATAAAATTATATATCTTGAAATAATAACGATTTTCTGACGTCAAATTTTATTGTCTTAGAGATACAATAACATACTATTACCTACCAAAGAATATTCCAGTTAAGTTAGTTAATAGTTGGAGTCAAACTTAAATCGAATAACGTCGCCTAAAAATCTGGGGGCATAAGTTATAACCAACGGCTACCAACATTGGCTTTGATAAAGCGTATACCTGATTTTGTTAGTTAATTTAACTCAACTGGATTGATTATATATTAAGGTATTATGTTAATCATTATTTGAGGTCCGAATTAACAGACCACTCATTTTAAATCCAATGTTTTAAGAAGTACATGACGAAAAGTCAGTGAAATTACAAAACTGAAATCATCATGGTCAGTGAAAGAGTATGAAAATGGTCACACCAAATAAAATAAGTTTACGTCAATGAGTGGAGAAGGAAACAAGAAAGAAAAATTAGTGGCGGACCAACACATTTGGGACTACTAGAGTTTAGGGAGCATAAATGGTCCTATTTGACTTACCATTTTCCGTATAAATAAACGTATTTTAGATGTATAAATGTATACATACGTACATGCATACGTATACATGATCAATTTAATGAGCCAATCCAATTTCTTAAAAGGGATTTGATGTCGGTATGGCATTACACTTTCATCCCCACTTGTCTCTCTTCCCTTTTTCTTGTATGTCATTTTCCTTATTTTTCGATTTTACGTCTACCATTTTATTTATTAAAATCATAAGTCAAAGTGTTGACGTTTAATTACAGATTCTTATTAGAAAATCTTCATTTATCAATAAAATTCTCACGTTATTTCAGTTTGCGAATTGATATATTACTTCACAGAGTGTTTTTTTTTCTCTCTGTGCGTATGTGGCTTCATGAGTGAATTATTAGATCACGGCCATAATAATTCACGTTTCACAGTTTAACTATTTATGGCATTTGAGTTTGTTTTTTTAATTGTTGGTCCCTGAAGGATGGTCATAATAAGGACGGTTCGGCGGTGACGGAAACGCGTAAAGGCTAATCATTTACGATGACTAAATATTATTCATTTAGTATTGTTTCCTTTCTCATCCTGATTATTTTTCTGTATAAAAATATTATTCCATAATAGACTCAAATCTTAGAAAACAAACAAATAAATAGGGAAATAAGCTCAAATTGTGTGTCATTCAGTTTTGTATGTATATAGAATTGGAATTTTTTGGAAACATCCAATACTAATATTTGTTGTTGTATGTGTGAATGAAATAAAAATTGAAGTTCAATAATGGATCATTCTTATTTTCAAATAGTATAAAGAATTGTTGTAGTATATTAAATATTTATTTTCATCAAATAATAAGGTGACTGATTATTAGAGTCGTATTAAAATACAATAAAAGGAAGTTGTCTCACATGTCTTAACGAATATTTACTAAAACTATGTTAATGTCTGGAGGGTCAAAAAAGTCTCGCTAGTTTCTGATTCTGTTGTCAAACTACTTTTTATTATTGGGATAAAATGTTGTAAGGTTATTATCACCTATATATATCTCAGCCTACTTGCTTCTCCAACCACATCTCACTCTATACCAACTAAAACCCTAATTCAAGATCTCTCTCTTTCTTTCTCTCTCTCCCCACATTACTCTTCTCTTCGACCAAAATCTCTTGACTTCAAAAAAAAAATGAAACAGCTTTCGACAAAAGTGACAAGCAATGGTCATGGACAAGACTCATCCTATTTCCTGGGATGGGAAGAGTACGAGAAGAATCCTTACGACGAGATCAAGAACCCTAATGGGATGATACAGATGGGTCTTGCCGAAAATCAGCTATGTTTCGATCTCATCGAATCATGGTTAGCTAAGAACCCAGACGCAGCTAGTCTGAAGAGGAACGGTCAATCCATTTTCAGAGAGCTTGCTCTCTTTCAGGACTATCACGGCATGCCTGAATTCAAGAAAGTAAGCTTCATTTGTTTTCTTTTAGATACTATATATAAAAGAGATTAACCTAACGTGTGTCACCGGTAACGAATCGATTTCTCAATTCTAATGAACATTTTCTATATTTTTTTTAAAAAAAATAGGCTATGGCTGAGTTTATGGAGGAGATAAGAGGAAACCGTGTCACGTTTGATCCGAAAAAGATCGTCTTAGCTGCTGGTTCGACATCTGCGAACGAGACTCTCATGTTTTGTCTTGCAGAGCCTGGCGATGCTTTCCTTTTGCCTACACCTTACTATCCAGGGTAAATTACAATTCTAACCCTAGTTCCACTTTACTTGGATTCCAAGTAAACTCATATAAACTGTCTGCTTACGTTTTGGCTTTTTTTTGGATGATTATAGATTTGATAGAGATCTTAAGTGGAGAACCGGAGCTGAGATTGTGCCAATTCATTGCTCAAGCTCCAATGGCTT